GGGCAGCTTATAGGTACGGCAGTAAGTGTAGTCGAGAGTTTTGTATCAGTTGGTGTCAAATGTGATGTTAGGGGCACATTAACTTGTAATACTTGTAACCCATCTGAATTTTTCGTACCATCGGGTTTGGGTACGTAAGATGTACAGTCGGATTGGTATGATCTTTTAGATATTTGTCTTCGATGTCTGAATTTGCCTCTATATGATGTATCAATTTTTGACTGTTGATGTTTTAATACTGATTCGGGTTTATAGTCAACATTAGAACTATAATTAATCAGCTGTACAGTGGGCGTTACAGGTGACGTTGGATATGGCTCAACAGGGGGAACTGAGTTTAGTCCCGATTTACATCTACAAGTTTGACTACCTGGCAAATTTGATGTTTGACATGTGCAAGTAACCGAAGAGGATGGTTGAGATGCTGCTTGATAGGTACGAGGCTCACTAGTTGAAGGTAATGACATGGGTTGATATTGTTGTGTTTGTGACTGCAATGATTGTAGCTGATATTGCGGTAGCGTTGGCGGTTGCGGTACTAATGGCTCTTTACATTGCGATAGCTGGGATGACTGCAATTGAATTGATGGCTGACATTGTAACGTTGACAAGGATGGTATTGTTAGTGACACAAGTGGGAGCGACGTTGAAATATTAATCGTACCAATCGAAGAAACTAACGGTAATGAAGGTGCTATCGATGTACTAAGTGATTGTGGATTTGAGTGCTGATTTACAAAATCTTGCTGTTGTTGTGGATATTTCGGCTGGTCCAACGGCAAAGATTGTGTTTTAAATTTTAATTGGCTTCGATTTTCATTTGTAGTAGTAGAATAAAACTGGCTATAATCATCATTTATCGGATTATTTACGTAATTTACATCTTTTATGTTATTCTGGTATCTAGACGAAGACTGATAACTTAAAGGTGACGATGGACTATTGTACAATTTTACCGAAACTTGTTGAGGTACTTCTTGCGCTTGTATGGGTTTTGTTGATGATGAGTAAATCAATGCCGCTGATGACTGTTGTTGAGATGGCGTCAATAAAGGTGTTGACTGATGACTAATCGGAACTGATGGATTTTGTTGAACCGAGAGTTGTTGCAAATTTGGAGATTGTGTCGATATTTGGGGCTGTGTCGAATATTGAGATTGTTGAGGTGCGGATGATTGTTGCACCGATTGGGTCGACAAAGATGATGATTGATAGTTTAGTTGAGTCGATGGATTATTATTTAGTTGAGCCGAGGTTTGCTGATCAAATTCTTTCGGTCGCGTCGATGCATCGATTTGAGGTGAACAGTGTAGTTGTTGAGGTACGGATTGTGATAATAGTTTATAAGTTGCTATCGATGACTGTTGAGGAGATATACATGAAAACTGGGCACTTATCGGGGGTGATAGATTATCGCGTGATTGTACTGAAACTTGTGGTAATGCTTGTAGTTGCATCGAGGCGTATATCTGTGGCAGAGGAGGTTTTTCTGTGGTAGGTTGTTCACACATTGATGGCAGTAATTGTATATCAATTGGTGTTGATGACTGTTTGTCGGATTGATTCTGATCCAGATTTTGAGTAAGAATATTAGTTGTATTAGTAGTACAACTCGTTGAGGTAGGGGTTAATTTTGACAATGAACTAGATATGAAATCAGGAATAGCTACCGTATTTGGTTGATTATTTTGTTGTTGACAATTTTTAGAATTTGTTGAATTCCAACCATCCAGATGTTTGTTAATTTCGTCAAATTTCTTTTTCTCAATATGCAATTGATTTTCTTCAGCTTCATGATCTTTATTTTTACAAAGGCAATCTTTTAAGTTACTTTGTTTTAGCATTTCAAAAATTTTTTTTAAATAACACTTTAAATTTTCCATTGAATCAGACATTTGGTCACATGGAATAGATGACTGCAGTATTTCAGGAATATGATTAATTTGAGCTGGATTATCCATCAAAGATTTAATCAAGGCTGATGCACTTTGTATGATGCTGCAATTCTGACCCGATGAAAACGAAGGAGAGGATAGAGCTCCATCCGAGAGATCATCCCGTAAATTATTGCAAGTACTTCTAAACTGATTTAAAAGATTTTGTAACTCAGCTACTGCGTCCTTAAGACATTTGCTCATTTCCCCTATGAACCTGTCAGAATCGTGTTGTTTGCGGGTCTGTTTGGTATCCGGTGCTGTTTTGGAGGCTCCTGAAGTTTTTAATGTTGGATGAGAATTTGACGGACAAGGTGGTACTGGACTAGAAGTAGTCGAGCGAGGTGCTATTGGACTGCACGTAGTTGAAGGCAATGCTATTGATTCAGATGTGCTTGAGCTATATATAACTGGATTTTGCGTCGTCTGGTTTGGTGTAATGAGACTAGAATTAATGGAAGGCGGCGTACTAGAACACGGTACCGATTTCGGTGCTGCGTGTCTTTTTTGTCTAACCGCATTTTCATCAATCTGAAACATATCAGTAGAAGGATTGGCTGCAAGACCTAGAAATGATTGTAGGGCTTCAGGTATTCCAGATTGAGAAAAACGTTGTGTAAGACTGTTCCAAAATTCTATTAAATATATCCTGTTATTGTTATTTTTATTTTGCTTAATTTTTGATTCACTTAGAATCTTTGCTTTTATCGTTTGTTTATATGTTTCCGGGAGATTATCAAGTATTTTTAAATTAATTTTAGAAAAAGTAAGACCATCATTCGATTTGTTATCGAGTGATTCTTCGCGGATCTCGCTTGTGCTTAATACGTCTATATTTGTTTCTGGAATGCTTACTTGTCTCTTTGTTGGGTTTCCAGCAGAGTAAGCTGTTTGATGAGCTAAGTCAACCCCATAGTTATTCTGTTTATCAAATAATAAAACATTTCCTTTTGAATTTTCTAGACGACCAGGAATTGCGTACATTCGGCCATCTGGGTAGGCAAAGCAGGCGAACCACGCCGAGGACACGAGAAGAACCCCGATCCATGACCGTACTGATGAGTTACGATTCCTCATCCTTAAACCCACTAAACTTTTAAGTTTTGTATATTCGCGATCCTTATATACTCGCTGTCTTTTCAGATAAAAAACTGATATGTCACGCGAATCGTGCATTCCGCTGAAAACATGTGTAAGCAGCTATCGCGATAAAATCTCAAAATTATTCCTTTATCTGATTATTTACTTTCAGGTTCATGAAGACTTTAGTAAACTTCCGTATGACATACTTGATTCACATGTTTGAAAATAATCAAGACTTTCGTGACAATTTTTCAATTATTGTCGTTAATTTGCAGTACTTGAGTAAAAACGTACACGTATAAAACGTATTTGAAAATTTCTGCAATAATTATTGAATTTCTTTTGTTTATTTGAGAAATATATCTTATCTAATTTTTACTTCCGTTTTATTTTATCTTATTTTCTGTTCTTTTACTCTTAAAGCAAGAAAAAACAGTTACATCAAAATCTGCCAAAATTACAGAATAAATTTATAATAATAAGTGATGAAATTTTAATTCCATCTTGTGTGGAATTTAAAAAGTTTCATGACAAATCAGTATTGACATACTAAAATCACTGTCCGAAATATTTTATTATAACAGCCAACTTAAATATTCCATACAGTGTACAATTCTGTATAGTGTTATTGAAAAATAAAGTCAAACAAATAAAAAGAAGAGTACAAGAGCACATACAATTTGAGTCTTGTATATTCTTAATATTTTTTATAAATTTCTCTAACAAAATAATTTGAAGAGCTACTTGCATAAATACGAAAAATATGAATAAACTGCATAATTTAGTAGAGTAATAAAGTTTTTATTTTAAGGTGTTCTTCAGAGCATGAAAGAGCATATGAATGTGTGATATTTATAATCGCATTCTATAAAAGACTCTCGTGCAATGCATGATTTAATTTTTCTTTTTGAATGCATTTCGGGTTTATTGTTGTTTTGATGTGATAATAAAGCATTCGAATGTTCAATGCATGAGCACATGATTTTTCGATGCGAAAAAGGAAATTATAATGGAACGATTAAGTATTATATAACTTGCATAATGCCATGAATCTCTCAATAATTAATTTACAAATTTTCACAAGTATTTATACAATTTGCAAGTGAATAATTGTTAGTATGATTGATCTTCAGCAATTGAATTGTTTCATTCTGACATATCAATTAACAAATAATATATTACAAAGCCATTTGCGGTTCTGCCTTTCTGAGATTTGAAAATAGAAATGTACAGTTCTATGATCTCAAGATATATTCAAACTTCACGATACGTTGGCAAATATGCGTGTAACATAGTTTCCGATGGCTATAATTGGGAACGGTTCTTTGAATAAATGTTGGCATATCTTTAAAATATCGATAGTTGAGTCATTATGGTCAATACGAATTATTAAATTAATGTATGCGGCTATTGCTTAATATTCCTTTTTTTCCAATTCTCTTTAATAATCTTTTTAATGTAATTTTATTATGTTAAAAACGATTTTGGCTACCAAATAATTGCGACCAATGTGAAAAGTAGTTTTATAAGAAATTAATTCTCATTATTCCCCAACTGAAAAATTAAACTAACGAGGTTAATTAAAAACAAAAAGTTAATTATTATATAATTTTCCACGTCCCTGACATGACTTTAGTCATGTCAGGGTTTTAGTATAAGTAAGTAAAATGAGATGGGAAGAAAATAATTAGAGTAAAAAATGGAAATAAAATATTTACGCGCCAAATTAAGGCTTTTTCTTAAAAAAAAGATTGTTACTTATATCGCTATACTCGTACATTAGATAGTTGCTAAAAATATCAGTTATTTACAAAAATCACTTTACTATACGTTCTTAATCATTCGCTATAATAGCTTATCCCAATCAGAAAGTTTTAAAATTAAGTATTATAGATAGAACCTGAAGGTGTTTATCAATTAATGTTGATTAATTTTGTGATAAGAGATTAGTATAAAGATAAAGAGATTACCAATATATTTTCTTAATTATTTATTCAAAAGAAAGTTAATTTCGGAAAATAATAATATACTATTATTCCGTAGACTTTTAATATTTTTTTTTGTTTTTTATGATGCACGTTATTTAATAGGAAAGCATTGGGCTCAATTATAAAATATGTAATGACTGAAGTTTTTTTTTAAATCTTTAATTCTTGTAGCATCCGCATTCAGATTTGGCGACGGCGTGGATTTGGCAAGTTGCAGGGACTACAAGTCTCTTCGTGGCTGAGTAAGCCTTTTTTCCTCCTGAAGCTGAGCCAGAAAATAGCATGAACGATGGGGAAGATTGTGTGTATTCTATTGGTTGTGGCTGCGGTGGTTGTGCGCATACTACTGATGGTGGCGGTGGTGGCTGTGTGTATATTACTGGTGGCGGTGGTGGCTGTGTATACATTACTGGTGGTTGTGATGGTGGCTGTGTGTATATTACTGGTGGTGTTGGTGGTGGCTGTGTGTATATTACTGGTGGCTGTGGTGGTGGCGTTGGTGGTGGCTGTGTGTATATTACTGGTGGCTGTGGTGGTGGCGTTGGTGGTGATTGTGGGCATATTAATGATGGCTGTGATGGTGATGGTGATGGTTGTGTGAATATTACTGATGGCTGTGGTGGTGGTGGTGGCGGTGGTGGTTGTGTGAATATTACTGAGGGCTGTGGTAGTTGTGGTGACGGTGGTGATTGTGTGAATATTACTGATGGCTGTGGTGATGGTGGTGGTGGTGGCTGTGTGTATATTACTGGTGGCTGTGGTAGTGGTGTTGGTGGTGATTGTGAGCAAATTAATGGTGACCGTGGTGGTGGTGGTGGTGGCGGTGGTAATTGTGCGTATACTACTGGTGGCTGTGGGAGGGAATAACTTGCGGGTGGTGATGGGACATAAGATGGAAATGATGTTGGCACATATGCTGGTCGTGGGAATGTTGGAGCTGGTATAAGTCTGAAAAATGAAAGATGTAATTAATTGAAAAAGGCCAGAAACGTAGTATACAACGATATAGATGCTGGAAAGTAATTTTAATAAAAAGAAACGTAATTGAAAAGATCATGTTATGGGGGAAATGAAATGTCTACTTTTCTAATTTCTTTCAATATATTATACATCGTGCGCAAACAGAGATTTAATGAGTGCCTAATGGCAAAAGCATTGGTACGAGATTGGTTAAATTTTATTCAAATTTCATAGTAATATATGTGAAAGCCACCAAAAATTAAAAAATCGAATGTGTTTAAACGGGGGAAATTGAAAATCATACAATAACTTTCGTATAAAAATCGTCCTGATCAAGATATTATAAGAACTTTTTCCACCTTGAGGACTCAATAAAAGCTTTGATTTTCTTTGTCCTGCATCACAAAATCTCAAATTCACTCCCTACAAAATCATCATATGCATATAACATCTTATTTATCGAAGAAAATAAGTATACTTTTATTTAAAAAATTTTATAAAATTTTCAGAAGAACTACCTTCTAAACATGACAAAAAAATTATCAAAAACGTGTTCTGCTTATTTCAAAGTGCAGATCCTAATAAAGAAAATGAACATTCTCAAAATGATTCTCATTCACTTTAACTTTCAAAAAAATGCAGTAAACTTTATTTTTGGAATAAATCAGATGTTATGCAAATATGACTCTTAAGGAGCGTCAACCTGAGTTGTTAAGACTCATGAAAAAAAATATCAAAGATGTTACGGAGCAATTCAAGATGAAAAAAATTTCAAATCGATATTTGTATTGATACGATTTTTATATGACAATCAATAAAACTATCAATTTTGTTCTCATTAAATCTCATCTAGCTCTTTTCAATAATATAACATTTAAAAATAATTAAGTTAGTTGTATGTTTAAAAATAATTACGTTGGTGGCAGCTGAGGCGATGGTGCTGGCGAGTTATATGACGGCACAGGAATAGGGAAAACGACTGTTTTGGTTATTGCAGATTCGTCGTCCTCACAGTCGTAAGATGATGGTATCGGTTTCGAGGGCGATTTAATGTAAATTGGCACGAGACTCTGATTGTCATCGTCGCAGTCGCTGACGAACGAAGCATGACATTCGTGCGTACAGCATACAAAGGCCAGTGCCAAGGAAAGGCACACAGTCTTGAGTGCCAACGACATCTTCGGATTGATGCCGCTTCTCTTTTTGCTTTCTCCGAAAATTTGTCCTTTTTTATATGCTGTTTCTTTCTTTGCTTATTCGTGATAATGAGATCCAGTTTAATCGGACGAACGGATTCGTGCTCTTGTTATGCTGTAGTTTTGATATCAAAAAAGCCAAAGAACTTCCTGTTTTGAATATTTTCAACTGTCTTGCACGCCCCGTACGAAGCTTGTTTTAATGATTTCTTGCCAGCTTTACTTAACCATTTCAAACCATCCAGCAATGTCACTTTATTCAAATAAAATCATTGCAGTTTAAAATTAATATTTGAATGTATAAAATTAAAATGATTGTCTTAATGAAAACTAAGGTATTAGAATAATTTGTTGTGATTAATGTACGATGAAAACGTATCAAGATTTGGTGTAATACTTTTTAAGCTTGTAATTTTACAAGCACTTCAATTTCTCATATTTTAAAAATTACGAATAATTTTTCATTTAATAATATCAATAATTAAAATATACTAAAAATATTAGACGTATTGAAAATTTCATGCTACAGTTTTCAAAACTCAAGTTCTTTATACACGTAGTATACGAATCAGCATTTAGATTTTTAGATTGGGAGTCTGTTTAAAGATTATATTATTGTAAATCATAATATGTTGTAGAAGTGCTTCAAAGTAATATAAATGTAAAACGTTTTTTTCATTTATTAGATTAATGAAGTATTGTAGGTACCTATACAGAAACAAATTATAATTATATTTCCCGAAATTTGTAATCTCAAAAAAGTTTGACAATTAAGAAAACGTTTTTTAAACAATAATAAAATTTATTTCATGCTGTATTATCAAGATGCGAAAGATTTATTCAATATACAAATTCTGGAAGCGCAGCATGATATGTACGTGATGTTTATTGATTTAAATAAATTTGAGGAGTAAATCAAGTATAAAACGTATTATAAAATGATCTGTCTTTAATTATATTGTCTAGTTTGTGGAAGATAATTGAACGGATAATCGTAGTTAAAAACTGTATTTATTCTGCATAATACGTATATATGCTATTGTTTATACATTTATAATAAAACAGAGAATTTGTCAAGCTTTGATATTCCATACTCTATATAAACGTCTAATCGATTTTTAGATCCGGTAAATTTTGAAATTAATTCAGAAAAGTGTTATTTCAGCAATAAATTTCTCGGCCTGCTGGCCTGCTTTCGTAGCCATTGCAAAAGCTGAGTATAGATTCGAATATTGCAGTTAATTTGTGAAAAGAGTTTGCATCATCATTGTTGTGGATATTGCGAATTGTGACATTCCTCTCATGTTTGTCAAAGCATGGCTTGGCTTTCAACGAACAAGGTTGATTTTGCTGAGCTTGCTGGTAATAATGATTCATGAAAATGATGAATACACTTTGTTAGCTTGTGATAGCTCAAATCCTCGATGAACTGATGAGCGAAAATTTCAATATCATCACGATCATCTAAATGAAGATTTATATAAATGATTACATACTAAAATAAGCTCTTTTCAACCGCCCTACATCTTGTTTTGTATTATTTCAATATTATTTTCGACTACTGCCTGTTTATAGGTATTTGAAATCGCTACAATTAAGTTTATAAATTCATTGCGCTTAAGGCATTCATCATACTCCTATTAATCATTTATGTTGTAAAACTTATATATTCACAAATTTGTTTCAAAACTATTATGATGTATGTAATGGTGCAATATTAAAAAATATGACAGTATGTCTAAAACTTCCTGAAAATGCTAATAATATTGAATTTAGTTTAAAATTCAGAGTAGAAAGTTTATTTTGAAAGTGCTGCAGGTATATGTAAAAAATATGACATACGTGAGAATTATCGTGGTAATATATCTTCATTTAAGATTAATAAATTCGGTCATAACGTTGTAAAAATGTAAGTATCATCAAATGATTTGGTCGCATGATCAGTCTCATAGAATGCAAATAATCATAAACATTTAAAACAATATTTTTTATATTTCTTGCTATTATAATCAGCCGATACAACACAACAACAAGAACATATTCCGAAAGAAAATATTTTCTGCCAATATAGCATCCACAGTGTAAATAGAAAATTCATTCTTCTTAAATTATAAATTAAAAAAAATAAATCTTTGTATCGTTCCTTTCTAAAAAAGATAAGAAAAGCTAATGGTTTTTTTCAGCGAATCAAAAAAATTTTCATAAATTATAAATGATTGGAAACGTAAAAGATTGATATTTTCCTTTGATTTTCATATTCGATTGATTAAAATAATAAATATTCAGTCCTACTGTCGGATAGCTAATTACAATAATTCTAGATCTCATACTTTGATAACTAAGGTGTGCTTTGCAACTACAATTGCTATAATTAAGGAATATAGATGCCTATATATTCGTCTATATTCATTTCTATAATGCAGTTATTTAATATTATAACCTTTATGCCTGATATTATATAAATCCAATGAAATTGATTAAAAATAGTTTGGGTATTTTTTAATAATATAATTTATTATAGATTATTTTTGTTATTTCTCCCAATGCGTCAAAGGAAATCGATAAAACAAGTCATGCAAATACATTTTCGGCGGTAAAAAAGTGAACCATGGAGTAATGACCGACTGTTAACTAAAATATTATTTCATTAAGTTCGAAATATGCTAAGAAATGTGTTCATTTTTTGTTCGCGTTTCCTCTTACGAACTTTATTATGCTATAAATCTAAAAATATTTAATATCAGTAATAATTTACTGAACTTTTCTCTGTATGTAAATAAAATAAAATTAGCAAATAATGAATTGTCAAAACATTTGATTATAACAATATACAGCAAGAACTGAAGAATTTATGTATGTATGGATATATATATTATAAAATGTTGTTACTTCAAGAACTACGTTCATGTGGATCGCTGCAGAGGTATGCTAGGTACCTGTAGACATTAGCCTTGCGGTTCCCTATACTCATAAATATGTAGAACACCTGCTTTCTCCAACACTTTCGGAAGAATGCCGGGAGAGGTTTTTACATGCGTCATGATTGGATCTATAGTTTGATGTGGAATCCGAACCACCAGATTACAGCATTTTTAATAGTAAAATAATACCAATGATATTACACTAAGTACTAGTAAATACTATTTTTATTTTTTTTTTATTCTCAAACACTATCTTTGAAAAAGAGTATCCTCGTATCAGCTTGGAGATGCGTGGATTTTTTATTCAGTAAGTACATTGTCGAATAAAAGTGCCAATTAAAGATACAATAATTATATTTGAAGAAAGTGTTTTAAAGTATGATTCTCATTTGTATCATATGAATGTCGATTGAACAAGTTTTTATACATGAAATCGTATACGTTTGTGTGGATGTGCGAATAAATCAATCGTCATTTATTCAAATTACATTTATTGCTGATAAACACAAAAGGCGTGTCGTACGCAGAGGAACGCTACACTCATGCGTAGATAAGCGCGTGCGTGACAATAGCATAAGCAAGAGTAAGTGAGGAGCTTGCGATGGTCACTCAACCGGAGACCAAAACGTGAGATGCAACTATGAAGCTGCATCAATTGTCATTGCTTTTCCCCTTTCAATTCTCGTGGGACAGTTTTCCGTATCAGTCCGTGCCGACAGGTTTGAAGAAAAAGCACATGAGGGCTATTCAAGGGAAGTCGGCTGAAAAGAAAAATTCCTTGAGTTCTATGATCGAAAGAGAATTCAAAGTTGTTGCGCGTTTGGCGTACATGTGGGGTGCAGATTTTGTTAAGTCTACGATGCTCACATTTGTATACATATTATTTTAAATTTCAGTGCATATTATGCAATCAAATAATTATACAAATGCAGGCACAAATAAAATTTTAACAGGTCAAATTTTGAAACGTATCTCTCTTAACTTAGATGAAAGCTCCAATTAAATATAATAACTATTTCAATTGTAACATAGCGAAGCTTTCAACAACAATATTATGAGGAGCCAACTTTGTAGTTTGATATTAAACTGTTAACAAAGATTAAAAAAGATATTGTCAAGAAAAGAGTGAGTTATCTAAAAGTCTAAAAACAGAATTCGAAATGTATTATATCGTATGCACGTTCAGTATGCTCGTAGATATGATAAGCTTGCCGATAGCAAGATATTAATTCTTGTCATGTGGTTAGTTATGAGAGTTTTTCATATTCTTAGCATATGGTTGTCTACGAGAGTTTTTGAAATTTGTTTTGTTGCTGCTGGAGCGCTGAAAACCAATTTTTACATAAAATAGTAGTGACTTTCTTCTACAGGAAAGCTTCGTCGCCTCGTTCTTTCTAGTCTGAGATCTCAATTATCGAAAAGCTATGTTACTGCATAATTTTTATAAACGAAATAGTAAGCAAAAAACATAACAGATTAAATTATTGGAAAAACTTATTTTCATTATTTATGCCTGGAAAATTGAATTAGGTTGCTTGACAGTAACAAAGTTCTAATCTAATAAGTAAATCCTGATGAACAAAAACAGTCTAAATTTTAAGTTTTTTTTTATTGTATTGTTTAAATCAGATCACACAAACATCAAACTATAAACATTCTCTCTATATTCTATAATTATAACATTTAACAAAATGAAAATTATTTATTATCTCTCTTCGATGAGATCGTGCGTGTGTTTTACGTTTTAATGTAATTCTTTTCTTGTACTTCTACATCATCAAATTTGTCTCGTTCAATTGATTGCGCCTTATTTGATGCATCACTCTCTACAGCATTTATTGATCATGATATTGTTCTCATTTTCTATTTAATTATCCTCTTCTTCGTTATGTTCCTCGGTCTTTTCATGCATTCACCGTCATTTGACTTATCATTACTATGTGTAATGTACTCATGTTCATCACTTTCAACTCAAAACTAGTTTTTATAATCATTTCCATTCTATGCTTTCGATTGTAATATTTTAATGCAAAATTAATGTTCGAGCGACTCTTATATTTTCTAGAACTTTAGCTTAGTACATGCCGACGAGATCGTTCATGAAATCTAGCGAAATTTAATAAAGAATTCAGTGTCAAAATCAGTGTAAATTCAATAGCATAATCCGACGAAAAACCTATTTCATTGCCACATTCATTGATGCAATAAGGAGTCAAACTTAAATAGTCCGCGTTCATTCTTCACAAATTTTATTTCCTAGCCAGGCAGCATAATAAAAGACCTGCGAAATGATATTCTCAATAACGTTCATTATCCTCAGAACATTGGGCGTCAAATGCCTGCTAATATCCAGATTTGCAAGCGGACGATTTGATCTGGTCGATAATCTTCGCCTTGCCGTCGTAACTGTCGTTTTCGTATTCTTCTTCGTCGACAAGCACCGTGCGTCGACTACCTTCCTGCACGAGTGACGCTTTACCACCGCGCCCGCAGGTGAGCTTGGCCTTCGAGCGGTCGTTGACGATGACGCCGCCGGACTTGTAACCTGGAATCGTCGATCCGACGGGCCCGCACGGCAGGCTGTCCTTGTCGTCGGGTGACGGGACGTAGACGATCGACTGAGCGTATGGCGACTCGATCGCGTCGTCTGTCTTAGGTACGAATCGGTTCTTCGAAGGTGCGGCCGGACCGTAGCCGATGTCGCTGCGAAATACAATGTCCTTGCTAACTTTTTTCTAGAGATTGTCATTTCATTTAAATGAAAGCAAAATGAAAGGAAAGATCTGCCCTATGAAAATTTGTGTGCCGATAAATAGACGTTCTTCAATTTCAGCGCGTCTGAATTCTCGTGAATTGTCAAATTTATTTACTGGATAAATTTATACGCGAGTTTTGAACTTTCATGCCAATATATGCAGACTCGGCATTGGCCTTGTTACGAATAACGAGCACGCGATACCAGAAGCTGTTTTTGCATGTTTATTTGTTTGCTTGTGCGAGCGTGTTTGTATCAAGCATCACGTCGAGCAATTTGTTATTTTAATTCCTTTCCGATACGTTCCGAAAAAAACAAATTTCCGATTCTTTCGTCTTTTGACTAGATTACTTGATGTTTTCAAAAACGGTACAGCGGAGATAATTCAATAATTAACGACAAAGCCTCTAGTGCAGCTAGAAATTTACGGAAATATTAAATCATAGCGTTGATTCAATGAAATAGTTGTCGCTTACCAATGACACGCAAGCTCACCTGTAGGAAACCTGTATGTTCTGGCAGTTGCCGTCTCTGCATTCACAGTCTTTAAGCTCGACGACAGGTTTGTCAACGGTATGGAGCTTCTCCTCGTCGAAATTGCTGACGTGCTTGCAGATGCGTCCATCTTCGGGTTCCTTGTAGTGTCCGTAGGCCAAATTGTCTTCCGCGACGTACTTTTTACCATGCGATTCGGCGAGGTTTTTATAGGCAAGCGAGATGGAAACTGGATCGGCTGTTGGCGCTTTTTCCTCTTGTAAGACGATCTCCACGTAGGTTTCTGCTGCAAATATAACTCTTTTGGTTCATTAAGTAGTTCTTCGATAAACGTTTAGTGCACGCAGACTTTTATTACTTGCGACTTTGATAGTTTTACGTTTAATTGTTTGATAATATAACAATCTTTTGATTGCTACCTATCGAACGTTTACTTTTGTACCTGTATTACATTTATGAGCTTATCTAGCTATAAAAGTTACGTAAGTTTTAAATCGTAAAGTTAGCTCGAAGTTTTTTTCGAACTGATAGTGTAGCATTTATGAATGTCAATTCAAAAACATAATTACTCACACGTTGAGATTTTTCTTACAAAATAATTGATTCAAGGAATAAGCTATCCTGGTGTATAAAATTTAATAAAGAAACGATTAACATTCGTTTTTCTAATGTGAAAATAATTACAAAGCGCAAAGTATTGCACGATAAGATATATCAATGAACTTAAATTACCTTCTGGTTGGTTCTTATCGCAGTCAATTTGAACTTGGGATTGGTCACAGGGTGTCTCTCTAGTCGGAGAAGGTGTAGATAGATAATTTACAGGAACTTGTTGCTGATACTCCGATTGATATTGAGCCGGAGCTACATAAGCAACGGCGGAGGTTGTAGCTCTCTGCTTATTTATGCAATTGCATGATGGTTCCAAGTTGGACTTTTGATGGGATCGCTTAGCGTCGTGATCAATAGAAACTGCTTGCTGATAGGCGGCGGCGTACTGATCCAAAGTCGCAGTAGGAATGACTATGGCATTCTGCTTGCTTTTGCAATCGCAGTCGAGTTGTAGCTCGGATTCTTGGTAGGATCTCTTAGCCGGGGAGGAAGATGCGGCCATGTAAACAGTAGGAGACGGTTGTTGGTACGCGGGGCTATATTGAGCCGGAGTCGAAGCGATTGTGGGTGGCGTGTAAGAGGCGGGCACGGGCGTCTGATAAGCATATTGAGCAGCATATTGAGCAGCGTATTGAGCAGCAACCGTCGAGCCATCGTAAAGAGAGGCTGGGCTGCTCGGTGCTGACGCTGGCCTGCTGTAGGAAGATGCTGGGATAACGCTATAAGACGCGGCTGCGACGTCGTGCGAAGGCGTTGGAGCACTGTATCCTGCTGCTAGAACTGCATAGGAAGGCGCTGGCGCACCGTAAGGTGATGGTGGTGCGCTGTAGAGTGGTAAAGATGCTGGCGTTGAGATAGGTTCGATCGTCGACTCCGATTTTGGGCACTTACACGGCAAATTTCCGGGACGAGCTGGAATTACGCCGACCACCTCATTTTTGTATCCTTTGCAGCTGTGACAGAGATCACCGATTGGCTCGAACCTATTGAAAATAGACCGAGTTCGATTATGAGATATAGTCGTTCGAACATTAGAAAGTATGACGAGCGTCAACAATGAAAATAGCAATGGTTCTTACTTGGGTGCAATTGATATGCCAGGCGCCAGTCTTAAAAGATTTTTCAGATCTCTCTCGTTCTTTCCATACTTTAATGTAGCGATTGGGCTCGGAGCCGGCAGAAAGCTGTACAGTGAGCCTGAAGACGACGCACCGTAAGTCGACGCAGCTGCGCTGCAGGCTTTCTTCAGTTTCAGTACGTTTTTGATTGTCTCTGGCGAAGCGAAGAAATCGGGTTTGGTGAGCTTTTTCGCTCTGACAGCCATGTTGCCGCAACTGCAGGTGTCGGTGCCCTCGCCTAGGCCGCAGTTGGCACACTTGTTGCCTGCCTGAGCACCAAGCACCAACGCGAATAGAAGCAGGCCCGAGACTGGCCGGCTAATCTTCATTAGGAAACGATCAGCTCTGATAATAATGTTCACTCAAACCGCTCGAAGCGTCGTTCATGAATGATTGTAAGTTCTCAAGTGTTGTTCCCTTCGGACGGATTGTTGTCTTTATATTTTTCACCACGTGTATGGCTCAAATGTCACGAATGTTTGCGGACAATATTTAACCAAGGCGGAAGCAATCACGTTATATATGGCAAGGCGGAAGGGTATTTGCAATTACGTGGCCCATTATGAAATTTCGTAAAATCACACTGTACGATTGCCCACAACTAGGTAATAAATATCTAAAATATTAATTTAGTAAATAATATATCGGAAAATCTTATTGTAAATTGTAATATATTAGGACGTTGCAGCAATTTTTTGGTATATTTATGTAAATATTTACAGTTCTCCGAAAAAATATATTATCTGTATATATTTTAGGAAATATGAAAAATATTTACACACATTTATTTATTTCAAAACGTCGGTTGGAGAGATGACGTGATAACTTTAATATAAACAAAAATTAATTTCGAATACAATCCAACATTTTACTGTAAAACAATTACTTTAATGTTTTTTTATATGCTAGTAAAAAATTTCTCGAAATTTCCAATAAATTAACAGATGTCAATTTTTTAAACAATTATGATTATACATTTTGAAGACTCGTGCATAAAACGGATATGTCCGCGGGTTCACGTAAATTTTCACACCTAATTCTAAATTGCACGTACTAAACTTGTAATTTCCTAATTGGCATGTATATTTTTTTTTAATTGTGTTAAAATTTATTGTAGCATATATCAGATAAATAAATATCTGCAGAGTTTTTTTACAAAGACTAAGTCACTTGAAAATCTAGTTGAGATATTGTCATTCAAATCAACAGTATCCTGATTTTTATCGATATTATCCCATTATTTAATAGAACTTTAAACAAAATGTTAAGATTTTCAATGATAATCCCACAAATAAAAGTAATAAGTAGCATAGAGTTTCTTAGAGATATTTGTCTATTCATTTCTTTATCACTTTTTACCTAGTTCAAAGAAGTTTTATTAAAAATTTAGACTTTTTAGAAATTGAATATTTTATTTAGGAATATTATTTCAATGCAAAAAGATTTACAAGCATTTCAAGAATGTAGAAGTGAACATATCTCATATTTTTCAAAAAGTGAACTTTGATGTCTTTTTTCTAAACGCCACAGATATATTTCGTATTAATTTATGTAAATTAAGTTTTTAGTTATATTCTATATTTTACCACAGAAAAAATCTCATGTACACTCAGCATCCAATAAATATAAGTTACTGTAGAAATTTAATTACAAATATACGGAAACAATTTTTTAATACTGGAATTTGAATTCCGTTCAATAATTTAAAAAGATATTTAAATATTTAAGCTTGAAACTTCTCTACTTAACCTATCATCTATTTTTTTCTATAAGTGTAAAATATTATCTATCTACAGATAATTTGCTTTAAATCAAAATTTTATTCATTTGAATTTAGCAATTCTGTTCAACCACGAAATATTTTTTATATAAGAAAGAATATTAGTAATAAACTTTATGAATTTTTCTCTATTTTAATGTTTTTAAATATCATTAAATTATTAATATAATTCAACTACTACAGTTGCGGGTTATTGTGTAGGTACACGTTGTATGTAATTATATGTATCCTACATGCTATATAAGTTAACATTCAATCATTTATATAATAGCGAAATTTTATACTCTAAATAGTTTAATAATTTTATGTTCAAATTACAAATTAAAAATGTAATAAGAATTGTTAATGTATTGGTGTAAAATTTACAATGATATTTTTAAAATAAAAGATTTCGGTGTAATCATCGCATTATTATAATTAATTTACTACATAAGTTTATGTACGAATCCAAGAACAATACATATACATATTAAAGCCAAGGGAGATGATCTTATACAGAAATATAATCATTCACTTTCACATAAATAAATCTATGTACAGTTTTTATTTTCTATATTATTTTACAGAGGTATTCAAATCTAATAACATTTTTATATTTATAAAATATATAAATCTTATTTGTTTTATTTACAGTAACACATTAAGCAAATTTCAGAGAATTATTTTTCCATACATTATTCATCACATTATGATAGAATAACTAATCTGTAAATTTTTCAACATTTTGTTGGTGAATCAAATAAAAATTTTGTCAGTGATTTATGCAAATTATCTCAGTGCAATAATAAGTATACAATACTTTTCCACAAGATCCATAATTACCAAAAATATTGAGTATACAACTATAATGTAAAAAATATGAAGAAATTTCAGTAGTTGATGTATATAAAATAAGAAAAGGAATATTTACATATATATAATCTCTGAAATATGCAAATATGTGACATTACTATAAGTTTAATACTTATAGTAATTCTAATTTTTATAATATTCATTATCATCTTACTCAAAGATAAAAAATAATATCACTGTATTTGATGAGATTTAAGATTATTAAACATATGATTTAGATGTTTTCATAGTCGACTGCTGTCTTACATTTTTTTCTTTCAACAGTGTTTGTAATCATGCACTGATGTTATACATTAATCATTAACAATCAATAAGATGCTATACCAATTCACTAATTTAAAAAAAGTCAGCAGCTCTTTGCCGTCTAGGTAACTTTAACAGATTATCTGTTAGAACTGGTGATTGAGTTTTCGGAATTGAATCTGGTTTATTAGATTTTATCATAGGTGTGAGTAGTCTTGGAGTTGAAGGAGTTTTAACTCTCATAACAGGTGTACTTAATAAGGTTCTGCTAGGAGAAGGACTAATGGCGATACGTAATTTTTGAGTAGCAAGTGTTTTTGCAGCTGGAGACATTGTATTCAGTCGATCAATACTCGATCTTGGCGAAGGTCTGTAAAAATATTTTTTAAATTGTCAATAAATTATCCAGTTTGGTCCAAGATTATTTGAAAATAATGGATAATACTTACGTTGCTAATGAACGTCTGGCTACATTCAAAGCTTTAATTTTTTTATCCCTTAGTCGTTCTCCAGCTTTTTCAGCTAACTGCATAGCAATTTTTTCTCTTTTAGGTGGTTCAGCCATTCGGAAAGAAGGTCCTCCAGAAGAGTGCAGTAATGGTGTATCTCCACCATCCAGTCTAAATGGTGTTCCTTCTATTTGACCCCAAGTCATAATTGGACTATCCATAATACTTTCAGGTATAGATGGTGCAGGTGAGGCCACAATGGAATATCCATTGACCCTGGGAGTTTCATTTCTAACAATTTCTTTCCCATCAATTCCTATTTTTCCATCATTAGCTTTAGATTGCACTTTTGCTAGCTCGTTAATAGTTTCTTTGTTTTGTTGTTCATTGAAGGGATTGAACTTTAATCTGGTATTTGAATGTACAACTTCTTGCTTCTTTTTTGCAAGCTCAATTTTTTCATCTAATGTCAATTCTACTCCATCTGGTATATACATAATATAATTTTTATTTTTGTAACTCCAAGTATCAGTTTCAAAAGGCCTTTTTTTGTTATCATTTTCAATTGCTAATGATTCATTTTTATTATTTTCAATGGCATTGAGTGTAGGTTCTGTTTCTGGTTTATATAACCATGCATTCTTGAGTCTGTGCCTTTTTTCATTTTCTACTATTATTTCTTCAAAACTGGCATTGTCCTCACTTGTGTTGTTACTTAAAAATTCATCTAACCCTACCTTCTTTTCATTTAGTTGTAAGTCTTTACTTTGTTTTTCTTTATTTGTAGATGTTGTAGATTTGACTGTGTCTTCATTTGAATTCTCTGTACGAACTGGTGTTTCAAAAGTAGCAGGACTAGCAAGTCTTTCTGTAGCTGGTCGAACTAAACTATATTTTTCGTACAGTTCCCTCATTTTCTTGGTGTCATTGTTTTCTAGTGCCAGCATGTACTCATTTTGAGCTTTTAATTTTTCCAAGTCAGGGAAAAAGTCTCTTTGAATTATTTCTCCTATTTTTTCCACGTAAGTCTCTTCATCAAGGATTTTACATTTTCGACGTTTAGCTGGCCCAATAGGAGTCTTAAACACTGCCAAGTCTTTGATGTTTTTTGCAGCCTCTAGTGCCATCCGGCCTGGTGAACTTTCTATTGAGCTTACTGGAGAAAACATTTTATCTCTATAATATGATTCAAGAGAAGAAACAATATTAACGTATGTATGGAAATAACTAATATACGTGATACTTTATTTTCTTCGTTTATCATGAGAAAACGTTTAATTCAGTGATTGATCATGTTATGTTTTATGCACAAAACTTCTGAATATAATTGCTATGATTATTTTATATAAAAAGCTATTATATCAAATATGTTTTTGTTTGTTATGAGCATAACGTAACCTCTGTTTTAGACACTTGATTACCCATTATACTGCGCAGCCATCTAATCTAATAGTCTCCATCGATTAGTCGTTTTTCGTTTTCGTATCGTTTTAATGGCTGTGGGTACCTGAGGACTCCGATGCGCCACACATCGATTAGTCGATTGCGTTCAATTCAAGAGCGTCGATGACCTCTATTGGCTTTTAAATGAACTTTAAAAAGCGCCGGATTTCAAAAAGATTATTAAAAAGTAAAAACAATTATATTGGATATTTTTCCGTGAATTATTTTAAAAAAAATGTTTCATCTGAAACTCATCAATTTAAACGTGATTCACAAAATAATCGTGCTTAAATTGATTTACTAATTTATTAATTGACTTTACTGTTTAATGTAAAACTTCTGATTTATAACCCATAGCTAACCGCATTATTATTATTTTATAAGTAGTTTATCACAATTCAATTTCGTTTAAATGTACTTACTGTAAAACTTTAATGAAGATAATAATCAAGTATCGAGTTAATGTATAAAATAAATGAAATTGATCGTAGAATCATCATAAGCATGTCAAAAAATAACATGCATTTTGTTGCAAGTGGTGTAACGTAAGCTAAATTACTAGACAATGCAACACTTATGAATATCAAAAGTTATGTGCCATCAATGAAAGCTATAGAAGCTGAAATGTTTGAACATATTATATATATTATTCATCAGAATTTATTTTAAATATTCATTTTAAGTATTTCATTAAAAAATTTCATTTAAAATAATTTTGCTGGCAGACTTAATTTAATTTTTTTTCTTTGAAATATCTCGGTAACCTTTATGATCTCTATCGTAGTGATGTACTATAGAAATCTTTATATCAAACTTTCGTACTTTTATAATGTTACAGAAATCTGCTATTCAAAAAATCCGGTTTTCCAATTATTTATATAGCACTTTTATGTACAAAACTCATATTGAAATGCTATGCGAGTTATACGAGTATATTTTTTATATATACATATAAGAAACACGTTTAAAACGCGTAAGCAATGTGTCTCAAAGCAAAAAATTTAATTTTATTTTTATAATGATTCAAAGTTCCATATATATGGGTAATCTATAGAATTGATCTTTCTGTAGAATTCCACTCACAAGAATGGAAGTATCTCAGATTAAACTTACGCAATTTCAGAACTCATATGATAAAACGATAAGTCTCCTTTAATTTGCTTTGAACAAAGAAAAGAAAAGTTTATTTACCAGCTTGTATCATTAATTTTGAAAAATTGATACTTTTTTAAATGATTTTTTAAATATGTTGTTGATTTGTACAAAATTTAATATGAATAACACCATCGAATTGTTATGTACAAAGCAATTTTGCTTAAAAGTGACGAGTACGTTTGTATTTGTATTCATAAAATACTCAGTACAGATCAAATGAAATTATGTAAATTGAGATACAGCGTAAAAAAATATGTTATCTACGTATTTTATACATTACTGCAAAAAAAGTTTCATAACCATCTTGATTCTTGTAAATTATAAAATATTACAAGCAAACACGAAGTTTATTCTAGTCGAAGCATCTGATTTGTAATTTTTTGTTGTAATAGTTGTATAATTTTATATAGGATTGACGCAAATGTTAATTAATCAATATATTTTGTGAATATATATTCATTATTACTAAGTATTAATTATTTGAAGCGATAACTTTAAAAGTGTCGAATAAAATGATTTTTTCAGTATATAAAAACATTTCATCCATTTTTAATCAAATATGTTTACGAAGAGCTCTATCAAAGTATAAATGTTAAGAACTAGAGAAGAGAATGGCATGAAAGGGACGTTTAAGAAAAGTAAGCAAAATAAGGGGAATAGGAGAAAACTGCCGGGAGGAAAAGAAAATAAGAGTTAGAAGTACTGTGGGGCTCAGAAGGGTGGCGCACGCGAGCGCTGACAGACATAATGAGAATTCCAGCGGTGAGATAGGATGTATACGCCAACTACGGTTACACTAGACTTCCTATATAACTAAAATTTCTATGGTATTATTATATATTTTATTCCTGCTCTGTTAAAGCGAGCCATTTCATTTATTATTATCGTTATTTTGATAGATAGATTTTGATAACATAACGTTTTTAATTTACGTTTAACATTTTAAATAAACTTGATGATTGTATGGTATCAACAATGCAACTTGTATAATTTAAATAGATTTCATATTAAGGTATACAGGTACAATAAGATAAAGTTGAGTGAAATGGACTTCTAGCTGTTATTTTTAAAAGTATATATTTCATGCTGTCAATCAAACTGGAAGAAGAAAGAAAATTTCGGTAAAAAAAGTGAAAGGGCAGAAGAGAAAGACTGGAAAATATAAGAAGGAAGGCGTCTGTCGTCGAAGTTACGAAAAGAGAAACGAGTGTAAATTTCAGAAAGCGGCGCGTGCCAGCCGGCGATGACAGACGATGACCGAATGGCAAACGACTCCAGCTTCAGCAAGAAAGCTTTAAAAAAGTGTAAACTTGTTACCGCAAGTGTAAATAAAAAGGGGAATGGTCTGAGATGTATTTGATTTATATATTCAAAGATATTCTCTTGTGAATAAACTATATACCTATTTATCCTATAAATGTGTGTGTATGTGTGTGTGTGTGTGTGTGTGTATCACTATGACAAAATCGAGTCATGATAATGCGTAATTATTATTAAAGCATGCATTTACTATGTTTCCTATATTATTATTATAGTCGAAGTTTGGAGTAAAATCTAATGACAGCGACTATTTGAAAATATGGTAGATTATTGAAGTATGTACATTTACAATTTATTTTTTTTTTTACTGATTTTTTAATTAAAAATCTGTTACGAAAGTATAATGCGCATAATTATTTGAGATTTTTTATGTCGCGACCCTATCTCAGTTTTCTATTTTGCTACATGCTCGGATTTAAATGATCACGCTACATATTTTAAGTTAGATCTATATTTTATTAATTATACTCAGTTCAATATGAGTTCGATTGAAGACAAAAGTAAATATTTCAAAAATATGATTCCAATCCTAGAGCACCATCAAACAGAATCATTACCAAAGAAATATAAAATTAGATCAAAAAATAGCCAAAAAATCAAAGTGGAAAAGAAAAGCTTCAGAAGTTAGAATAAGAAGAGGCACAAGCTGCAATCTGTAAATCTGTCATTGCGTTCATGCTATTTTCCAGATGAATTTCATGTTCAATAATACTTGTACATGGTAACGGCTCACCTGGCAGTAAAAATACATTTGGGTATTGTTTTATCAAGCGTTTAATACTTCTGTATTCGTTTGGTGCCAAATGTCCTGTTCTCAATAGTTTAAGTAGCCTCTTATATTTTTGTTTGAGTTGTATTTCAGCATTCCGTGGAGTAGTGCATTCGCTTTCACTTTCCGAAGGCGAACTACCCTCGGGATTTATATGCTCGAATGGCAGTATGATCCTCGGGTCCACTTCTATTGTCACGTCTTTATCAAAATGAGTATTAACAGCCATAATTTTACAAGTTCCATTTTGGTTTATTACTACTCCTTGTCCCATATATACTCGATCGTCTCCTACGTTGATTCGGGGGAGATAACCTTCCACTAGATTTGTCCGTACCAAGTTTATTTGGATAACTTGGCGCGACCTTGCAGGTATCTTATATTTTACCTTGCTATGGTTGATGTTCGCATCATTTACATTAATTTCAGAAGAATCGGTCTCCCCTTAATTTATAAAAGCCCAAAGCAAGAAAACAGATCATGCGAAACGAAGACAATCGATATATCTATTTTTATGCAAGCAAATCAACCAAATTTATTATCTCGAAGAAAAATCGGAGTATAAAAGCAAGACGGAATCTTATCTCAGCAAATTTTACGGCATAAAAAAACGACACTTACTTTGTTAACATAATAACTCCTTTTTTATGCTTCTAATCGCACTTACTTCTACAGCTCGAATTAAGAAGTGCATTGGTACCCGCTTTTTATAAAAGTTTCTTAATCTTTTCGTCTCTTTTTTAGTTTATAAGTGACTCCGAGTTCCACATATTATTTATTTATTTTTGTGAATTTGCTTAACTTTTTCGTAAGAATAATAGAATGCTCCAATATACTTTTCGTTTTACATGTTCACGTAAAAAACTTGACGATATATTGGCTCTCAATAATTAAAGTACACTATATTATCGTTATATATATATATATATACATATATATATATGTATATGCGCATTACTATTTACACATGCGCTATATCCAGATGCAAAGAGTGCAATGTAACACTTTTAATCAAAAAGCTTATTAAGAAATTATTGATTCACGTTATCGAATTCTTAATTCGAAATGATTTTATAAATAAAGAAGTATGATTACTTACAACATAGAACTTTCTTGAACAGAATGTGAGTTGGTGTTTTAATCGGTAAATTCTAGAAGGAAAAAAAGTTGGATAATATTATAGTTCGATCTTATTATTACTTTTTTCTGTGATTTTATTATATACTATTAAGTTCCGAAATACATTGATTGTTTTATTTTTAGATTGTACCTATATACTTTGTGTTATAATATGCGTCCAGGAAGTCACATCTTTACAGACAAGTCGTTTGTAAATTTATCTGTGGAGCAGGCTAATGGATAAAACTAGAATGTTGTACATTTGTAACAAAAGTAATGTTTGCGAGTTTCGCTTATAAAGACTGGTGCATTGAAACAAGGAGAGCCATCTGGGTACGCGGGCGGAGTAGTATGTATGTACGGCTGCGGCATCAACCTCGTGGGTAGCCGTTGACGGATTCACGGCGTCGCGAAAACGAGAGAAACGCCACGACGTTCCGCACCACTGTGCCCGCAACTTTGGCATACTCTAATAGTATGAAAATAGAGATGATACGAAATGGTTATTTTTTGCTAAGTCTCATTTGTTTGCATAGTTTTAAAATTTTTTTCTAGTTCTTGTATTTTCATCATTGATAACTTGAGAATGAAAAACACTGCGCTGCACATGCCATATATACTCAATAATTGAGAATACTTAATCTTGAAAAATGTAAGTCTTTTTAAATTTGATCGGCCTCCTGCGGTTATGAAAATTATAATTCTTACGTAGAGTGTAATTAATATTTCCAATTTATCTGCAAAAGTTTCTTAAACCGATGTTGGTACAAAGGAGAATTGTGAATGCGATGAATGGATTCCAAAACGAATGGGAACGAAGCGATGCCTAAAGTAAAAACTGAAGGCACGAAAAGAAAAACAAGCACCCCAATTATTCGACGCCTGGCATACGTCGACTCGGCGCATTGGCATACGAGGCGATCGGTCTTCGGCACTCATCGGGAACGGTAGGCGATATGTTTGCGGGCAAGTAGGGCCATAGCCAGCGCCTGGTTCGCGAATCATTTGTCGAGCTTTGATGTGCGACGAACGAGGTGACGCCGGAAAATTAGGCAGATTTATCGTGAGCTGTCGCCTTGGCGCCCCGTCGCGCTCGGTTGCCCGCTTCATTAGCGCGCGCGCGCCTTTTCACGGCCTTGACACTATGCAGCCAATATTAATCACATGCGGCGTGTACAGCGCGCATCAAAACTTCCAAGTGCTCGGATCACGTACTCGCGATATCACCTGTAGTTCCGCGGGCGCGTGATGCAGCTTCGACTTGTTTTGTATGTGGTTGTTCGAGCTTTTGATTCGCGTCATTTCTTTATCTGATCGCCACTCTCATGTTTTAAGTACTTCGTGTAAAATAAGCGCTGAGCCTGCGTTAACAGAAATTCCAACAAATTGCATTTGAAGACCGATGAAATTATGAGATTTTTGGAACTACAACATTTCATCCTTTTTCATTTGTTTCTTTTTTTTTTTAAATATTTGGTAGACAATTGTCTAATGAGATAATTATATTTATTCACGTGTAGATGTTATCTTGTTTTTTAGGTACAACGTATAATTCATCAAGTTTATGTATGAGTTTGTACATCTGTTGAACAGAAAATTGACCAAAGCATACCTTCTTATTGTTTGGACTCATACGTTCTATAGATACTTGAAAGTACCAATGGGTGGTCTCAGCGTCTATGTGCATCAGACTTGACGACAAGAGGTTGTAGACATTTTCCAGGCCATCTTTTCTTTTCAAGAGCTATAGTTTTTTAATAAAAATTGTTTCAGAAGACAAAACCCATTCGACAAAAACATATGTTTGTTATCGCTCCATTGTGTATACAAGAAAATAATAACGTGGCAGTAGCGCGCTGCGGAACTGCCGAGACCAAGTCATTTGTTCTGGAGCTCTTAGAAAACATAGAGCAGCGAGCGAACTTGCGTAAAACTCATATATCCGACTGTCGTAGATTATTTCGTTTCGCGAACCCCACACACGAGATCCAGACAAATTGCAAAGCTTGTATCGAAGGCCCTTATTTAGCGAAAGCGCCTGGCCATCTGTCGCGAGCGCGCAACAGACGAGACGCGCGCCGGGTGTCGCGGCGGCATGCTTCGCGGAAACAAAGATTCGCTCGCTCGCGGCGCGCTGAAATTGCGCGTTCGGCTCGTAAAGTGCGAGCATCGCCCAACTTGTGAGTACCAGATGAAGAATCCGCGAACTTTACGGCCGTGTCGGTCACGCGAGTTGCCCGCATATATACGAGTTCTCTCCACGTTGTACTCTTTAGAGTTCTCCCCTGACTAAATTTAAAAGTCAAGAGGAACCGAGAACATCCCGAGGATTTTGAGAGCGCACCAGGCGGATACGTGCTCTATGAATTCTATAAGGAGATTGGCTTAGGTCTTCCACTTGAGTTAAATAAGCATTTACCTAAACCACATTCGTTGCCTTCACTTGGCAATGTTTTTATTTACTGAACACTATACTTGGAGAATTATATATGGTTACAATTTTTTCAAAATAGAATTGAAAGATAAACTGTGTCATGATGAATGATAATTTTTCTAATTTATCTTTTCTAAGGTTCTCTAAAACTTATAGAAAAAAATATCTGAACAAACATTATTCGTTATGATCGTAAAACATTACTTGTTAACAATGCTTAAATAGATAAATAAAACACAAAATGATTTGAACTTGTAAAAAAGCTATAAAACGGTTCATTAAAAGACGTTTAAAGACACACTGGGTGCATGTTGGCTAAATACGAGCGTCACGCGTGTCAAAGAGACAGCAAAGATTGAAAGTTTGTCAAGCTGTAACAGATCACTTCTCAAAAGTCACAACTTAACAGCTGAGCAATTTTCTTAAAATCATTCGTGGTTCGCTTTGAGAGAAGCCACCAAAGTGACGTCGCAAAGTTATAATGGTTTTTCGCTGGTGCCTCGACAATATCTGATAATGAAAAAAAGAACACAGCATCGTCCGTTCCATTTTCATTTCTTTGGAGTATATGAAATAATCGTATCGAAAAAAATTTGCAACTTCTTTTAGCGATCACGCAATTTGAATACCCAAGTGAGATTAAATTACAAACGCCAGAGTAGAAAAAGGAGAAGAATCGAGTCGCTTGTTGGGAGAAAAAATGGGAGAGTGAGAGGGTCATTAAGGCCTTGGTGTATCTCTTTGAGGAAAAGACGGAGTAGATCGGCCTGGCACTAATATGTTTACACAGAACGTTGTCCCATCCGTGCGCAAAAGCGCATCAATCACGGGCCCGTCCGGAGACACTGTGAGCCACGGGACTGTCTCGAAATTCAGCTGCGCTTTGCTCGCGTGTGCCTTTAAACGTAGTTTCTCTTGATACAGTAGACGCACGCGTCCAGACGTGGACGACTGGCACTGCGTATTAACGATTAAGTGTCTTTTTTGTATCTCTTGAGCTTTTTGTCGCGAGACGATGAATGAAGTTGAAGATTGACAAGAGCTTTTTTGCTCCAAAAGTCAAATTTTATTCAATAGTCAAAACCAATTTGGTAAAAATTCTATTATATGCGACATTCCTGAAACGCGATCTTAAACAACATTTATTGAAATGGAAAAATGTCTGTTTTTAACAAATACATGTAGTTTACGGACTTTAATTACAGAAATACTCAAGTTTTAATACATAACTAGTTTAAATATAAGCATAGATGTTTTTCACTTATTCTGCTCATTGTACACCTTAAGTATTTAATACTGCACGAATGGTGTTTCTTTCCGATGATAAAAGAAATACACAAAATTCATAAATTTTTAATTTTCTTGTTAGAATTTGGAATAAAAAAGTAGATGAATTAGCGCTGGCGGCGAATCAATTTTATCCAGCTTTTCACCTTTGCATTGAAATCTGCTGGCAATCGTCGAATCCTTTAACAATTTATTCTTATTTGATCCTTTATATTTGAAAAAATCCACGCATAATTAGCACCTATTCAATAAATATTGATAATAGTATTTTTTGTCCGATAGCATTTCATTATAAACTAATAGTTATTAGTAAATTACTTACATTATAACACACTGCACATCTATAGGGAGGGAAAATATTAGCAAGTCCATAGGATGCGCACATTCTAAAACGTGCATTGCTTGAATACCAGGTACAATGAGATAAAAGTAAGAAATTACGGAGGTAGGGTTTAGTGAAAGTGAAGAATGTGACAAAGTAAGATATAACTTAAGCTATCACTAAGATTTGTTATTAACGCAACGGTACAGTAAGCGTCAATACTCGAATATTGACACTTATAAATGATATGGCGCATATATATGAGGACATATGAACTATATGGAGGCATGCAAGAAATAAATGGATAGTATTTAGTATTCATTGATTACGTGCTACTATAATAGCGTAGTATTTTTTAGTAACAAGAGTTTCCGGTAAATTCCAATTCAAATTGTAACCTAATAACATTTTTATTCATGAGAGTTAAGTTTAATTTGGATTTCGCACAGATATGCTGTTTTATCAATGATCAGGATATCCGAATTGATATACATATCATCTAATATATCATTTACTCGTTCTTTAAGATACGGGTTTTCAAAGATCCGAGAATTCTATATGGTACGTAAGGAAAAAATGGAAAAGTTGTTTGATACATGATTATTTTTTGTACCATAATTATGCATTTTATTATTAATTTTTATTTCGTATAGGTCCTTCATACTTTTTGATATTGAAAAAATTGTTATAGCTACAACATGAAGAAATCGACAATGCATATGTTTTGAACCTACATTAAAATGTGTAAAAGATGACGTTTATGAGGCGAAAGAGTGTGGCAATAGTGTCCAATTCACTTTTTAGATGAAATTTATCCACTATTTATATTTACCATATTTCCTCTAGGTATATTATTAATACTTATATATATACTTATACTTATTAATCATAAGAGTCATGGTGGCTGACCCAATATAGAGCGTACGAAGGGTTCTCATATGGAAGATTCGGCTGAACTCGATTCTTGATAAGTACCAATAGCTTTTTTTAAATGAATTTGTCAAAATTCACACTAATGACGGTAGCAGCTTAACTTACATATTTGTCTTGATTATTACGACCGAGACTCCAGTATTGCAGTAAGAGGGAAGAGAGCTTTCCATCCTCCGGTTGCCTATAGGGTTGTTTACTGTTCAAACGTATCGTAGAAGCAAAAGAATGACTGTTTTTGAACACAGTTTAATTCTTCGCGAAGGTTCACATGGGAGGTACAAAGAGCAACAGAGGAATATTAAAGAAAGGGTCAAACGGAGTCACTCTACGAATATTTGGTAAGCCAAATATTTTGAAGCCCAAAAATGGTAGCGCAGCATATCAATTAAATGAGATTCAATTATTCAATTTTTTATTCAATACACATGACTAATGCAACCTTATTAAAAGCAATATTTTATTGTATATATAAGATTAAATATTTACCAAATAATGAAAGCGATAGTAGTTATCACACTAATGAATGATATATGTATCAGGAGTTAAATAAAAATATATTGATAAAAGTTTTAAAATACATTTTATTTGATTATCTGACCTTTGACACAATTAATTGCACTATATAAAATAAAGCTAATACTTGGTCTAATCTTACGATGCAACTGACAATATTTTCTTGTACGAATACACGCAAAGACTGTAAATATATAACACGCGACACATGCATTTATTGTTCTATTTTCGAGCCATTCGTTCTCAAACAGCGAGCTCAAAGCTCGCTCGCGATATAGGTCTCTTGACGTTATTTACGACAATTCTTGATTAAAAAAGACAAGACACCCTTTAAACATCGACGAAAAGAGAGAAAAAAGAAATGTATCTGGCGATGCTCTATCGACTATATTATACATACTCTCGCGCATACGCTGCACGTAGGCGCACGAATACTTGGGCCGGCGTACAATTTATTAAGGCACTTAGCGCACTGGGCTTAGCGGTAAGAGAAGCGGGTTTGTCATGGCACGTTTGTCTTTGCTATGCTCCCTTTCTTTCTCGAGCGATCGGGCGCGCGCGTTTGGCACTTGGGAAGAGACTTACGTCTTTAACGTAAATAGATCCACTTTGCCCCCTATACAAAAGACACTTTGTTACGGCCAAGTCTACTAAATACTTACGACTTGCGTTGCCGTCAGAGATCCATCTTTACGTTCGTCCTTTTCCTTTTTGCCCGACAAAAGCAATTCAGATAAGCTACAAATATTTTTTTACTCCGGAAAAGAAGAAGATTTCAACGTATCAAGTTCCAACTTTTAGAATTGCATTCAACAAGGCACCTTACGATAATTCAGACACTGCTGGCATCCGTTCAAGTGTCTTCTTATTTTGACATCGTACCGATTATCATACATAAAACTACCATTCACGCTAACATTATAGTTACCATTCTTAGACTACACATATGCTTCTGATAATTATATTATTTTAATTATAATATATCGTCGCAATATTTTAACTTCCAGTTTTCATAATATAAATGTAATTTATTTCGTTACAAATGGCACGTGATTATTTAGAAATAAATAATTGAACACTTGATGCGAATTCAAAAGTATCGTGAAACCCGGCACTCGGTTGGCTTGATGACTTCGTTAACTGTACTTCGAGTGCTTTTAGTGCTTAATTTATAGCTTTAGACGTGTGAACTTTCTCAGTAAAAATACTTTTTATAATTTCTAAATACTAAAATAACACTTACACTGGCTCTGTTATTTTGTCATGAGAATACATCGTGTATATCTTTTAAGTAAAAAAGTCTTAAGCACAAAACTATAGGTTACAACTCTAACATCGTTATTTTTAGTCTCTTTGAATTCGTTTTTTAATGAAAATATTATCAATTTTAAGGCACTAGATGATTGTCTTTGGCAAATTTTCGGATTATATCAGAAGCTTAAAGTTTGACGATACGTCAAAGCTGGAATGCCGCGCATTTTGTCCGAGCCTAGATCGGTAATAAAAAAAAATGACTAAGATGACACTCACGCAGTTTTTTTTCCGTAAAACAACAGACACATAATTAATATCTGGCACAAAAGATAAAAGTCTAACAAAAGTACTGAGCACGCGTATAGCTATCGCGGCCCGTATAAGGGCGGCGCGTGAGCACTCGGATGCGGATGGTGTCCAGGGTAATGGGGCGCTGGCACAGCCATGTGCCCAGTCTGGTAGGTCCAGTGAGCAGCAGGAGCGGCATAGAACTGATGATGTGGTTCCTGCGTCGGTAGACCAGGCATTAAAGACACACTGCTGGTTGGGTAAGCAGCTGAAAGTGTGGGTGGCGGTACGCCGTTACTGCCGACGGCCGGCGCTGGCTTCTTCGCGGGGCTCTGACTCGTTGTTGGCGAGCTGTCGCAGTCGTCGGGTTCGCAGTCGCGGAAACCTTTGGCGAATGGGTTACTTGCGATCTTTAGTTGCGTTATTCGGTGGTTTTGATATGCCGTCACAGCGGTGAAACGAGTCTCCGGAAACGAGAAGGTCTTGAAGTTCTCCGTGCGTGGATCCGGAAGTGAACCTGGCGGCGAAGGAGCTACTACTACGTGACAGCGTGGCTGGTAGCGATGCATAGAGTTCAAGATTATCTGCAACATCAAGGTCACATACGTCGTTACAGCGTAACATTCGGAGTGTTTTTCATGTCTTCTTCCTTACAGTCAACCGAAACACAGTATCCCGATTGCGTGTATGTTAAATGCGAGAAAAATGCTTTTGTCCTGCGTACGATTCAAGAGTCATCGCTCGAATGTGAGGTCATATTCTTTTTCGTTATTACATTTTCTATTCTCCTTTTGTACAAGGCTTTTAACGTTTCTTTACACATTATATAAGCAAATTTTTTCTAAAGTTAAGTGAAAATTTTCAGATTATTGAAAACATTCATGACCCGAAATCCAAGACAAAAGCAGCACGAGGAATTCGATAATAAACAAAATAAGATCAGAAGCGTGAAAATCACTGTGGTTTCTTCGTGTATATATATACTTGAATTGATCTGAAGACAATGATAGATTGCAATAAATTATTTTGAGAACAAAACTACGGAACAATTGCATATACAATAAAGACGGTAAGTAAATAATCAAGAGAATTATTAGCTTTTGAATTTTCCACGATTAAGCTTGTAATTCGGGATGTATTTGCGTTTAAATGAAAGAAATGTAAGCTAAAAATAAAAAGATAGAAGAAACATCCAGCACCTATTTCATTGTTTTATTGTTGCAGTGTAGTAGCAAAAGTAAGTCGATGATCCTGCGAACGGAAGTAGTCATAATTTATTTTCAAAATTTACGAGCGACAAGAATCTATTCCCTCCGCTAATTTTTACATCAGCAACTGTGCAACCGGCGACAATAGACATTCTCGTTTTTGCAATAAATTCGTGACAGGCAGAGCACAAGCCATCAAGAGTGCGTGCGTTTCAGTTGATTCTCGAAATTATGAAAAACATATAACTCACGGGCAAGTCGTCGCAGTTTACAAGAGGAAGTCGCTCGCGAAGTTTACGATCGCGAGCTTTTTTAACGATCATCGCATCCTCGAAGCTACTATTGCTACTGGGAACATAAAAAAAAGCTGTAAAATTTCGCGGCCGTCCCTTCACCTTGGTCTTGAGAGCTTATGCTCTCCGCGCACTAGCGACGGGATCTAAAAGCAAGAGGAAATATAGAAGTTAACACCGAAGTCTCGTACGGCACATCTGGGGCCCGCAGATTTATCGTCGCCCCCGCGTTCTGCAGTCAAAAGAGAGAGAGAGGGGGGGGACGATGACGAATAATGAGCGAGCGAGAAGAGAGCTGCGAGAGTGCCTCTCTCTGGGATATATATGCCGGAGATGACATCCCTCGCGCGCCGAGCTCAATATGTCGCAGTTATAAGGGAAAAGAGTGCGCTAGTTCGAGGATGATATGGGAGAGGGCCGCAGGAAGGAAAAAACACACGCGGTTGCCGTTAACTTCGGAGGATGGCCAAGTCGTCGAGATTGCGACTGCGTGATTTATCTTGTGAGCTTTCTCGCGGCGGCGCGGGAGGCGAAGACTGCTTTATACTCCGATGCCGCGCGTTGCATAACTGTGGGTGATGCGTTTCTAATTTACGAACTACCGCGCTGCACGCAACGCCATGCTGCAATCTCGCATGAATTGATCGAACCCGATGGGTTCTCGGTTTCGTTTGATATTCTAATGTCTATTCCCGTTGCAGTCTCATTTGTGCGGCACAATTGAAACTGGTATGCCTTTCACGCGAACAAATGTCCCTGGTCGTACTGAATCAATGAAAATTTCGATTTAAAAAGAACTCTCGTGCTGGAGTAAAAGGCCAACCGCCTAATAAGATGAAAGTGAGCCGTGTCGATTTGCCATTTCTCCGAAAGTATCGATATCAAAGGGTAAGTTATTTCCGAATCTGCCAAAGTCAAGAGATGGAAGCCAGTGGTTGAAAAAAAGAAAGAAAGGACCGTGGTGGTCGTTCGCAAGCTGAAAGAAAGGAAGAGACACCGCGGGGGGCACGCACGACTGGATGTTTGACAGTCGGCGGAGTTCGGTGACTAATTAGTGTAAAAAGCACATCTTTCTTTCTCTTTGGCTTTCCTCTTCCGAGACGATGTGAGCAACCGAACACCGCCCTCGCGATGCCTCACTGCATCGGCACACAAATTTTCTGGGTGGACTTTTGTTACAACACGTGTGTGTGTGTGTGTGAGTGCGCGCGCGCGTGCGCGTGTCCCGACCCCATCGGTGGCAGTTGGTTGGCAGCATTCTAAACAAAATGTGGTATGATAGTCCCCAGAGGAAATGCATACGTGCGCATCGAGATAGATGTGTGTTTGTACAAGCAGCTTTTTCTTCTTTCTTGTTATTTATATCAGGCGGATCTAAACAGCATCGTGGCATCTTTCGCTTTTTGATAAAAGTCTGTTTATACTGCGAAAGCTCGTTATACATGTTGCATCAGACGTATTTTTGGTACGGGGATATATTTATAGACGCGAAGAAAAAAGTACAATCGAAGCGTGAGTTCGGCTGCCAAAGTGTCATTAACAGTCGGGCGTCAAATCCGAATCTGGGTTTCCCGAAGAGTGTGCTCGCGCTCGCATCGAAGAGAACCAGTAATTACTTCGGCAATTAGGGCTCGAGTGCGCGCTCTGCTCGCGTGTGGCCCGGAGCTCCCTGCGCGACGCTGGCTGGCGTTCCCATTTTTTTGTTGTCTCTACGCTGTGTGCTATCTCGCTCGAGCGTCTGCCTTTTTATTTTTCGAGCGAGGGCCTAAAAGGGTCGACGCGCTTTTTTTGGCAGCAATACGGAAACGAAAGACGCGATACAAAGTGTCAATTAAGGAGCGAGCGCCACGTAGAAAATTCCGTTCCGCCACGCCTGCTCGGCCGGATTCTTCCTTCGCCGCGGTCGAAGCAGATGAGAAAGTGCTTTTGACGTAAATGGATAAATGCCGCTCTGCGATTGTACTAATTACAATGACGTCGATTTTTGATTTACGTTTTTACAAGTTTTTTTTCAAGATACGGAGATATACGTTTTATACAAAAAGCGATTTACATTATATATTAGAGCTACTTTCAGCGAGATATAAGTCTGTGTGGAATGTAACTCGCGCGGACAAAGAAAATGCTTTGACGAATGAACGAATACAACTTGTATTTACGTTTGAGAAAATTGATCGTATAAACGTCTTGGACATGTGTGATGTGACATTTTTCTGCTGTGAAAAAGTGACGACTCTTCTGAGAAGCGACTTGTGCTCGATCTCCTGTGTTTTCGCTAGCCCACGCGAATATTTACATTTGATTTGTATCTTGGGAGAATCAATCATCGTGACGATGCGTTTAAATGTTGAAACAAAGGCTTTTTAATTCATATAAAATAACGAACGAACGTCAATAAGCTTTCGAGCTTTTGAGTGACTCTCGTCATCAATTGAAAACACGCAATTCCTCGTCTCGTTGCAGACATGGGAATCAGGAGCCAATTAACTTGCTAAATTTGGCAACAATGTGAGCTGAGATACGAAGCGCGAGCGAGAGGCTGACAGGCGATTTTTCACCGAGGATGGCATAATCCAAGGCGCTCGGAGTCCATTCGCGCGCGGCAATTAAAAAAGCCGAGCTGCATCTGTCTATAAGTTCTAATAATTTCGCGAGGCTGGTCGTGTGCGAGAGCTCGTATCTCAGGTCAATTAAGACGAACTCGGCCGAAACGACAAACACGTGCGCGCATCCCTCGCGAGACTTTATGAAGCCGACCGATCCGAAGCGCGACGCGCGGTTTTATAAAGGCGCGACGCGCCTGGGAACGCGGATAAATCTTGTCGCTGTCCCCCGCGAGTTTCAAGCTATACGCACGTCGTTACCGCAAGACTCTCCATGTACGCTACTCCCGAAAGCTGCATTCGAGATTCATTATCGCGCCTCAGGCAGCACTTTAATGGATTCGGTAACTTTTGGTATGTTGCGTTGAAGCGAACTTCGAAAATAGATAGCTAACTGTAAAACGCACTTACTCGTGGAATCGCATTATCATCTTTCCCGATCAATTCAAAGTGCTTGTATTTTTTCAACATCGAGAACAAAAATGTCAAATGCTATATATTTACAATTGACTGATTGTATTGACTCATATGAATTGGTGCAGTAGGGCTCACTCGAATTTTTAACTCTTAATAGTTCTATTTTTCTTCGAAAAAGAAACTTTGGTTTCCAAATAACGACAACTTTGTTTAATTTTATACTTCGTCAATTTGCTGCTCCTGCGGGCTCGTTAAAAAATGCGTAATAACTCACGTGGCCATTATCGTCGAGTTGATTGTTGGTTAGCTTGAGCTTATCGAAAGAAACTGGCTGCTTCATCCAGTGGGCACCGCTCGCCGGACTGTCTGGATGCACGTGAATTCTCGGTGGCGATACCGGGTCGGCTCGACCGGCTACCACCCAGGCACTGCTGTGAAACGCGTATCTGTAGCGTTTATCATCGCAAGGCACAAAGTCCATCACAAGGAGGTAATCCGCGTTTGGTTCTAGGCCGAATAATCGACACTGAAAACACACGTTCAAACGGTCGCAATTAATAATGACCTTAAACATTGTTTTTTTACTCGGTTGAAGAGTTGCTCGTGACAGTCGTACGGATCGGTTGGATTATTGTTTGATAAAACGTCGAACGCACTTGAAAAGTGGGAAACATCCGTCGGCCAGCTTTGGTAACGATCATCTCGGTGCCGAGCTGATGAAACTCTTCCCAGAGTGGTCGGGCTTCAAGAGCTGCTCCTGCGCCGATGAGAGCTGGATGGATCGGTCTTTTATTCGTCTGGGCCTCGTCACTGGTGTCATCGTTGCGAGTATTGTTGTTGCTGTCGTTACCCGTGACCGACGACGTTGTGAGATTTGGCGACGGCGACCTCTTCGATGTACTGCCTGCCGTCTGTAGACACGCTAAAATTCAGAAATTTAACATCCGGTCGTTCATTTTTTTAACATTGCAAGCTGATTATACTTATTTCAAGTTTTCGCTTTTGTCACTTTCTCTGATCTCTTCAATTCAATTGAAGATTGCATACACAACTGTGATTATTAATTAGATTTTCTAAATGTTTTGGAGAACCAAATAACATTTTCAACTCATGTTCTTTTATTTGTTTTTATATAATTTAAATTCAATTTTTTTATTGTCGAATTAATTTGGCATTCAATTGATGCTTCTTTTTTCATATCAATGTAACTTCAATTCAACTTCTCACTAAATTTGCACATTTCAATATTCTTATATTGCGTAAAATGAGAAAGACGCCGCAAACGCGACGGTGGAATGAAACAGTCGTTCTTCGCAAGTTTCTCCTTTTTTTCAGACAAAAGCGACGATCGCAAGTGGTCTATCCATTTATCGCTCAGGAGACAATGCAATTCAATTAAAAAGATTTACCGAGACACGCCCATACTGTTTAGTCGAACAGAATAGAATGTGTTAGGTATAAATATACGCTAGTGATTAATGGCTTGTTCACTTGTAACACAATAATTGATGCAATTCTTTATCTGAATATGGTAAAATTTAAATTCGTTTATGCGTATTTAATTGTGAAAATATTTACGATTTTATTTATCTTCATTCGAATGACTAAATATCCAAAATTCTTATACTTGAAATTTGCTTCTATGCTGTATTGATATTGATAATGACCAAGCATGATAGAGGAGAAGTAGTAATAAAAATTAACATTTTCAGAGTGCAATTGTGTAAACTATCGTAGCAAGAAACTTACTTGCAATTAGAAAATCGTGAGCTTATAAATGATGGCACATCTAAAATAATACGCTCACACACATCGCGACCAATAACTTTTCGACAAAACTGTAAGCAAATTATGCGATCCCAGATAAAGGCGTAGCTTGAAAAGTAAAAAAGGCACGATGAAAAGTCATGCAGTTCCGACGGGAGAAAAAACTCGCGCAAGCACGCCTCGGGAGCTTGCGGCGCTTTAAGAGCAGGACTCGCCGCGCCGGCGGAACTCGGTCGGCTAAAAGAAGCGAGCGAGCGAGCAGTAATCTCGAGTTAGACTTGGCAACTAAAGGATTTGACCTCGGGCCACTGAGGAGAAAAAGACAGCCGGTGCGCCTTCTGCGCACGCGGCCACTCAGCCACCGCGTGGCCGAGTCTCTCCAAGCAGCTTTCCGAAAGTATCGCAGCACTTTTTGGAAGCATTTATTTTTTCTAACAACGACCCTTCCCGAAAACATTGTTTATGCTTGCGAACTATTTCGAAGCATTACTTTCTACGAATTGCGTAACTACTCTCTGTTGTTATCTTGGTACTAATGGCTTTCCAGCGAATTCTACGGAAATTACCAGAAGGTCGTGATTAGTCGAAAAACGTGCAATAGTTGAATAGAAATTGTTATATATTTCCAGTCGGAATGCAAAATGTGAACATTGACGAAACGTTGCCGCCAACTAAATAAATCATAACAACAAAGCCGACCGTGTGCTTTTTCAATATCTAGTCCACTCTGATTATAACGTTTGATTGCCGAAACGCGTGTTTGAAATAGCTGTGTCGCTATATAAGCAAGGCAATGCTGAGACAGCGTAACAACGAATGTAACACATGTTTTTATTCACCGTGAGTGAAAATTTTTTGCAAAGAGAACTATACGCAAGTACCTTCCATTTGCTGCATCGGTGAGGGTGCGGCCACGATCTGCGGCTGCGGATGGTGATGATGATTAACCCATTGCTGGTAGCAACAGTCGTCAGCAAGTTGCTCGTGACGTGGCTCGTGCTGCTGTTGCATTTTCGCTCACCCTCGGAAAGAAAGAAGAGAAAAAGAACAAGTCACTCGCGTGGCCGAAAACGGTGGCGTCAGCTGCGGTCGTCGCCACAGCTCATGATAACGGCGAGGCACTGGTTTGACAAGCGACGAAAAAGAAGAAGAATAGAATGCGGCGTCGGTCGTCGCGCAAGAGGCGAACGTTAGGAAGGCAGGCTGCGGCGCGCGCGAAAACACGGATTCCCCTCAATCATCGGTCGGCGGCGCGCATTGTCATCGGTCCGTGTAATGAGGGCGATAAAGAGTCATCGGCGTGGTATTCGCCAACAGGCAACGTCCTCGCCTCGTGGCGCGTCTGGCGGCGCTGACAGAGCGCTTGGTCGGGCGGCTGCGGCAGCGCGAGATCGCGGCTCGCTCGCTCGATTTTTCGTCGTCTGGCGCTCCCGGCAGCCCCGCGGAGACTGGCGATGCACCCCTATCATCGCTCCATCATTCTCTCGTTCGCACTTTGATCGTCGTCGCCTTCGTCGTCGTCGTCGTCGTCGTCGTCGTCGTCGTCGTCGCCGAATACTTGTGCTCTCTCTCTCTCTCTCTCTCTCTCTCTCTCTCTCTCTCTCTCTCTCTCTCTCTCTCTCTCTCTCTCTCTCTCTCTCTCTCTCCCTTCTCTTTGAATCTTAACGCCGCGCGCGCAAGGGAGGAGTCTTCTTTCCTCCTCCTCCTCCCACGCCGTATCCCAAAAGTTCGCTGGACCATATACGCTTGGAGGAGCTCCAACTTTGACATGCTCCTATTGAGTGCTGCCGCACGCTCGACGTGGGCGTGGCTCGCTCTTTGTACCAGCAATTCAAATATAGCTTCCAACTTACCACTGGACTTCTCATCGAAGCCTTACTTTCGTTTATTTCCTATGATTTATGAGTATCTATATGCACACGCGCCAAAATCATGATTTGGGATAGCGCAATTGGTCCCGGTGTACTGCTCTATATTCTCGTTTTTCCACCTCGAGTACTGTCTCAGTCACACGAATATAAACCGATGAATCGGTCGACGATCGGTACCGACGTTACACTATAGATATCAGCTTGTATTTTGTAGATCGATATGCAAAGTACTTGAAACATTGATCTTCAATTTAAATATTCTCAATTTATGATGATTCACGCGTTTCTCACAATTTGTCACGAACGGTCAACTTCGTAAAATTGTATTATCATCTTTTCAAAATTAAAAGAATAATGAAGATTTTTCTTAAATTCGTAAGCAATTTATATTGCTTTGTGATGTAGTTTTCAGATTTTTCTTGTACAATTTTTACCTCAGCTCACGCATGGTTTTATACTCTCTAAAACTCGTACATTTCATAAAAGCTTGTTGAGCAAGTTCAATCGAATGAACTTACAAATGTAGCTGACGAAACATAATCATAAGTATATTTGAAGCGTCTGAATTTAAACAAGATACTATAGTCATTCGCCATAAATGAAACAAGAACACTACGCTAGTTTTCAAAAGGAATCTCCGATGATACATTTAAAGTTCTGTTGACAAAGTTCAAAATTGCAATGATTAAGCGGCGAAAGTTAAATGAGATTTGCAGCTGGATAGATGGATATTTGCACGTGAAGGAAGATTGGCAAAATCTACTTGGTGGTGTGATCGAACGTATTTGAAGACGCCGGAGCAATGGTGGGAAAGCTCTACGATCGGCCAGACTTTCACGCTTCGACTCTTAATCTTTCAACTCTTGAGCGATTAGTACATCGTCGGTCGAATCGCTTTCACACGAGTCAAATGCATTACACTTCTCACTTTTGCACATTATATTCACTTTCAGTAAAATGAAAATATTTACACTAGGTGCGCAAGATCAAGTTAAAGATTTATTTTACAAAAATACTTACAATAATCAGTCGCAGCTTATAAATTTTTAATAATTAAGAAAATTGATAATTTTTATATATGCTAGAATGTTACACCTGATTGTCGCTGTAGTTTTACCTCTTACTTTAGTAAGTTTGGGGAATATTTTCATGTCTCAGCAAATATTTACTTAAAAACCAGAACCATTCTTCTAACCATGAAAAATCATGATTGTTTTATATTTACACTAGGCTGCAAGCTATAACATATTTCATAACTTAATTGAATTCCAACTCGAATTAGATTCTTTCAATGGACGATGGAAATGGTTTAATAACTTTGAGCCATTTAATCGTTCAGGGACAACAAAAGATTGCTTCATGCGAAGTCTGCAGTCAGCATGTTGCACAACTGACAGATCTTGTAATTAAAGGAATGACTTAATTTCTTCTAATAATTTTCTTTCTAGCGCCGAAAAATTTGATATTCGCTTTTATATATTAATTAATGTAGCAACTTTGCATGCTACCGCATCGTTAGAAATTTTCCCTTAAAAATAATAATTTACTAAATATTGAAAAGAATTAGGTATTATCGAAACGCAGTTTGTTTCAACAAAAGCCCTGCAAATTTATTCAAAAGGGATACTTCAAAATTACAGAAAATCGCTGACTCGCAGATATAACATTATCCTTGATAGTTTTTAAATATTTTATCAAAATATTATTACAACGATATATATATATATATATAATGTGTAATATATAATTTATAAGTATATTTCCAATGTGCTTTTGAAAGTTTTAAAATATTTTATTGTAAGATGTAATAATCGCATTTATATTTTCCGTTGGTAAATATTCTTATCGCGAATCATATGATTTACGTTCAAAATACTCAACTGATGGACAATAATGTACATTTTATTAATAGCAATTTTGATTACGGTTACAGACTGATCATTGCTATTAAGAAACTGTCTCCACGACAATGTTAAGAACGCATCTGTACGTAAAGCTTTGTGAAAAACGATCGATTTTTTTTATACATAGCTTTTTCTACTCAACCCGAAATTGTGTTATATTAATTAAAAATATAAAAAAGAATTATAATTAGATTTCGTAGTAAAATGCATGTATTGGAAACATAAAAGAAATTTGATGTTAGTATAGATATATCAATGTACATTTATCTCGGCATGCCTTATTTTTCTTTTTAGTTCGACGTATAACTTTGTCCCCTTGGATTTTCTGTTTTGGCTAGCCAGCCAAAAGGCGGAGTTTCGTTGCACCGCGGGAGCCACCCATGAAATTAGACATATACTTGCCTTGGAAATTTTTACTCTTTTTCATATTTCTTGTTAACAAAGTACTCGACAAAATGCTTCTCTACGTATTCTACATTTCGTTTCAAATTTCAGGCTTTTCTGATTATATTTTTCAATTAATGTAGATCTTGTAAGCGGTGAAATACAAAATACCATAATTTAATTTTCCATCTAAAAAAACCATTAAACGTCCTCAGAATAAAACTTATAACGAAACCCAACTATAATAAAGAAGTCAAATGTTATTTGAATAGATTGGCTTAATCCTCAGTACAGGAGACCTTGATTATCAAAGTAGCATTGGTGAATCGACATTAACATTTATTACCGTTTCTATCCCAGAGAATGCTTGATATTAATAAATAAATTAACGAAAATAACGAATATTCTGTAATGTTTGACAAATAGTACAAATGTTGAACAATGTAATATCCGAAACTGTCAGACTCTCAATGTACGAGTAAAGGACAAGGAATATAATATACGATCTATTTTTTAACAAATAACAAAAAATCTTATAGATACAATAATAATTTTGTCCACAGATTTAAAATTCTACTGTAAAATAGATTATTTTATCCCATGATAACAATGTAATTTACAAACAGTAGAGTAAAAATAAGGGTATATAAATATTCTGCTCATGAAGTTAGCTGTTACAACAGATCATTCGCATGTACCTGTTTTATGTGAAATCAAGAGAAATTGATGCAAACTTCAGAAATTACAAAAATATCGAAACGATGAAAAATTAATGAATAGCCGTTTGTTTCACTGTTAAATAAAGCTTTTTCGTGCGGTTTCGATTTTAAAAGTGAATTAATTGAATAGATCAAAAAGTTGGCCTAAAAATTATTTCACGTCAGAAAAATATAAAGAAATGAATAACTGAATATTGTGAAAAAGAAGTAAAAACATAGTTTTCGCTATCAACCTTCGTAAAGAAAAGAATAGTCAGTAGTTGGTATTTCTAATACAATTTTTATGAAATGTTATAAAATTTCATTTTGTAACTTTTTATAAAAACTTTATTATTTCGTCAATACATAAACAGAAATAAATAAGACATAAAACAGTTTTCAAGAGTTCTGTGAGGAAGCATTACATCAAAATAGTTTTAAGCGTTTTTTCCTTTTTGTACGTGTATACATATATATATGTATATGTGTTTGTGTATATATATATATATATATATATATGTGGATGTGTATGTGTATTTATTTTTTTTATATTGATTTGTTTTTTTACTAACATATACCTTTCTCTTTCTTAACAGCATTAAATTCTTCTACCATTTTAACAAGTCCATCTGGAATGATTCCGGCGTCTAATTCTTGACACCATCTATAATACTATAACAAAAAAATTATATTTCAATAGGTTGATATAATTTTTAACAATCTGAACATTGCTGTCCACCGCAAATAAAAAAGGAAACCAAATGTTAGATTAAGTTTGTTAAAACACTTTATCAAGAATTACTCTCCCAAGAAAATGAGAACATTATTTTTTAACTTTAATTTTTATTAGAATTCGTATGTATAGAAACTTATAAACTTTAATGAATATCTAGAAAATAGTTGGACAAGCTATTAATTGCATTATATTTCAATATGTTAAAAAATCGCAAATTTTTCAAACCGCGAGTAGCTCTAAAATAATTATTTATTAATAGACATATTATATACTTGAATTTCTTGATATTTTATACTTTACCATTTCTAGTTCTTTTGTAAGAGCAAATATCGCCTTTTCTCGATCGGATACTAATTCTTCTAAATATTGATATCGTAATTTTTTCCTGGCACGACATTCTCTGGCACTTTGACGACTGCGTTCTGTCACAATAAACATTGTTACATGCTTAATTGTTAAATATACTTTTAAATAACATGCATTTTTTTTAAATAAAAAAAATTATGAACTTTTTTCATAATAATTATGATGTAGTAAAATTTTGCAATGCTATTTCAATGATCATGATATATCAAATTCTTATAAAACTTAATTCTTATATTCTTACCTAGTTTTGCTTTGACATCAATTTTATCTGATAACCTGCGACCCGGTCTTCGCCCTCTTTTTCCAGATTCTTTTTTAATAGTTTCCTGGAAAGATTCCTAAAAGAAAAAGAACTATATTGTATAAAAACTTTTTCTATTAAATTTATTTTCTTTTTATTCAATACCAGTTTTTTTTCATATTCCTGATGACATTGTAATGGTATAATTGTAATCAATTTATGGAATTGAAAAATTGGACAATAGTATTTTAATTAAAAAATTGTCACTTTATAGTCTAAAATAATCCATTGTTTACCACATAATCATCAGTTTGTGTTACAAGTCCTTTGTAAGATATTACGAACCAAAGTCAAGTAATTCGAATACTGAGTATGAGATAAAGACATATTTATGCACATATGTATTGATTTATAAATATACTTTTTTTTTGCAGAACATGTACACAATGAGCTGAGCTATTATTAACAACACATATTAAAATATTACTTATTGTATGTTTTATTACAAGTCAGTTGTCGAATGCTTGTCTGGATTTTGAAAATTTGTATGCTGTGGATGGCGATGAAAGAAACACACAAAGAACTTTCTGAATCTATGACTATCCAACATGAAACAGAATACAATCAATGTCACAATTAGTTGATCAATATGATCATTTAGAAAATACAAAATATATGTCTTAGAAAAAATTAATTAATCCTTTGAATTGATAACTCTCTGGGCATTGATAGCATATGCTTAACTAATTGTACACAAATAGACTTCCAGTAGCAACTATCTTACTGTATGGAAACGTTTTAATTAAACTTGTTTCAGTAAACAAATGAAATGCTGACTGACAACTTATATAGATGACAATTAACATAATAATTTGAATCATATTAATAATTCAAGGACGATATCAAGTAATTCAAAAAAGAAAAACAATAGATTATAGGTTATATTAACATTTTATGATACAGTGATTTATAATGGACACTCACAATATGATCAAATGTAAAGTGATTTCCTTTTGAATTCAAAACATAATCAATGTATACTAACGTCTACTTCAGCAACGTAGGATTCATCAATTTCCATTCTTAAAAAGTAAATCTGAAAATATTTTTTGTTTTGATTTACTATTTATTTCCCATCATGTCGTAAAAGACGTAAACACTGAAATGAGTTATCGGATTATATATCTAAATATAGTTTTAATTTATCATAAAGAATAATTATATTTCATCTTATTCTATTGTACGCCAATTTATTAATTTATATCAAGTGAAAAATAAATTTGTTCGTATTTCATTTCATTTTAGAAAAATAGAATAACATTTAGTATCTGTCAATTCGCTCTCAACCGAAAACTCTTATTTAACTTTATAATGAATGAGAAATAAATTTATAAGAAAGTCTTTATTGCAAGTTATTTCTTAGTTCTTCTTACGAACAAACGATAGGCATAATGAAATAATGAATATATTATTTATTTATGTAGTTTAGATTAAAAACTGTTTTGAATTTTGTGTATGTACTACTTAAATTGAATGGTGATTTTATTGGCTTATATGAAATATACATTGCCATGTTACATGAAGGTAAGCCTTAAAGAAGGCGCGAAGTTCAACTTATACTATATTGTACAGAGGATATATCTTAACTTATCTTATATTTTACATTTAATACTAACAATGAATTGCGTAATACATTGAATCAAATCAAGATTTTTTTCTGATAATAAAGATATTATGGAGAAGGGCCCGTATTTGTGTATACGTCTAATTTCTTTAAGAAGAACAGTTCTTTGTTTATTATATAAGGCACATTCCCAAAAAATGTGTTCAATGGAATCATCAGACTGACCACATTGACAGAAGCTACTTAATACAATGTTCTTTCTAAATAGACTCAAGTTTAGGGAGGTGTGGTTAGATCTAATCCTGTTAATGGAAACTATTGCTTTGCGTGGCAGACCTAGATCAAAGAACCAAGGTTTACTGTCAGCTGTATAAAAGTTTTCAAAGAAAAAAGAACCTTTTGAGGAACTTAGGCTCATTATTATATTTTCATTCTCTTCTTTGCATATATTTTTAGGAATGTTTAGAAAATCAGACATTGGAACCGGTTCATTGATTAGGTGGCCATTTTTGGCTGCAGCTTTAGCTTTAAGATCAACAACTTCATTGCCATGGATACCCACGTGAGCAGGAACCCATGCCAATTTTATTAGAATGTTTTTATCGCGCGCTTGTGCTAATTTACTTCTAAGATTAATGATTAATACTGAATCACATGAATACGACATTAAAGCTCTAAGGACACTTTCTGAGTCTGAAAAAATGATATAGTTGCCGGAGCCTTTATTAATAATTTTTTCTACAACCAGTACGAGAGCTGTACATTCAGCTGTAAAAATTGATGCTGAATCCAAAATTCCATATTCAAAGCATAGATCTTGACATTTGCTCCAAGCAGCAAAGCCGACACATGTCTTACTGTTTTCTGTAATTTTGGATGCGTCAGTAAACACAAATGTACAATCAGAGTTTTCAGGAAATAAAGTGTTAAACTGATCATTAGGAGATTTACAGCTATTAATTTTCTTACCCTCATCTAACAGAATTGAAGGCGAGTACAGGAGATAGTTAAAATCTTTGAGATATTTGATATGCTTATTTAAACTCATCAAAGAATCTTTGAGAAACCAAACTTTTTCATAACATTCAGCCATAAGGGAGCTAGAAAAATTATTCGCAGAAATAAAATAGTCATTTAACTGAATAATCTCCTCTAGATTATTTGTAATTTGATACTGATTATAGGCCATACATTTAAGAATATATTTAAAACAGTTCAGCTTAAATCTGCATTGTAAATACGGGATTTTGGATTCAGCAGCCAAAACATTGATTGGTATGTACTACTTACCAATGAAGATGCAGATCTGGCCATCTGTTAGACTAACAACGAAACATGCACAAACGTTTTTTTGAATAATACCTACCGTCTATCGATAATAATTTAACGATTTGGAATTGCTCTTATATAAAAATATTTAATTATTAAAGGCGATTACAGGCGTCTTTAAATAAATAGAGGAATAATTTATTTCAATGAATAACATTATTATGAAGTTATTAATTTATATAATCATAGTACATAATCTGTATAAGTAAGAGATTAAAGCTGAATAACTCGCGATATATATTGACAGAAGATAGTTAAATTAATTAATAATTATCGTTGTGTTGGAGGTATAGAAGGTTCGGATATGCGTGTGTGAGTGTATGCGTGCGCGTGCGCACGTGTGTGTAAACGTGTTTTATATTAATATGAAGTTTGAATATGTTCTCTTGCAATTATATTTAACAAATTAATAGGATGAAAGATTAAATATTTTATTTCGGTTGAGGTTGGCTACAAATATGAACTTTGTCTGGACAGAATCTTTCCGAACTACTCAAATTTATTTGAGCTTTCGATAAGCTTTTCAAGTTAAATACCCTTCAAAACAACAGTTTCAAATTCATATCTAAAAATTATTCGAGGGCAAATAAAACTAAATTTAAAGTCTGTCATACGTTAATAGTGCCTTTATTTGACGCACCATAATGATTTTCACGCAGTCTTAAGTTTTACAATAATAAAACACATTTGTAACATTGTACAATTATGCTTTCAAAAGATGTTTCTTTGTTGGTATTAGTTTCCGCATATTATCCATAACATATCATTTTCAACGATGTGTTTTCATTTTTCATTCGTGTGCATGTAGTTGCTTCCTCGCTATGACAAATTTTCACTTCTTTTACTCGAGATTTTCAAGTATGAATTTAAAGAACATGCGATAAATCGTAAATTGATGATTAGAAACTGACGTATTGCTCATTCTTATTTGAGACATAAAAAAGCTAATACAGAATACAGACTGAAAGAAGTTTAGTACTTACCAACACTTTAATTTGCTTTACTATTTGTTATATTTGATACATTTTTTCTAGTTTGAGTCACCTTAATTGCGTAAGTTATATTGTTTTTCGACAACTTATAAATAGCGATATACGAATGCATGCAACTTAAAAGTTATTGTATACATATAGAGGCGGCATACACATCTGACACTTTGTTTACTCTTCCTGTAAGTTCCATGTATGAATGCGTATTATAATTAAAATTTTTTAATTTCCACTATTTTCTAACTATATTGCTTATGATAATGAAAATTACGTGACTGTAGTTTCACGAATCCTACTCCAATAACCCATTCATTCTATAATAGTCTACTCACTATTTATAGAAATCACTTTTGGTGCGTGGTTATGTGTTTCTTAGTATAATTATATATTGCTTTGAATATTCAAAGTCGCAGTCTTCAAACTATAGAAAATACAGGTAATTCACTTTCCAGCAAAAATACAATTCCTACTATTATTATTGTAAATTAATGGATGTTATAATTATTTTAATGTCTATGTGCATTATTTTTATAAGGAGATATATTACAAATTATTGTAGTTTTAGATGTAACAGTTAAATAAAATCGTAAGCTCAGAATTTTTTAATTCTAAAGAAATTGTCATATTTAAAAACTTGACTGTTGTCAAAATCCTATACATTTGCCCGTAAGTTATATGTCGCTCGCAGAGATAATGTAAAAGAAATAGCAAGGCTTTTCAAAGAATGTTCGAAAAATGGACAGTTTAGCAGCAAAAAAATTAGAGGAATGCAAAAAATCATTACAAACCTACATAATTTATAAATCTTTCCTGCGAGAGAGAACTTCAAATAAAAAGTAGAATTCAATCATCTGTAGTGTAGATGTGATAGTTATAGGAGTTGATCAATTAGTTTATTAGGTATGTACTTTACTAAAAGAATATAAATACTTGAAATTCGTTACTATCTTAGTATTTATATTGTACATACTATTATTTTATGTACTATATAAAGCAATCAGTATTTTTAGTCTTTGTAAAAACTTATGTAGAATTGATACAACCTCTGAAAAATAAAAGTTCAACTCCTAAAGTGGTACATGGATAGATGGAATGAAAGAATGGTTGAATAAGATATCAGGTGAGATTTTATTTAGAAAAAAAAGAAATGTACAATGATTGGGAACGCGATTAAATTAGTTTTATCAGATTATTTGCTTTTTTTCGTAGAAATCACTATAATAAAGTCGTTGCTGGCTGATCATAATTTATCTTTTAATTTGTCAATACAACGCCGTCAGTGATAATGGGATTACTACGTCTATAGTGCATGAGAAAAACGCAAGTGACCATGTTCTTTGTTCATTTTTCGGAGGAAGATGGACTTTTGTTCATCATTTAGAAAAGAAAATTATAAAATTATAAACGACAATAGGAATGAACAATCATAACTTTTGGATGGCGAACGACATTGACCTTCCATGACGGATTGATGAAAAACTGAAATAAATGTATATATTTATAATGATTTGTATTGATTTTTTCAATGAAATAGTAATGATTGTATGTCTGCCCATGCAAATTATTGGATTTTTTTATTTTTTGTATAATTTCCTATGTTTATGGTTGAATTCTTGATTCGTATTTTTGTACCTCATGCGCAATAAAAATAGTTTATTGCAGATAATTCAACTTCATTTTTCTTGTTACACTCGATAATCATTTAATTAACTTAAGGTATATTGAAAGATTACGTCTGAACGTGACGAGAAAAATTGAGAGATTTTCTGTCATAAACTATTTTTTTAATTGTAAAAACGCATTCTCGACGAGCATATCGGCAAAGCACATTCAAATAATTAACAAATGAAACTATTATCTATTAATTAGTCGTTTGCCTTATCTGGCGTTGCTCGAAACTATTTTGAACAGATTTAGCCTTGACTCGACGACATACATATCACATTATGAATCATATTTTAGACGCAAATGCTGATTTGTGATCATAATATAATAATATTCAATTTTTTTCTAATATAAACTTTTACTTTAATATGATTTGAAACATCTCGTATTACAAAAAGAAAGTATCAATTTTTTCAATACACCGATTATTATTAACTACGATAAATTTTCACCAAACTAACCGACGAGTTGCTTTACAAAAAAAAAGATATTACAGAAATTTGAGAAAGTGGCATTTCAGTCGTCATTCTTTTTCTTCAATAGCACATCTACACACGCATATATCGATTACAAACGAAAAATGTAACAGGCGCATCGTTGCATCATGAGCACGCGCTTATTGTTTGGTCGCGTACACAGACCTGGTCGGTTACCATGAGTACATGTGCTGTGTGACCGTCGCTGCGGAATTTTTCTTTGTCTCTCCTGGAAGTATGAGTAGATGAAACAATAAGGTCTTGGGCAGGTGATATTCAGAGCCGGTACAATGATATCTACGTCTTTTTTTTCTTTGAAACGCTATCCGTATAATAAAAAATACAAATAAGAAAATCAAGAAACAGCCGTCGTATGTGTAAAAAAGAGCACCTTGCTTTTCTTACTTCCAAGCAAATTTCAAAATATAATTTGATTTTACGTATCTCTGAAAAAAAAATTTACAATTTAAACACTCATTTTACAATTTAATTATTTTTTCTTAAGCTCACTATATAATTAATGAATGTTCATCTAACCTGAACTGATACTCTACTTTAGAACAGACAACAACTATACAAGAGCCTCCAAGCTTATAAGCTCTTTTTCTCTTTTGCGTTTTTTTGAGCATAAGCTCGTCACATATCAATCATTGCGCATTCTGAAGGCCACCTACTCGAACGCGAATGAAAATAAACAAGTTTTTGGTTAAAAATGTCGACATCATCATGATTCCGCTTACTCGTTTATTACATACATTAAAAAGAGGAAAAAGAATAAAAATCAAATCCGAAAATAAAAAATGTCAATATTTGCCAAAGTTTCAAAAGACAAAATTCAGACGTCTTTTATTCAGTAGTTATGCGTTAGAAATTAATTATAAATTAAATACAATGAAGTCCCCCAGAAGTGATTTCTGCGTTCTATCATTGCTTTAATGGATGGCTTCGCGTAGGTTGTTTTGCTCTTTTTTTATTTTTCTTTCATTTTCTTCGTTCACGAATATACTCGTAATAATATTTGCAATTATTCTTTCTCACGAGAATCCAAGAATCTTGGATGGTGAGAAAGGAAGGATTTAGGTGGATAAAAGGGAAAAGGTAAGGGGGAGGAGGGATGGTCGAAGGAATAGAGAGAGAGAGAGAGAGAGAGAGAGAAAGAAAGAGAGAGACGTCTTAAGATCCTAAGCGTCGCGTTCGAACGAGATAGAGTTGGGTATTTCACTTCTTTTTGTTTTTGTTGTTGGCACCACGAGGCGGCGTGACTGGTCGACCAGCATTGAGGCCACCATACGTGAATTTCCTCTTGTCGGCTGGCTTGAGAATCTGGAAACTGCACATCAACGTCTCGTCCACGGACATCATCGCCCCGGCATTGTCGAACTCGCCGCAGTAGTTGGGCGCCGAGAACAGCGTCACTAGTTGCCGTTTGGCAAAGAACTCGTAGCCATCTTCGACCACCTGCATAAGCGTGATTCAATGTAATAGAGCTCATTGCCAACTTCAAACATTTGGATCTTTGACAAGAGTCCAATTGAACTTAATTAAATAAAAATTTTAATGAAGCGTTTTTGGCAAATCCCTCACGTGATACGTTGGAATCTTTGTCTCTTTGTTGAAAGTCAATGTCTTAATTATAGCTACTATCAAAGTAAACGTTTTCGACGTATTCTTTTTAAGTACGTTTCATTAATTTATAATATATCATAATTATTGGATTTCACTGGATTAGTATTAAATCTCGTTTGATAAAAAAAGAATTAATAATTTTCAAGCCATTAGAGATAAAGGATCAAATTATTATGCAAAACAAAAGTGAATTTTATACGTTCGTGCAGTACAGGCTATTTTACGCGACTTTTGTCGACAACTGCAATTACTCGTAAGATAGCTAGTTTCATTGCAGTCCACAACAAATATTGAAAAACTTGAAAAAATGAAATTAAATATAATAGAAATAAAAAGAACGATATATAAACAATAAACAATGTAACTTATGAAAAAAATAAATAAATAAAAATAATAATAAACCTTCAAAGTTTAGGTGTAGTTGACTTAAAGTTGATATAATATGTAGCTAGTAGGAAGCGCATTAGATAATAAAAGTTACCTGATGCGCGCGACAAATAAGGTCAAAATCGTGTTTGTGAAGGAATTTGGCAACGACTTCGGCACCGAAAGTGAAGGATACACCACGATCATTCTCGCCCCAGCCCATAGTGTCCTTGTCGGGATCAGACCAGAGAAGGTCACAGAGCAGGCCTTGATCGGGCACATCGGTGGGCCGCATTATGCGCCTAATCTGTTCCATGTTTTGCAGATCAGGACTGAGGCCACCGTGACAACAGAAGATTTTCTCATCTACGATCGCCGCCACTGGCAAGCAATTGAAGCAGTCTGTGAACGTTTTCCACAGTTTAATGTTGTAGCGACGCTTGCCTGAAATTTGTTCGATTTTTGTCAGTCAGGAACTCATTGAAAAGATATTAATTTTGTAGTATTATTTGTGAAAGCATTGCTTACATTCATCATAAAAACCATATATCCTGTTGATTGAAGCGCATTCGTGGTTTCCTCTAAGCAGGAAGAAATTCTCAGGGTACTTGATCTTGTAGGCAAGAAGAAGACAAATCGTTTCTAAAGACTGCTTTCCTCTGTCTACGTAATCACCTAAGAAAAGATAATTACTCTCTGGAGGGAATCCACCATATTCAAACAGTCTAAGCAGGTCGTAATATTGTCCATGAATGTCACCTGCCAAAGAAATAACAATAACAACAAAAAGAAATAATAATTATCATTTATAATTTTATTTGATACAATTCTTTTACAGCTAGTATTTTATTTAAATAAGCATTTCAATTCATCATATTGTATGATCACACACTTAATTTTTAGACAATCATAATTTTGGCAAATAAATTGTTGTAAATATATGAATTTCAAAATAGTTTATGATACCATTTTTCGTGAATGTATATTGATTGTCAATTTTTACAAAATTAGAACAAAATCAAATGAAGCAAAAAAGTTATCCTTACCGCATATCTTTAATGGTGCCTCAAGTTCCAACAGAATGGGCTGTGATAGAAAAATTTCACGGGACTTGAGGCATAGTCCTCGAATTTCTCCTTCGGTCAGCTGAACATTTTTGCCTGGTCGTGCTCCTCGGACTGAAATGAAAGTTATTTCAATACTTGAATTATACATATTAAGAATTTATATTTATAGAAAATTTAAGTATAATTTGTGATAGAAATAGAAATAATAAACGATGAAACTTTGTATTATTTTATAGGGTTTTTTCAAATTTCTAATGAAATGTTTTCAATTTATAGTTTGTTTTACGTATATACAAATAAATGAGATATATACTAGTAATAATATCAAATTTAAGTAGAGGAAAAAATTTTTCAAGAAATTAGAAAAATTAGAAATTAAAAACATAATACAGTTATTATTATTCATTTTAATAATTAAGCATTAAGGAAGTAGTTGCATTTCATTAGCTCAACCTTTAAATAATTAGGTATTTGTATTAGCTATGAAAGTAGCGCCACCTATGATAAGTTGATTTCCTAAATATAGTAGGATATTTTTGTATATATTTTATAGATATTGGAAATTTTATTTTAAAATAGTGATACATCTTATATTTAGAAAATGTTTTGCTTTTTTATACCAATTTAATACAAGAGAAAATAAAAATCAAAAATTTCAAATATGATGCGTATAAAATGATGTTTAAGCTTGAAATCTATAAATAGAAAGTTATAGTTTTTTAATTTATATAGACTCAAGAATATATTAACTAATCTTACTAAGATTATATAACAATATTCTTTGCATTTTTAAATCGGTTGAATAAAATAAGTTACCTACACTAAATTTTGATATGAAGGCAGAATTTGAATTTGAATAAAGCGTGTTAAAATAAAAGGTGAATATCTTTAATAACATTAGAAAAAATATTACTGATCATAAATAAGTATTTTATATATCAATGGACTGGATAAAATTGGTACTAAGAGCCATTTAAGCATTTGTAGCAGAATGAGAAGCTAGCAAACGGAGAAATAAAGTATGAAGATTAATATGATATAAAAAAAGTTTGCTGCTTTGCCATTTGCTCATCAAAGCAGCAGCTGGTTGTGTAAACAAACTGGCAGCCTACATAATGATTAGCTTCTAGACATCAACAACAGCACAGACAGAAGACATTAGTGTATTAGAAGGCTAGTTGAAAGAAGCAGTGAGTAATAGAGGGGCGGGCCGGTGCATGACTTGTCCGCCTAAATTTATAACCCCCGTCCGAAAAGGAGAGAGATGGAGGGAGAGTTGCGTAATTGGACGGTCCCCACTGGCTTGGTTTAGCAAAAGGTACCAAACTCTTCAAGGGCCGCCCGTGTCCTTGACATTTTTAACTGTGGTTGCTGTAAAGTATGCGAGCACGCGAGCAAGAGAGCAAGAGCGAGCGCGAGAAGTTGATAGACAGACACTCTGAGAGGAAGAGGGAAAGAGCGATTTAAGATGGAGTGCGCTCTTTGGCAGATAGAGGGAAAGGGAAGGTACGAATGATATGCCAAGAAGATGATGCTCGTACTCAACATGCGCGTATATTGCGCGTCTCGTAAATATACAGCCGAGGAGAAATGGAAGCCAAGCGAGCCTCACGCGCTCTCTCGCTCGCTCGGCACTTCACCGAGAAAATGCACTGGATGATAATATGGGTTTTTCTACACAAATAGCGCGTGTGCGCAAAATTTTCAAAGCAAACGGCGCTTATGAATGGTTACCTTCTAAGAGTCGCGCAATAATATTATCAATGTTGAGCTTGTCCGTGTCAGCCATCGGGCCGGTTGAGGCTGCAACGGTGTCGGCGCGTTCTCGTGCACTCGTGTGTCACACTCACTCACTCTCTTTCTCTCTCTTTCCTTCTCGGCGTTGGTGGCGGCAGCCTCTGCTGATCTACAAACCAGCCAGACACGTAAGCTTAAACTCGAGCACGCTTCTCGTTTTTTCCAACACAGAACGCGCGCACCAACAGTTTTCTGAAGCTATACGCACGCGACGACCACGAGCACTACACACTCGCAAGCTCTGCCTCACTCGCTCGACACTGTGGCGGAAACAGCTCTTGCGCTTTCACTCGCAGACTTTGTAAGCAAACCGACGAAGAGGCAAGGTACTCGAATGGCCGCCCCGGAACACACGCGCGCATGCACCTATAGTTCTACGTATCCGTGTCGGTTTGCGTGGCTGGCTCTGTTCTACGCATATGTGTGTATGTGCGAGAAAGAGAGAACGCGAGTCGCTAGCGCGCTACATCTTCCCCTCTCTTTCTTTCTTGAGCTGGTACAAGATGGACGTGCTTATGAGGCTCACGTGTGCGAGAACGAGACGGTGCATATCGAACGGTTCGCTCCCCCTCTCTCTCTTGCGAGTCGGGACGCCCATCGGAATGCGTGGGTATGTGTGAGTATACGCGATTTTCGTTAACGCTCTCTCTCTCTCTCTCCCCTCTTTTTCTCCTCTCTTTCTCTCTCTCTCTCTCTCTCTCTCTCTCTTTCTGATTCTGCGCACCTATGGGCAAATTCTCATCGTGATGCGCAATGATTTTCAAGCGAGTGTGACGCAAATGGTCCGAGCTCTGCACTTCTACACTTCTTTTTTGCGGAAATTCGCGCAATTTGGCCGATCGTTAGCCTGGTCGTTTCAGTCTTACGAAACTTGTAATGTGAGGCTAGGAAGCGGTTATCTCGTTATTTCATGTAATTTTTGATAATTTAAAGGCTTTGCACGATCATTTGGCGCTTGTTACACGCCTTTGAACTTGAATTTAATAATTTTATACTTTTTTAAATAGAATTGTCGAGATAACTGTGTCAAATGTCGCATTCTGTATTATTAATTTAGGATAAGATTACTATAGTCAATGAATAATTAACGAATAATGTTCAGAGAAAATAATTAACAGTAACTTATAAATAAAAGCTCTAACCGGATGTTCCACAACTGATAGAAATATTATGACTAATCAAAATAAAATTTAAAGTAATTAACTAATACATTTGAAATTAAATAATTCTTATGTATCTTTTTACATATAACTTATTTTTTGCAGCTAACATTTGAATAAGCGCGCTTCACAGAAAATAAATAAGTTCAGTTTGCGCAACGGTTTTAAATGATACGAGACCAACTTCATGTAGTGTGATATTCATTTTCCGTTTACATTTGATCTTAGCTTTGTTTAATTCGCAAAAGTCGTTGCACCGTCAATCACCTGCGATCGTTTATTTTTCTATTGACGTCAATATATTCTTGTGAAAATGCCTGAAATAGGGGTAAGTAACGAGTGTTTTTCAAATAATTAAGAATTGATATAATTTTGCCAAAGTTTAAAGGAAATTCAGTTTACATTGTTTTCTTTGCGTGATTGGACTATTTCGAATTGTTATTTTATCAAACATTCTACAGCTATGATGGGTAGTTATGAATAAAAAAAGAGATAAATAATAATTTTAACCACTTATTCTGTGCAATTAATAATATTAAAGCTTTATAATAAATAAATCGATTGTAGGCTATTGGTTATATATATTAGCAGGAAATCCAGTGAAGTGGTAAATATTTACTTGGTGATTTTATAGATCAATGGTAAGCTTGCTGCAGAAAATGGAAGTGTAGAAGATGGTGGTGATCTTGGAGATTCTCCTCCTGGTTCTCCTGCAATACACTTTGAACCTGTAGTTCAACTTCCTTTAGTGGAAGTGTCAACAAATGAAGAAGATGAACTGGAAATGATTAAATTGTAAATTTATTCTTGTCATATTATTCAAAACATTAAATGTTCAATTAATTTTACCATCAATTTAAAATAATATACAATTATACCAGAGTGATATCAATTTATAATGATATTTCTTTTTTTCAATTACAATAAAACTACATAAGTTGGATTTAAAAAAATTTATTTTTTTGTAATTGTAGGAGAGCAAAGTTGTATCGTTATGACACAACTGATAGTCCTGCAGAGTGGAAAGAAAGAGGAACTGGGGAGGTGAAACTACTCCAGCATAAAACTAAAAATACTGTGAGAATTGTTATGAGAAGAGATAAAACTTTGAAGATATGCGCAAATCACTTTGTTTGGCCGTGGATGGAACTTAATCCAAATTGTGGAAGTGATCGTGCATGGGTTTGGAGTGCTCTTGCTGATTTTGCAGATGAACAACCAAAACCACAACTCCTTGCTATTAGGTTTGCTACTGTAGAGAGTAAGTTAATCATCTTATTCAGTACTCTAGATTATTATTTTATCTAGCAATAAAGTTATTGATTTTTTTATTTCTTTTACGAAGATGCCAAACTTTGGAAGGAGACATTTGAAAAAGCAAAGAAAATTGTTGAATCTGATTGCGAAGCTTACTCTGGAAAACCTGATACAAATGATAGTGACAGTGAAACAAGCTACTCAGATAGCGAGGATGAATTAAAATCTAAAGTGCAGGCTAAAGAAGTATCATCTACAAGCTCAACAACAGACACTACAAAGCTTTCCAAAGACAAAACTTCAGATACAAAATCTACAGATGAGGTAACAACAAATCTTGAAAAATTAAAGGTTAAGGAGCAAGAATAGTTTTCATTAATAATTGAAGACTAACAAACTGCAAGAATGGTGTGAGATTCTGATATTTAATGAATGAGATCAATACATTCCTGCCAGTGTGCACAAATGTAGTGTCAAATAGAATCTAAATGACGCAAGTTTTAGAGAGAATCGATAAACAAAGCTGATTGTATGAATCTTTTATTGCATGAAAAATTTTTAATAATCACCAGTTGTAACAAGTTTGAGTAATGAATCTGAAACTGTTTAATTAAGAATGATATTTATACTGATATTGTACATGATATCTGTGATTTTGTAAGCAAAAAATGCAGTATGACAAATGTAGAATCTTCACTGGCTAGTGATCACTAAATTATACAAATGCTACATTGTAAAATGGTAAAAATGCATTCAATAGATGCTATAATACTTTGTAAAAGATTTTTTATTTAATGAATCCTGAGTATTAACTTTCAGTTGATAATTCAATGGAAAATTTAGGAACATTAGTTAAGTAGTATATCACAAACCAGCAAAAACTAATCTTTTAAGTAATTTTTAACAAATTATTGACAACAATCTGTCTGTATTCACTACTATAAGCTTATTGTTGAATCAATTGTTACGCAAATGTACTCTTAACTTACAAAAAAATAGAACATTAATAAGATATGGATTGTTCACACTTTTGCTGAATTTTTGATCCAGTAAATATGTAATGTCGCACGCAATAGTAATGACTAATATGCATACTTTAATGAAACCCACTTAATGTGCAACTTTGTTACTTTAAAACTTATAATTCGTCTCTGTGCGTAAACGATTGTAAGATATTTCGCCTCTCTTCCATATTTCGCTTTTTCTCTTTAGATAATTTTCCTTTGAGTAAGCCGTCGATTCTTGTTTGTTCTGTTTGAACAAATACATCACCCTTATCCATGATTTTCTCCATCATTTTCACATATACTTTTGCAGCTGGACGATGCTCTTCGGGTAGCGTCTCCTCGAAAACTTTGGCTTTGTTTAAAATTGCCTGAAAAACGTTGAATTATTAAATTTTTCATTAGATCAAAATGTCACTAAAAAAAAGATTGATCAAATAATATATGTAACAAACCTGTCTATCTTTTTCATTCGCCGACTTGAATTCATCGGCCAATTTATCCAACTTTTCAACGCATCCTGGCAATCCCAAGTATATATCGGTTTTCTTTTTAATAAACCTTTTGATATTATCGGCGGTAAAATCTGCATCAGTCTCAGCAGTAAATCTGTATGGCTCTGTTTTCCCTTGTACAAATAATAGTATTACTGGATAATCGTCTTTTCTAATGTTATAACGTTTTGCTAAATCGGAATTTTCTTTATTTCCAAAATCTTTCACTCCAACTTCTCCAACTATTAGATCAACTGCATCTTTCGTTGCGGCAGCAATTTTACCAAATTCTTCGTGCTTCTCTCCATAAGGGAAAGCCACATCGAACTTTACCACGGCAGCTTTGAATTTTGGAATGATCTAAAAAAATTGTGATTTTCATATTGCTTATCACTCAGTCTTTGCGAATCTAGATAAAACTATTTTTTTAAAGTTTGTGTAAACCATTAGTTACTGTAAACAAAACTTGTAAAAAATGTATTTATACAGCTGGTATAATATTCAAAAGTCTACGTGTACATCATGTACAAGTGGATATTAAACGTGACAGGCTAGTCGATAAACAAGAACATACGAATGCTTTGATTGCAATAAATAATACATTAAAAATAAAAACATACTTTGTCAAAATTATGTGAATCCAACTGGACACAGCCTTTGCACTCGTCGGCAGCCGACAGTTCCATGTCGAAACAGAGCGCAACGAAGGCGTAAACGACCGTGAGGAAGACGCTCCGCATCATCGTATTTATTTTGTTTTCTTTCTGTGGTCAGCAAATTACTCTTTATTTTACTTGTTTTTCAGTCTCTGCGCTCTCTCGGAGTCAATTCGGCGACGCATTTACACTCGTCTGCTAAATGTAAGCTCGTTAGCTTAGCTTTATACTACTTGTTATCTCCACTTGTTCCTTTCTCGATTTTTCCGTTGCGCCGTGCCACGCTGTCACTGGCCTCTTAGCTTCGCGTGTACGCTTACTAAAAAAAGAAAAAAAAATCGGCTCACGTTTCTGTGGCTCAAGTGTTCGTTGTCTATTTTATGTAGTGTTTCTATGTTAAATAGTTTCCTATTTTAGAAGAACATTAATTCTATTGAAATAAATTGTAATCATGAAATAAGTCGCATCTATAACATCGTCCAAGTTCAATTACATTATGATCTAAATTGTTATTTGATGATTTTACAGCTTTTTAATTGAAATTTAAATTGAAAAAATTCAAAATTGTTTTATCAACTATAGCTGAATAAACACTATTTATTGCACGTTCACGTACTTTATAAATACCACAATGAATGTTTAAACATTAACATAGTTTTAAAACTTGCTGTGATAACGATTTGCACGTTTATATCGACTTGACTGCAAATAACAACATAACTTACAATAAAAAAGCAATTTTATTTGCAAAAAACCTTACGTATTAATGTATTACGGTTATGTTTTTCGGACACTGTGCGTGAAGACTCAATTTTACACACGTTCGAGAAATTCAGCATGCTTGAAATCTCGTGCTACTTACATCGTATCGAAAAATAAAATTAAATACATGTGCGAGAAAGTGATTTCACCCTTGTGTGACCTCTTCACCCTCGCTTCTCTCGGGCGCAAACATCCACACAAGACTGAAGTTACTTTTTCGCACTAGTATCCAAATATACTAGATGCTACATTTAAACGCATTATACCGAAGAATTTTTTTATTGGCATTTCGAGAAGCAATTTGGAAAACAGCTTTGATTATTTTATGTAATTTAATAACTGAGTTATACATACTACCGCAAAGTGCACCGAAGAAACCCGCTACTTATAACTTGTTTAAGATAGTGACCTGTAAAATGTTAGTATCATATTTTATTTAAAGTAGTTAAAAAATTTACAATGCGAATTATTGCTCGAAAAATTGTTCAGAAGCACACAATATAACACTATGCAAAAATGAAAGCACTTACCCTAAACTAAACGATAAAAAAATAAATAAAACTATTATTTACGGCGCGCACGAGTATGAAGGCGAGTACGCGAGATTAGATTTAAAAAAGTGCATAGAGAAAGCTTGATGCTGAGCTTTCACTATCAATCAGAGCGATAATTCGTGACTCTAGCAACAAATAAGCATTGAGCTAACCTATAATGCAAAGATGACGCCGGATAAGTTGTCTCAGTGACACTGACAGTGGGCTTTTGGCACCAACACGGCGATCGTAGCGACTGTGCAGTCGCCACGAATCAGAGGCAGCCACGGCGAGAGCCGCCTAGTCCAGCGCGGTGTGTTCATACACAGCAGGCAGCTCAGCTCTGCTTTTTGCCCCTACGCGATGGCGGTTGCGCGCGCATCACACTTTCGTATGCAGCTTACAACCACCCCTCAAGTGCTAAGCTACCTGCTGCTAATTCCATAGCGAAACGGCAATCGTTCTTTATCTAATTCGGCCGTTCGGGGTTTACTCGTGTACCGTTAGTATAATTTGCATGGCAGTGCACTATACAGATTACTGCGCTTGACAGCATTTTCATGAAACTATAGACGATCTTCGAGGTGTTTGAGACATTTTTTAATTTTTAATTGAATGCAGTGAATGAGAATTGCCTTTAACGTAACATTGTTTGTGCTATATTAGTCAACTATAGAAACGGTTATATGTTAAAATTGAAGTCAAGGACATGCTTATCGGTTCGCCGCCCATAAATTTTGCGTCGTTATCGACTTCCCTGGCATAATTCAATTGAACTGAAAATTATCCGCTGTAATAGCATAATAGCAGTATTACATAGAGGTTAGGTATATATTATGATATATTTTTATTCAGATATCGCCAATTTTTCTCAATTTCGGCTTGAATTTGAACTTAGCAATTTATTTACAGTCGTGATTGAAAAGCAATAATCACAATCGATTTTATTGTTCATTTACTTGATTTATCGCGACACAATGTTGAAATTCTAATAAGTTGAAAATAGGGCTTCATTTGAACAGACGCTTTAAACTTTTATGTACTTTATATACTTTAGGTGCGTTGAATGTAACAAAATATTATGTAATGCAAAATAATAATTACATATATTTTTAAAAGAAAGTTAATTTTTCCTGGCTCTTTAAAATAAAAATTATAATACTGTACCGCATTATATTCTAGAAATATTTTTAGATGTGGTAACAATAATAAATTTAATTTCAGTGCACCCTCATAAATTTATTAATTAATAATATATTTGGATTATTATAACTCAACTTCACGAGGATAAATAGTTATACATACGTTTCTTGCGATGAAAATGAAAGATTATTTTCATTTGTTAGCAATTTGCAAAATAAACAATACTTATTATTACTTAAAAGTACATTATGACAATTGATAAAAAATATTTGGCAATGTAATCTTTTATAAAAGTAATGTCCATTTAGAGGTTGTTACGTTATATTTATTTACTATGATTGACTTTAAATGTGGAAGGAATGATTGGATGTAATTATTAACAACAAATGGCTTTAATTATTGGAATCTTACACTAATGATTATGCATTTATACTTTTTTATTATATTAAGCTTTCTCGTTTATTTGGCGGTTATAGTTACGTAAAACAGCGGCCAACCTATCCTCGCTTACTTACAGACTACCTTGCTAATGCATACTTACAGACTACCTTGCTAACTTATACTTTAGTGGCAAGTTTCATAAAACTCGCCTCGGCGATTATTACATCACATAACTACACATCGGCAAGGCATTCAAATAAGATAATGTAAAAATTTATATTATAACAATCGACCAAAAAAGATCTTTCTCATGAAAGAAGTTTTATTAATAATAATTGTCCACAACATAATAGGGATTTATGAAAAAATTTATGAAATATACAAACTTTGAAGAAAAAACATAATACCTCTGAATGTTAAAAAATAACATTACTGTATATAGACATAGTCTGTCAGTTTCTTAACATTTAAAATAGTGTATTTCTTTATATAGTTAATGTAAGGATGTGTTCTACTGGTCAAGAGATATAGAATTTAACAGTTTGTTTCAATTTATTTTAATCAAACTACCGTTAAGTTTTTAAATTATTGGTGATGTAGTTTATTTAATTAGAAAATATTTTCTGAAGAGACTGAAAACTCATCAGCGAAATGTTGAAAAAAGTGCAGACCGCATAGTTTCATTAAGGGTTGACCCTGAATATCGTAATTTTTAAAATTTTTTGTTATGTCATTGAGATAAGCATAAAAATATATTTTATTTAGCAATAATTTTTTTACAATACTTTACGGAGGTGAATGTCTATTTCTATGGTTCATTAGCGCTAAAATCGATTTTTCAAAGTCACGTAGTACACGAATGAGCTCAAAATATAATATAAGGTCTTGCAGATGGACATCTTTCAACGAAGAAATTTATTCAATGCAATATCAAAACCAACACCATTGAAAAATTGAAATATTTTTCAAATATTAGAACTCATTTAGCATACACGCTTTACAATATTACATGTTCATTCTTTTGTAAATAATAATATATACAATGTAGGTTGCTATTTCATGGATTAATCGGATTCTCCTGTAGGTACAATTTCAAACCATTTCCCATATAGATTAAATTACAATAATAACACACTTTGGCAAGTACTCTTCTAGTTTATATCTGGAAATGAAAATACTGTTATATAAAACTCAGAAAATCGTATGTAAGTTGAAACCAAAAAATACCATGTATTATATATGATACAATAAACTTATATCTACGAATCTGTGTATCTATAATTTTCGAAATCGCTCGATACGTATAAAAGTGTAAATATATAATTTACATACGTCAAACAGTTATAAAATAGATTGATATTAAAGGCTTAAGGATAATTAGTACTCAATAATACTCGTTACTTTTATATTGCACAATCTAAAATTTATCGAGCAAAAAATTTAAATAAATAGCTATAGGAAAAATAAAGCTTATGACCATAAATCAGCTAGCCTCTTCGGCACCTCCATCGTCCTCCTTTCCATAGGCCAAGCCATCGGCATCGGACTTGCTGTGTGACGACTTTCCTGCTGGCCAATAACAACGATATGATCGCTCTTCTTCTTCAAAGTATTCGCGAAGCTCTACTAGCTTCTGACACTGTTCGGCTAAAATGTTACGTAACTTTTATCAGATAATAATGTACAATTACCCTTCATTTTTAATGTGGACGACAATATATTGTTAAAAAAGTAAGCTTCAAGAAATGATTTACAACACTAGTAATCGTAAACATTTGATATTGATGAAAATAAACTGAATACATGATAGCGAGTAAATTAAGTTGAGAGCGAAATAAATTTTACAATAATTCTTGGTGAGTCCAGCTGGGTGCAATTATGTATTTGTTCGGTCAACGATTGAGTGCAAATGAAAAATGCCGAGGTAAAATATGAATTTTCGGGAAAAAGAGTCGTTACAAAAGTGCACTTGGCACAGAAAAGAAAGCCATAGTAAAAGTGTTTTCTACCGTGAAGATTTTCGACGTCGTCGAGCTTGCCGCCAAAATCCTTTGGGAGACACTCAGGTGGAATGTACTGATAAACTTCGGAGACGTCCCCGGTATGCAAGTGTAGCTGTGTATACAAGAATGCTCGTTTTAGTATGACAATCAAAACGCGCATGTTTTGCCTTTTGTTCGAAATCCATAAATAGCTTCATCAAACTATATATTATGCGTGTAAGTGCAAAATTCAAAACCGATCAAGTAAAATGGCCTACGTATATAGTTTCGCGAATATTATTTTGCTCGAAGACTGTTAAATTGCATATTGGTTTCTGATCATGAAACTTCCTAAACAATTTTTGTGGGCAACTATATACGCTAAAATGTTATTGTACCAAATAATCAATAATAGCATGGAACTTCGGATAATCAATAATAGTTTTATATAAACACAAAGGTAGTTTTCACACCGATTCTCGTGAAATAACGCTCGCATTTTATCAGAGTTATACACGTAGTCATTTTATCATAACGATCGATACACTCAATCTCTTCGTTAAAAATAAATAGTCCGGGTGATCTAATTAAACGCGCATCTTTCTCCGTAGAATTGAAAATTCACGTTTGAAATTTTACAATTAGAAACTACGGTAGTGAGCACGCCTGAAATGTAAATCGAATATCTGGTTGCCACAAGTGTAACAGAAAGACTCAACTCTCTGGGCTTCGCGTGACATGCTCAGTAATTATGATGCTATAGCAGACACACACGCGCGCGTTGTATTCTTCGCCTGATGCGCTTTTCATCCGAATTATATTCCGACATTTCGGACAAAAGAAGTGCTGACTACTTTCTACTCTGTTTATACGGCTATTCTCGTATTTACTTGGGTTATATCTGACGCTATAACTGTAAGATCGCAATATTGTCACTGTGGTTATTAAAAGTTCAACTTGAAGCTGTGATAAGCTAAGAGAAGATACTTACAATATCAAGAAGCTCCTTTTTCATGAAGGGCTTGATCAAGGCGAGCACTTTGTCGATGAACCAGACGCAGTTGAGTACGTGAATGGCTTTGAGTCTGACGGGCATAGCCTCCTGAATGTACTCGAAGAATCTACGTACCATAGTCAGAGAGAGCCTCATTAAGTGAGTTATTTTGACGCCCTTCATGTCGAAGAGGAAGACATGTCCGGGCACGCAGCCGTGCTCGTAGAGGCTCGCGTCCATCGTCATCATCAGCAGCTTCACCGAGTCGCTGAACATGTAGTGGCGTGGGTTCGTGTCCGACAGACCGTGGAACACTATGCGATTACCTTCCTTGTCCGGCTTTGGTAAGCACACGTAATTCCTGTTTCAAGAATTTTTAATTGAGTTGAAAAATACACGTGTATACCGCATGAGAAATCCGTATCGCTGGTAAATTTCTTTAACTGTTAGATTAAACAATGCGCATGTGATTTACGATGAACATTGGCATATTGTGACAAAATATAAGATTGCAACGTTCCATATTGGCTCAAGGTATATATACGGATTTATTAAGCGATATCGCTGTGGCGATATCGTTTAATAAATCGCGGTACGCCGTCGAGTCTCTCTACGGAAATGAATATTTCAGGTATCGCGACCCCAATAGTTATACCAATTGACCGTTCAATCGAATCGAAATTTCGCACTTCACTTCATACGTGTGCTATTAATAATGAGCGCCGGCTGAATTTTCAAGCTAATTTGTGATTGATTGCAATTTTTGAATTATTTCTGCTTGTCTGATTTTGTTCCGATTTGAACGTTAAGCCGTGCAATCAAAAGTCTTTTATTCAGGTTTTTCGTAATTTGCTCGCTGTTTAATCGAATTACTCTAAAGTTACCTCGTGTATGTCTTGAGAATATTACAGTTTTGTCGTATTAAAATAAAGATTTTTACTGAAAAATTCAAATTATATTATGAATGTAGAGAAGAACCATTCTGATGTTGCTACCAGACATTCCAAGAATTGATTTAATAAAGAACAAAGTGCAATCTCTTGACATTCTGCGCTTCACAGCCTCCTTTTAAAGAAATAATGTTATTGGCAGCTTTATAAATTGCCCAATCTATCGCAATTCTTCGCAACTTAGTTGTTTTGATTACAAATACAATTGCTTTCAAATAATCTTTGCTTTTCTCGTGCTCAAAGATTGAATCACGTGTTTTCCGTCTGCGTATCTTTTTTCTTGCTGCTATTAACTTTCATCTATAGATGCAAACAAAGTGCTACCAAAATTACTACTTATGGATTATGTTTTCCAAATAATAATAAATTTGATAATTATAGTAAATTTCGATGAATAATGTTAGGTTTAAGCTTCGAATGTTATAGAATTATCAATCAATATAACACTATTGCATTAATCAGTATATTTGTAACTATTGTTGCTTAGATGTTCTAGATATAGTGATCGAACTTGGCTAATTATACACCTACAATAAAAGTCGTGTAAGATATGCGGTATTTACTTTCAGCAATGTACCTTGTCTAATTAGGTACACAAATAAACCGGGTAAAAAATGTATAACTACGTTCGTGTATGTTTTGACTTGAATCTATTTATTTTGTAAAAAAATGAATTTGAAACTATTATCATAATTTTTTAGTTTGGATACAGGATGAATAAATTTTTAGGTAGAATATTTAATTCAACTTGTCTGTATCAATAAGTTTCGATGCAAATTATACCCATCAATTAAAATAAAATTCCAATAAAATTTGCAAGCCGATCATTAAATTAAAAAATTATGTGTTTCATAGAAAATGTTTCGAGTACTCCTAATGTAAAAATTATTTCAAAATAAAATAATTAACTGAAAATGTAGTAACACAACGAAGCATGGTTCAATAGTAATTTTTCTTCTGACCATCGTTATTTATATTTATTTGTTGTATTTAGTATTGAATATAATTAACGAGTGAAGTATTGTTGTATAAGATAATCTTCACTCATAATACTTATGTCCCATAGACATCCCAATGTGAGTATTTGACAATCAGATATTCACTTACGCGACTTTTAAGGTAAATTGTAGGCTGTCAAGTGTTGGATCTCGATTTTCGAAGAACTCAGGAACTGTAGCTCGTAGCCTGTAGTAAGTCTCCATGCATTTGATTGTGGCTGGCTTGTCATAGTAGCAACTATGTGCAAAAATAGCCAATTGCTCAGGCGGCACCTTTGGCAAGGAGTGTTTTGTTGCCCAGGTTTGTAACTCCTCCAAAAGCTCATTCGTGATACTTGGCCAATTAGTTCGTGATTGTTTGATATCGTGGCCAAGCTTCATTTTTATTATTATTGTTTTATAAAGATCGTTCTAGATATATTTGTGCAGTTATCTCATTTTACACTGAACATTTCTGCAAAATGTAAAGCGAAAAACATATGCGTTTATTATTGACAATATTCTTGGTAACATTAGTTAATATTGTGTTGAATGGTTGTTGGAAAGAATTTTCATAAATTTATTCTAATTATCAATATTTACATTTCGACGAATACACACGTCAAAGTGTGAAACATCACAAGCCAACGAGATGAATTTGCAGAACATTGCAAAACATTCATAATTAGCTGAAAATTATGGTATATGAATGGAGGCTTTTTTGCGTAATTCCAGGCTCATACACACAAGATTACTCGGGTTTACGTAATATTTCTATTCACATTTTTCACTTCTATTTCTCACTAATTGCCATGGACGTTTCAAATATGACAGATATTTTGAATTCTTCGAATATACATTCTGTGATAGTTATAATGTATGTCGGTTTTGAGATAATCGAATCTCAAGTTTTATCTGTGATAAAACACACTTTTCTATGTTTTTCCATATTATAACCGCATTTAAAAATTATTAAAAAAAAATTATGATTGTTATTTCAAGCAATTATTTAATCATTTAAATAAATGATGCTGCAAAAAAAAATTATACTTATGTCAACATTTAAAAAAATAGACATGAATTATTTCTCATTCACGGAAAACCTGTTATGTAGCAGCTTAAACTATAATCGTGTATACGAAAGTTGAGTTCCGCTAGAAAGACGAACTACTATTAGTTGAAAAATATTATTCAACAAAATGTTCATGTCGTAAATAGATATTTATTGATATTCGCAAAAATCGCCCTCATATGAATATATATTTCGCTTTCAAAAATATATAATACGGTTGTTTCAAATGAGCCAGATGTTCGAATAAAAATAATCACAAAATAATTTAATAGTGAAATTGTAAGGGACGAGTTAATATAAAAATAGAAAATAAGTAACATGATTTACCTGTAAATAAATAATTGGAGGATCGTTAAAAAGTAGCACGGGATCGACGGGACGTTGAATTAAGGATATAGTTCCACGCGTACTAGAAAGGAGAAGGAGCGCAAGTGGCAGTGCGTCACTTAGCGTTCGTTACGAAAGCCCGGCAGTAGCGGCGGCGACAGCACTATACACTAAAGTAAGGGACCAGTAAAAGCCGATGTACGCGTGCGCGTGGTCTCGAGTCTACTGAGACAGCGTTCATCAAGGTGAGCCGATTTCGCGTTCGGCGAAAAAAAAGTAAAAGAACTTCCCTCTCTTATAGCTTGCCGTTCTCGACGTCGAATGCTAATTAGCACGCGGGCACTTGCATTACGCACAGTACGAAATTTACCCGACCATTTGAACTCCTTATACTTAGTCGCGTACGGATGTCAATTTTATTTCGTGAATCTGCAACGAGAAACATAGTCTCTCGCTTACTTTTTATTCGTGCATGCATGTGCAGTCGACGTTTTGGCTTGGCTTAATATTGTTTCTCGCGATTGCAAACTGAATGCTAATGATTTTCGCCTCAGGCGAAATTTCATATTTTCTGGATGCAAGAACTGTTGTCTTCTGAATAGAGCAGACAATTTTTCTTCGTGAAAAGTGTGGGGTTCCCCAATATTTATTTCGCATACTGGTACTTCCATAAAAGTGTAATTTTTTATTTTTAGATATGACGAAGTATTTACTCGCTGCAGAAGGAAGTTTGGTACCATTCGAACGATGATTACTTTCTTTGTACGTATTTACGACGAAGTTTTGTAATCAGTAGCTTTGCAACGTAAATCGCTTATGTCTGCATTTTAACAATCGTCATGTACGAATTCTCAAAACATAGATGGACTCTCGTGTAGATTGATTTACTGTAATCGAAATATTTTATTCCAATCAGAAATTTATGTTTTTTAATTTAACAAATTACTCGCTGAACACTGATTACATTTTTTTTTGCTTTGCCGATATCTACAGCACGTACTGGCGAATCTCGCCGATTATAAATCTGTGATATAGAAATTTATTCACAATATTAACTGCTCTGATATTTATTGTTTTATACTTTCGTTTTAAATTTTCATATGTCCATTTCAAAAATATTATACGCATAACGAAAAATGGTAAGAAATTAAAAAATCATCGAACAAGTTGCATAAAGAGAAATAGTAAATTTCTTTTTTGTATTCAAGAAGGTATTTTAACGTGTACCCGTGTGTATACCTATAAATATTACGTAAGTTTCAAACTGCAAACAAATGATGTCTATTGGCACAAGTATATCTATATATATGTATGCAAGATCGGTTACCACATAGAGCATACAAAACTTAAGCGTAAAAGCAAAATACATAAAAGAGAAAGTGAATTCTTGAACCTATGAAGCGTTGACATTCTCTTTGTTAGTCGTAGGATAGCTAGTATTAATTGATAGATAACTATAAATACATTTCTTTGGAGATTTATGCGATTTTGAAATCGTTAATTGGCGTATACACATTATAGCCAATTGAATAATATTTGTCCGTATATATATTAGAAAGCCAAAAAAAACTGTGTTTTGTTTCGTCATTGATCATTTTATCGTTAATGACTGTTGCAAAATAATTGACTCAACTATTAGAAAAAGCTAGCGAAACTTAAGCTGGGTTGTTATATCGTTCTTCGATACAATATTTTTATATTTTTTGTTTTTCCTAGAAAATTGTTAGTATATATTTATCTATCATGATGTAAGTATCTAAGGTGTACACTTAACAAATTATAAATAATTGAAAAACTTATTAAATCGATGATCAATTTTAAAATAAAGATTTTTCCTTGATTCGACTAAATTTTTTAATTAATAACAAGTAATATGGAATGACCTTCAAAGGAAAACGTGCCATTATTAATAATCAGAAAATAACTAGAAAAGATACGAGTGATGTTGAAAAAGGCGTTACGTTTAGTTATGTCGTTTTTTATCTGCACTGCCGTACAATAAATTTGGCACCCATGGGCTTGTTGTTACCAAAGGCCAAAAAGCCTAACGGCATGGACTGTGGAACCTAACTTTCTCTAGTACATGTAGCTCTCTCAGAGATACTTGCAACTATACTCTATCCCGGACACTTGTATGGACCGACTTTTGCTAATCCTAAGGTCGCTGTGGATCTAGAAAGTTACAAAAATAATATTGCGTGGAATTAGAAAATTGGTGTTATAGATTATTGTTCGTCCGCATAAACTAACGAATAGAAAAGAGGGAGCGATAAAATATTGATAGGAATACACTTACTTTTATTTACACAGTTCTTGTTGGTTTTTCTATAATAGAGCTTTGTATGAATTTTTACAAATATCGAAAACTGAGATACTTTCGTCTTAATACACGAAAAGTTACGTGTACTCTTGACTATAGGCATGGCAGTGCTTGGCCTACGCGCGCGTGGTCTTTTATTAGTTGAAGTGGTGACGTCTCTCCTCTTGCTCCCACGGGGCCTTTTGGAAGTTGAGGAGATCATCTTGCTGCGATTGGTTCAATTACCGCAAAAAACGTCCAAATAACACACAGTGACAAGGAGATCGATTCATAATTGGTTGAGTCGTGGTCGGCTTTAAGATTTTTATGTGTGTACATTTAAGTTCAGTTCTTTTCTCCAGAGATGGCTCATTGCGTACTATTTTATGAGTTTCCAATATAGTCAATTAATTAACAACGTATAAAGCTCTTTACATTTTACATAATGCTTTATACAATTGATAATTTAATAAATTAAATCGTGATTTCATATTTCTCATTTATATTCATTGAATAAGAATATGAATAAATCATTTATAAAATAAGATTTGAAATTTCAATTTCACTTTTATGTACTGACTTTCAATTTCATTGAAAATTGTAATTTTATAAAGTTCAATAATCAATTTATTAGTAAATATAGCCAATAATATACTGCTGTATCTTTATTGGATTTTTTATTATATATTAATTATTTATAAAACGAGCGAGTTCAATGTCTGTACACGACATGATTTTTATTAGAAAATATTGAATTTTATAAAAGGTTTTTTATAAGCCTACTGTAATCTTTTTCAGGCTAGAATTCCTTATCATATGCTCTCGTGTATAAAAATATAAATATATTGGTTTACTCTAGTTTACTCTAGTCTCATGTCTCGCTTAGTCATCTACTTTAGAGACTCTTAATATTTGGACCTCTATAGAAAGGATAAGAAGGTTCTTATCATACGTATTTAAAATAAAGAATATACGGCGTCACGGTATACGATATTAATTTATTAGTCCACTATTAAAATATCGTATTCGATACATGCTGATCGAAGTCAGTAGTTTCGATGTATTCGACTTCGATTACAGTATAATATTGAATTTGAACTCCAATTGCAGATGAAAAAAAAATATAAGAGCCAGCTATGCGAAACACGCATGCTACAACTAATATGTTAATTAACATAATAAATATTGTTATTTTTATGTCGATTCACTTTTGTTTGAAATTGTTTGCTACTTTTGCTACGTTCATTAGTATATTGTTATTCCTTGAAACATTGTCATTACGTTATTTTACGAAACTTTTCATTGCTCGCTTATACTCGTTAAATATAGCATAAATTATCGCTTATGCGCCACAGTTTTCTATTACAGCATTCTCATTAAACCACAACCTTGAACTTTTATTCCAAACATCAATACTCTTAAATCTTGATGCTATTCAGCATATGAGGTGAGTCGGGGGAATATGCCAGTGCGGGGAATATGCCACTTTGCGATATCTCTTATAATTATAAGTAGATATGGATATGAGCAAGATTGAGGAGTTTATTATGAACAGCTGACAATACCGCGTAAATACTACAGTATACCGATGTAGTTTTCACTTGCTTTCTAGACACAGTTTTATAAACTTGGTGATAATCTAAAATTTTCTGCTACTTTAAGGTTTATTTTCTTCAATAGTTATACGTTTTTCTTAATACGAGTTTTTGCATATTGCGTAAAATTGATAAAATTTCACAACGGCACAGGTTTTAAAAAATAACAAGTCAGTTTTTTTTTACTTTAAGATTTTTTAGCGCATTCGGGTTGGGGTAATATGCCAGTGACATTTTGCCCCGAAATTGAAAAAATAATTTTATAATAAATTCATCGCTATATAAGTACGTGTTTTATTTACGGTATATATGTATGTTTGTTTACGCGTAGTTGAATTTAATATAACTTATGACTCGCGTGTTTACATACAATCAAACGATACGCTACTATATGCATGAGTTTATTACAAAGGAGAAAAAAAAGTATTAGTTAATCAAAATTATATGTTATAATGTAATAGTATTCAATTACGAGTTATTTTTTGTATTTATATAAATTTAAGTTCTTTTTTTAGTAAGTGGCATATTACCCCTCTACATGTGGGGAATATGCCACTTTCAACTCGTACTAATTTATTGTTATTAATAAATAAATAAATAAATAATTAGCCATATGTTATTGTGGATACAGTACATAAAAGCAATGTTTATTAAATCCACATATTAAAGTTTCATTAAATTTATTTATGTACATTTTAGATCGATTTTTTCCTTAACTGTGGCGTATTCTCCCGACTCACCTTAGTCATTTGCAGAAATACATAAAATTTAACTGTTTACATTTTTAAGGTTACATGAAATAAATCCACGATTCATGTAGCAAAAGATTATATATTATTACTACGAAACATTCATCGAAAATGTTATGATATGTGTTTGAATGTTTATGTATTATTATTTTTATGTTTGTCAATGTAGATTACAGTATTACAGTATATTAGATGAAATAAATCTTATACCAATTGCGCTTTAGGTAAGTATCCCTTTTCGTTTACAGCTGTTTACCTTAAAAAAGAAATACGCGATTCAACGTTCAGTTGTTTCATCGCGAAATGAATAAATGAAAGTTAATTGGCCCTGAAATGCTCGCAATCCACAAAACTTGAAAAGCGTTAACGGTAATGTCTCCCTGTAAAACTGCAAGTCGCAAAATGAGGGAGAAAGAGAAAGAAAGTAGACGGAGACACAAAGCGATTTTCGCCTTTTTTTATTTGGCACAGCTCACCCACGCGACTTTACTCTTAGTCGTGGGGTGGCTCGTAGGCGTCGAGTACGTTCATTGATAAGCGCGATACGAGAGCGCTGCTGATGCGCGTGACGTCACTGCGGCTCTCTCTCTCTCTCTCTCGCACACACACTCTCATCTGCTCACGCTTGACAAGCAGCTCCCTCTTTACAAAAAATCGACCCAATACTAATCCAGGTATAGTGCATATCGTTTTTTTTCTCTTGAGTTTCAATCCTCCATTTTCATTTGTATGGACTAACTACTTGAGCTTTTTGGAAAAATACCTAATTTTCTTTTAATTGGCAGTAGTTTTAGTGAAATTATTACACTATACAATAAGTAATAATAACTACTATACAATAAGTAGTTTTAAAAGATTATTAGTATATTAAAAAATATCTGTTAACTAATTTGAGCCAAATAATAATCTAAGTAATACAGCACCCAAAACTTACTCTAACGTTTTATATATATGTGGGTGTGTGTGTGTGTGTGTGTGTGTGTGTGTGTGTGTGTGTGTGTGTGTGTGTGTGTGTGTGTGTGTGTGTGTGTGTGTGTGTGTGTGTGTGTGTGTGTGTGTGTGTGTGTGTGTGTGTAGGTATGTATGTATGTATTATTTATACTTTATGATCATTGATTTTTTAATAGAAGATTAAAAGTAACAAAAAAATAGGAATATAAAAATGTGCAAAATAATCCAATTTTATAACAAGTAATCAGAACTTCAAAAAGCTTTTTGTACATTTTCTCTGGTTTTTGTTCTTTCCAGTTTCATTGTCACTTTGTCTCGGTCGTATCGAGCGCGTCTGTTTCTATTGCCGCCGCCGCTTCCGCGAAGATCTTGAGACAATCCCTCCTCGCCGCTCTTCTACTGCGCGATTTTTCAGCGTCTCGCCTCGCAGACTTTCATCTCTTTCTATGCGTTTTTATGCCATGTGCATTTTACAGAAAACGCCTACTGATTATAACAAAGTGTTTTGTAATTCTAATTTCAAGCAGACACTTTTAATTTTCTTTTTATATTACGACTTTATTCAGTTTCATAGATTCGACAATAGAAAAGTTACAAGAACTGAGGAAAAACTTTAGTAATATTTTACAACTGCAAGTTTTTATTCGTTTTTTTTTTCAATTTTAAGTGTTTTGCTTAATTCAAATATATGATTCATTATGATTACTGGAATGCAGCTAGAAATGGAAAACTGAGTAGAATGAAAATTTATGAGTGAATATTTTTCAATATGCGCATACCAACTGCAACATACTTTTCAGATAAATGTATTTTTACATAAATTTATTATTAATTTTATTTTTATTTCAATTTGCAATTCCTAATTTCCAAAAAATAAAGATCTACAACGCAGTTCTTTATGAACATTTAAAAAAAAGTAATCTCGCGGAAAATAATTTTATTTATTAACGACGCAAATTGGTTTCTCTACTTATTTAACTAGAATTTATTAATAGCCTCAGCACGATTGTATTTCGTTTGAGTGAAATCAGGAGTGAATTAAAAATAGAACTGCTACAACGAGATGTTGCAGATAACAGAAGTTACTCAACGTTGAGAGAGTTGATTGATAAGTACTGCCCGACTCTTTTGTGAATCCATTCAACTGTGTTCGATACAGTGAACAATCAGTTCGGAAATATCTTAAGATAGTTATCGAGAACGTTTCGTCTATGAATTTGCCATCGAGGAAAATGGAATTCGTAGTGCATTCGAAAATATACAAAAAAACGAGTGTAGTTGTCGTACTAAAATGTCGTTCATATTTCAGTAAATCTGATCAAAATCAATAAGTTTTTTAAACAAATACGATCTATTTTATTTCATACTTATTGTTGATTAATATTACCGAGACAAATACACAAAAAAACATAAATACATCGATATCCGATCGCAGAGAATTGAATCTTAACGTCTTGATTGATTTTTCTGTGTTCTATGATTTACGAACGTTTTTATTCGACAAATGAATGCTTTAAAAATATATAGAAATTAATAAAAAAATCAGTTAGTAGTAGCGATTTATGGAAACGAACAACTTTGTATGAAAAGAGAAAACTTGATGATGCTCAGAAGAACAGATGAGATTAAAAATTTCAAGTTGATTATTTTTCAACGAAAACGATTCGCAGCGCGTTTGAGAAGAAAAAAAAATCAGTAAAACGACGTGCACTATAAAAATGTATATTTTCAAACAATGTCAATACGATTATATAAATCGTACAAAAGTGTATTATCTTCAATTTGAAATTCTGTAATCAATGAAGATTAAAATTACACAGCCAAGTGAATATTTCTAGTAACAGTACAAGTTTCATGCTAGTTTACGAACGTTAACAATCAAATTGAAGCGTCGTCTTAACGAGTGATTCAAGTATAAAAATGCGACGTTGCCCGTCATTCTCAAATGAAATAGCCCAGCCACGCGTCAGGCGGACAGCCCGGGGATGATTTTGACGTTTCGATTAAAAGATGTAAAGCTCTATCGCTATAACGCAGTGGAGAAAAGCGATAGGAGTTGAGCTCGGCGAGTTCTGATTTTCGGCGTGATTACATTTGGCGAAGCGAAGAGTGGTAGCCGCATCCTCAAAGCTGTCGCATCCGGCGGTACGGCTGTCAAAGTTGTCTTTTCGTCCGCGGGGCAGGAGAGAAGATAAGAGCCGGCGCGCGCTGGCGGCCGCGATCGGATCCCGACGGAGGCGGGCGCGCGGACGTGGAGAGGCGCGTGCAGGTAATTTAGGCGGGCGCTGTTTGGGGGCGCAACAGCTTCGAAAAGTCATCTCTCGCGGCGCGCGCGCAGAAGAGCCGCGGCGCAGTCGGCTGGAAGCAGGCTCGCACTCGGTGGGCTCGGCTGGCTGGCCAGAGATATCGGAGATTCAGCTGCGCGCATATTGATTGGCGTCGGCGCGGGGTGGGGTGACGGAGTCAGCGGCGCAGACACGCGGCGCAGCGATCGATCGCGCAGCCAGCGGCGGCCAGACGGGCGGAAGGCGGCCGAAGGCAGGCAAGCAGGTTCCGCGCTGTGAGCGTGACCCATATCCGGCGCATCGGTGGTCGTCGACGGTGGCGCGACGGAGCGACCCCTGACGGCCGAAGCCACCGACCGGAGGCGAGCGAGCGAGCGCAGGCAGTCAGCCCCCTGCCAGCCGACACGGGACACACAGGCAGCGCCGAGCGTGAGTGAGAGACAGCCAGAGCTCGGCAAGCTCCGTTGGCCGCGGCGGCGACTGTCGACGACGACGACAACGACGACGACGACGACGACGACGACGGCGACGACGACGACGACGACGACGACGATGACGTTCGCACCAGGGTAGCGGACGAGCAGCGAGCAGCAGCGTCCCCGGCGAGAGTCCGCGCGCCCCGTGGCTCGGTGTGCCAGTGCGCGCGCGACACCGAGCGCCCGTGCGCTCGTCGACGGACCCGCTCGCGCCCCAGCGGCAGCGGCGGCTGCGGCCTACCCTGTCGGCCGCACACTCCCGCACACAGAGCGAGTTCGGATCCAGCAACTGCAACCCTGGCCTGCCACAATCCCTTCGACTCCGTCATCGTAAGTACCGTTACGAGTCGGCGGCTCCACTGGCGCGCAAGCTCCATCTCTCGCTCCGCGCGAGCCCCCATCGATCTCTGCACTCGTCTCGGATACGTGCCTCTCGCCGCGGGCTTTCCCTCTGCGTGGCGCGGAAAAAAGCTCTCGCGGCGAGAGAGGAAGAGATAGAGAGAGAGAGAGACAGAGCGGCCGAGCATCGCGATGAAGAGCGGCTGAGCGAGTGTGGCGCTGGCTGCGTGCGCGCCTCCTCCTTGGCTGAGCGTGTACGTCTGCGGGTGTGTGTACGTGCGCGCGCCCGCGCGTGTTGGTAGATGACTTGGCCGGTGGGTGACGTCTCGCGTGTACGTACGTACACGGCCACCCGTACCTGCGCTCACTCGCCCGCTCTCACGCTCTTGCGAGGATCAATAAGCAGTGCCGTACAAGCTACGAGTACTTCCACACGCACCGCCTGTAGCCACCGCTTTTTCGCTTTCGCCTCAACTTCGCTGGCTGCCGCTCGCTTTTCCGCTCGCGTACCCCCGATCCTCTTTCTCTCTCTCTCTCTCTCTCTCTCTCTCCCCCTCTCTCTCTCTCTTTCTCTCTCTCTGGCATTCGTTTGCGCCCTTTCGCGAGCCGTTCCAAGCGCGCGACCACGATCTTCATTCCGACGCCTCGTGCGATTTTTGTTTTCGTCTCGCCCGAGTGGCACGAATCCACCTGCACTCGCGTTCCCCCGCCCCTCTCTTACTAGACCGCTTTTGGTGTTTTTTATTCTCGCAAGCTCCCTCCCGGGTCACAACAGCCGAACAGTCGAGAACGTATGCGTGAGAGAGTTAGTGTATATTAGGAGGTCGACGCCATTTTGCTCGGGTGCCGTAGGTGGTGTTATGGTGGTTTGCCTCGGCACAAGTTCTGCTCTGCGCACGCGATAATACGATTAGCTTTCCCCACAGCTGCGATCCCTATACGTTTCTGCCTACCTCATCTGCCCCATTATATCTTCCACTCTTCTCGCTCTCTCTTTGGCCCTACATTTCCGCCGCGTGTTTATTTGCCCTTTTCGGGGCTGGACTACTTCACTACTCGATCATTCTTTTAAAGGGCTTATTTTAAGAGATATATTATTATAACTTCGATTGCTATATAGTAAGAAGATTTTACTGAATACTTTATATGCTTCATTCTATTGTGATTTACGCTCTAAGTAGAATAGAATGGTCAACAATATTTTATGAAAAATAAAATCGTTGCCCATTAAAAACGAAAAAAGAACTATTGCAAGGAATCCGATAGAGATTTGACGACGACGCCAAAAGGTGACAACGTGCTCGGCGCGTAATTGAAATAATTTGGCAACGGTAAGGCAAAGATCAACACTCGTTGTGTGCCGGTTTTTGGAGGTCGGATCCGCGCTTCCGAGGGAGAGATAGACTCTCTCTCTCTCTCTCTCTCTCTCTCGGGTTGTTCTGATTTGCTGAATGCGCGTCCCTGTATATCGCAACGTGAAAAAGGCTATTCAAGTGGAAGGCAAATTTTTCCCTTGATTTTCCGTTTTTTCTCTCTTTCTATCAGTCTCGCTCAGCATTGTTCCTCTTTTGTTTCACTTGTATTTCACTTCAACGTTTTGAGCTTTCCTAAATCAAAATCACAACATCGTAAACGGGTCTCCGGACGTTGTATTTTGAATGATAATATTATTGTTGTAGATCGATGTCGATAGAACCAGTAGAAATGTCCCTCAGAATATTAATCGAAGCTGTCTCTAAGTTTTAGGTAATATGTGCCTGGCAAGCATGATAAAATATCGAATATGTTAGTTAATGATTCTATCGGATTTGAATAAGTTGAATTGCGATAACGATCGATACAGTACACAGCTTTGTGCTTTTATTCACAATTAAACGACAATTTACGAGTGAGAGTAAATTCAGATGCGCAAGGAATAATAATGAGCCTGAGAATGACGTAAATTAACTATTGGACAACCGACTTCATATTGTTTGAAAAATTTATACAAAATTTCTGAATAGTCGTAATGAGTATAACTGGTTATTGGATAATTTACGATTGATGTTTCTTCAGGAATAAAATATTTTTGAGTAAAATGTAGCCTTGCTTATATTGATGTGTCAACTGCCACTTACATTCTGAATCTCCAAGGAACAAGGGAATGGCAGAAAATCAAAGAGTTGCCTTGAAAAAGTGAAAAAATAAATTATTCGTTCAGCAAATGTCATCTGACGTCTGATAATTGATGAAATCGAGTTATTCGCTTTAACATTTCCAATATGCATCTGTCATCAGGTATAATCTGTTGTGGAATAGGGGCGATCGATCGAGAGCCAGAGCTTTTAGTCGTTCACAGAGCAGAAATCGAATTTCGCGAAGGTAGTAAGGTGCGTAAAAAAGAGGCGCCCATGCCTGGCCATTTGCTAGTGTGTGCGCATATACGCGCGGTAAATTGATCAGAATCGGGTGGCACTTGCCGCCAAAAGCTATTCTCGGCAGTCTCTCGACGGAGATGTGCGCTTTTGTATTTTTAGGAAACTGGAGTTCTTCGCACCTTTCCGCTGCATCTTTCATAGCACATCTATTTCTCGTGCAGCTCTATGTGTGCGTGTGTGTGGCTTTGAGAATAGACGATGGCCCGACTGTATTTCTGGCGGCGGGTTGCCTGATCGAACTCGGGCATATACTACTTTGGTCCGATATATGTAAGCAAGTTATAGCCGATAGATTGCCTTTTACATTGAGCGAAGAGAAAGAAAGAGTCTAAAAGTGCCCTGCTCTGCGATTAGTTTGGCGAAACGAGGTCACGTTCTAAACTGTCCACTCAAGTTCTACAGGCTCTATTTCTTATAACGGATTGCTTAATATTTGAAACCTCTACCGCGAACGTATGTAGTTACGAGCATTGGCCATTCTCCAGTCAAAAATGAATAGGTTCTCACACAAATCTAATCTTAGGATCCAGGAATCAACGTTGCATCGCGGTGGCTTGATTACTTAGCGCGCCCTTCCTTTTGATCTTTGCTCGTGCTCCGCGGGTTTGGCAGCTGTCAAATATCCGGCAACTGATCGCTTTAGCGTTTAACTGGATTTAGCCCTGACCTTGCTTCGACGTCGTCGTCGACGTCTCGCTCTATCTCCATTCCATTATTCCACACTTCAGAATTTCTTGCCTTCTGCGCTCGTTCTATTTTTAGAACACGTATGTACGGTTCATTTTACCCTCTCTATATTCATGTCTCCTAAAGTCATGTTAAGGGTAACGTATTGACTTGAAAATTGATGTGCCTCACAAATTTCGATCTTAAAGTTATACGATCAATTAAAAGGCCGCGTTAATTCAACTGTGACTGCGACGATTTAATAAATTTACGCAGAGTGCATCGTTTACAAAGTCCTTGGCGCGACAGCTATTTCCAGTGTACAGTGAAAGGAAGTTAAATTGGACTGTCCGTGTCTATCTAATTTATAAGCTCTCTTGTTAATGGCGAGTTTTAGGAATATTGCTCTTGCGTAGCTGAATAGGAGCAGACACGACCAGTTTTTATTTCAAATTCACATCGAAACAGATGCGTGTCTTAAATATATCCATCAACGCTGCTTGTAATCAAAAGTACGGTAGCTACATTACAAAATAGTACGTCCTATAGTGTTGGCGAAATAACGCGAGGGGATAAAAATAAAACGACGCCGTGCCGACTTTACGTACTGCGACTTAATTGCGCACAACGTTAACATGAAAGTTCAACAACTTTTCTCAAAACTTTGCCACTAATAATTGTACAAGCCAACAGCCGAGCAATGTGTCTATCGCAGCATTTCATGCTTATGCGCTACTTGTGCGGGTGGCAAGAGGGTGGGCTGAGAAGTAAGCACAGCTCGCTTTATTGGAACAGTTAACGCTATTAAAGTGGCGCGAATCCACCTCCTACTTGCGCTCGCGAGTCATATAAATACCTATTACGATCTCCAAGCTCTGCGCGCCACGATCTTGTGCTCTTGATTCATTTCAATAAGATTTTCCTCTTCGCACTAAGTGATTCATTATCACTTACTTTTTTCATTTAAAATGTCTGTTTTTTTCTGTTGCCATAGATCATTGTTTTGAAGTATATCCCTATTTGAATAAGCAGAGAATTATAGAGCACTTTCGCGTGGTCGAAACGCGGATTCAGTTTGACTCAACCAATTTGTATATGCAGTCTGTTGTGTATACGGTAGGCCGTGTTACTTTATCGTGTATACCGTGTGCCTCGGTGTTGCCGAGGCAAATATTAATGTTTATCGTAATGCTCATAACCATATTCTTAGCGTTTCTTATCACGCCAGTCATTCACGTTTACTTTCTTCACCAATTGTTCGCCTGTAAACCCGACGGGGATAGAAAGAAAAAAAACCGCAAGTTATAGCACCTCCGAGTAAAATTTAAAGAACTTGAAGAAAAGAGGAGTTCAATTTCGCTGAAATCTCTACACTCAGCAAAGTTTTTTCGCGCTAAAGTTAATAGAGACTTCCCTCTTTTTCTTTATATATATTAGGATTCATCGATGACGAATTTCCCTTTAAGTCACAAGCTATAAACAAATGCTTCGCGGTTTACAACTTAGTCAATAACCCGTTGACCAGCTACTTGGGGAGATGATAAAAGAACCGTTCGGTGGAAAGTAAGAGGTTATATAGAAATCAATGTACGATCACGCGTTAGACGGCGAAAATGCGCGCGTTGACCTCGTAACACACACGGTTATATATCCGTTTTTCATGTTTTGATCCTTTTTGATGTACGTGGTGCAAGGCGCTGACCTTTTATGGCTGTCGCAGATCTTACGTGCCTTTTTTTCCTTTTACCCTTCTTTTTTCCCTCTTGGCTCTTAAACCGATTCTCGTTCTACATGTCGTTACTGCATACTGGGTTTATTCTTCTTCGGCCATGTCGTCTTTTTCACTATTGTGCGTTTGATCATTTGAATTTTCTTCATGTCAATATGTTAACTAGTTTTCTGTAATACGGTTCCAGTGCACCTATTGACATTCTCGCGATTGTAAAGCTTTTCTCATTTTTCATTGAAATGAATTTTATTTAAAAAACAAGTATATATATACACAGTTTCACTGTCATTATTTTACTATTTCTTAACTCTAAAAAACTTGAGAATAGCTCTTTATGAAACAAGCGCTTGAAATTAGTGCTACCATTTACGTGAAAGGTCATTGCGTTTGTCAAAAGCAAAATTCTTCTCTTTTTGGTTGTAATATTTTTTGGATTTTCTGTATATCATTTGCAAATTTATTTCTTTATGCAATGCTTACAATCATCATATACTATATTTGTTGAAAAAAATTACGGGCTCCGCTAGGGTTTATTCATGTGCGTTAAAATATTTCGTCCTTTCGTATCAATTTCATTTACATGATTATCAAAGATAGTTTTCTTGATTAATGATTTTCAAATTTTATTTTGATGTTAAATTAAATTAGGTTTAACTTTAATGCAAGATATTTCCATCAATACGTTCAAGGAAAGATCTTGCAATAACGACCCTAGGGGAATTCAGAAAATGTAGCTCTTGCTTTTGTAGTTCAGTCAACGTTTCTGAGTATTATTTGAACGCATAGTCAAATTGAATTTAAATTGCATAAAACATAAACATTTGGCTCATTGATGTCATGACGTATACATGATGTACATTTTCCAGAATTATGAATGATGTATTTTTCTTTTTGAGTTGATATAGTGTTTTTAATTTACTCATATATGCCAGCTAAATTTATTTATTTACAGTATGAATTAATGAATAGCAAAATCACTCGTAATAAGAAATAGCCGAAGTCACATTCTTCGTTGAGTAATAAGAGGCTCATCTCGTTCTATGCCTTGACGTGTTAACACTCGAGAGCCACAGATTGCTTCTTTCCGTTTCTTAGCTCTTTCTGTCTTTCTCTCCCTTTTTCGAGTGGCTTTCATTAGGGGAGTTCTTATTGCAATTTCCGACCTGTACCGTTCTCTCGTGTTCAGCGAAGTCGTAGCGATCGTCAAATCAAATCTTGTTCTGGCTGTTTCTGCTGCGCTATGAGAATGGTTGTTGTGTTTAGTAATTGAAACAATGAGTGCTCGTTAACGCAACGTTCCGCGTTTTATTTCGCGCGCGCAATTGTCATGCAACCGAGGATAATGTCAGCATGAAAGAATACTTCATTTGAAATTCATTCTACTGAAAATTTCGGAACCGCCAACAAAAAACTATCGATTAATAAGGCGTCCGGACCCCTCAATATAACTTGCAAAGTGTATGTGTGATGTGATTAAAATTCTTTTGATCTCTCATAATTAAAACATCTCTGCATTTAAGCTGCACGAAACCTATCGTATAACCAAAACTGACTGGCCTAATAAGCTGCCTGGCAGGATAGTGCAGTGCGGTCGTATAATTAATTACCTCATTGTCGGACCATCGCTCAAATTTCCTTCTATTCTTCGCGGCCAAAGGCTTTTGTTCGAGCTCGCTGGGTTGTCCATTCTCTCTTGCACTCTATGAAATAATTGATCGTCATCGAGAGAAAAAAAAATTGACGGCAATCGGAGAGTCGAGCCAAGGACCAGAAAAAAAACCCTCGCTCTCGCCTATTGTAATCTAGCGCCCGATAGACTTATTGAATTGCGTCGCGAGCGGACAAATTGGTCCCGTAGATTGAGTCATTGCCATCTTTTTCTTTTGAAATTTTCCTTATTCTCCTCATTAGTCGCGCATGCACTCGATCGTCTATTTTTTTTTCTCGGTCATACAGAACATAGTTATGCAATAAAGTAGACAAGGGACAATCAAAAATATATTCATGTGAAGAATTGATTGTGACCAACGTAATCGTTACCTATTGAAAAAACCAGTTATTAAATATTGAACGAAATTTATAATTGAAATTACGATGTATATTTTAGATATTGGTTTTTCTCTAAAATAAGCTTCGAAATTTATTATGAAAATGTTTTATTTCCGTTTCATTTCTCATTATGGTTCAATTTTTTTATTACCATATGTAAAAATAATAATCTGAGGTAATTCCATCTCGTGGAAGGATGTTCAATAATAAATGAAGTTCTAAAATAATTACGAAAAAGAAATCTTATTAATTAATGAGAAAAAACTGATTGAAATCAGAAATCTATAACGAAGATATATTGATGTGCAAATTTTGCAATCCATGGTAAATATTCGATATTTGGAGAACGCAACGACGAAAACGACGAGATTTATAAATTGGATGGAAAATAATTTGGTTGAATTTCTACATGTTGCGTTGTTGACAATTTAATAAAAGACCTGATGAGGCTGGAAGGCAAACCAGCGAAACGTTGTCATAATTAATTGTGTATAATTATTTGGTTGGAGTTTTGGGTGTCACTCTCAGAAAACTTTGGAATATAATTCATTAGATCTATAATTTGGTTGCATTACTTTTATATTGGATTGGAGAAGTATAATAGTTAAAAATAGGGGAGGTAGCGTGGAGTACAGTAGAGTGAGTTACAGCAGGAGACTGCAAGAAAAGAGAAAGAGAGAGAGAGAGAGAGTGATAGGGTGTCGGTAGTTGCGCGCGAGAGAAAGAGGCGGAGGATGTGGCAGCTCCTAAAATAACCTCTCAGCGTCGTTCGCTGGTGGTATATGTTGATGGAGCAGGCGCAAAAGGCTTTGCTCTTCTCCCGCGGATTACGTCACGCCTTCACCGAAGAGTGCCGGAGGAGATCGGAATCGAGGTCCCATTCGTCCTGCCTTGCGCGACAATTTCAATAGCTCGCTCTCCGTCGCAAACTTTAGCCCGAAGGGCTGCCCTATCTTTCTTCCACTGTGTGTATGTGTGTGTATACGTTTCGCCAGTCGATGAGCTGGGCTTTCATCACGGAAATCAAGTCTCGGTAGCCATTACTGGTTGCTGCGATGATAGATTTCGCACGTGGATCATTTTCGTTATTATCTACGTGTGCTCTTTCGTATATACACGGTCGTTTTTATGGTCTCTCATATATTGGTCGATACATTCGTCATTTTTAACACGCCAATTTTATTTCACGTGTGTTTCTTGCCTTAAACGTGTTCGAAATAAGAAAAGCCCAATTTATATTGTTTAAAGAACAATAAAACCTGCGAGAGTCCTGTCGATGGCGAGCGACTTCAACATAAGAGCCATAAAATACCAATGGCAAACGATAGCAGTTACTAAATTATCCGCGTTATGTATAAGCTTTCAAAGAGAAATAAGCCGTTGTCGACTGGTTATAGCGAATAGTTGAATAATCTTGGCTCTGCCACGGCACAGAATGCAATAGATTTAAAGAGTCGCCGTGCCATGCGAACAGTAGATATTTGGATTCAGTGTAGTATATCGATGGCGATAATCAAACGAGCAGTTCAAACCAAATGCCACATAAGCCGAGGCAGGCTGGAAAAGAAAATAAAGAGAGGCATTCGCGCAGACCTTTAGCTAACACGTGTGAAAGAGTTCCATTAAATAAAGATAGTCGGCGACGATAGGCTGCGGATCGATAGCGCGTCTACTGCTCTCTCTCTCTCTCTCTACGAAGAGAAAAAAAAGTCACTAGACCTCTCTCGGGACTTTGTGCGTCTTACAGTGCTGTGGCGTCGGAGGTGGCGCTTCCACGGCGCCGCAGGTTCCTCAGCTGCTGGCCACTGGAACCACCTCCATCAGGAGTGCCAGCAGCATGCAGGACCCAGTGCTCGAAAACATTCTCGAGGTAAGTCTTTCAATTACATTATCAATATTTTATTGATTGTTGTAACTTTGTAATTTTTAATTTTAATAACAATATGTTTTCGTTGTCGAGAAACAAAGTCTTGGATATTGTATTTTGGCCCTTGGACGGTTTCTCGACTAATTGCTTATTTATTAGTGCAGAAAAATTTAGAACTGATAACTTAAAAAACGTTGGAAACAACGAAATACTACTAAATTCTCTACTAAAAATTTCTGAGGTTAATAAATATCTTAAATAACAGAGAGTGATTCGAGATTTGAAGAATTAAAATTTAATATTAGGACAATTATAAATCTAAAGAATTTATTCTGTTCTTTAGCTTCTAAAAATAAGAATACTATTTAATTCATAAACATTTTACTGACATTGAGTGTAGTAGATTGAATTTGTAAGACCTATAATCTCAATATTTCCTTAAGTATTGAATTTTAGTACGACATTATCGACATGAAATATAAGGGTAAAATTTGATAAGTCATCATTTGATAAGTATTTTCAAAATGAATTTAATTCCACTGGCGATCAGAGATGACAGCTATACTAGCTTTCGGGGAGGAGCGCGTGAGGTATAAAGTTGAATTTGCAATTTTTACCGTGAATGCAGTCATGTCACGCGCAAACTTCAATGGACAAGAGTGCCTCAGAGATGTGTCATTTATCGCTATGTTGACGGACTACCCGGTTTGACTAGCCAAAAAAGATCGTTGAATTAGCGGATATTGGAAAAAGCAAGTTTGGCGTCAAATAAGCCAATGTAAAATAAGGACTTATTTGCGTATTCACAGGGATCACATTATTACTTATTTTTTGTTAACATCTCAATAAATACTGCTCAAGAGATTATTTATCCACGAAAATAATAATTGCATTGATTGATACTCAATATAAAGCTCAAAATATACATTCAAATAACCCATGATTTTTCGTCAATCAAAAGTATAAACAGCAAACAATCGAGATTACTACAAAAATTTGCTTTCCGAAAAATGTCCAATCTGCGAAAACGTGGAGAAAAGAGAACGAATTAGATTTGGGCAGAATATAGGGCGAACCAACCGAAGGAAAATCCATCAGAGGGTGGAAAATCTCACGACGATAAATGGCTCGATCGCGAGCGCGACGTTGTCGGTGGAAGCAGTAGTGGCGGTGGAAAAAGGCAGAATCAATAAAGCGGCCAAAGGTCTAGGCACGAAAGGCGCGCGCGGCAAAGTTGGCCCCCGGACTCCCCTCCCCCCACTCTCTCATCACAAAGCCACATGTGCGCGCTACCGCCGCGAACTCTCGTCCGTCTCGTCACGTATCCAATAAAAGGCCAGCCGCGCACTCACGCCGCTGTTCGTCACAGCTACTCCCTCAATTCTCGGCTAAATTAGAATCGGTTAATCGATTGGATACCTTCTTTTCTGTTCTCGCACTTGCGTGTACGCGATCCTAAATGGCACTACTAGCTATCAGAAGCGTTGCCTTTGATGGATAAGTTTACCTTGTTGTCGGGGAAGTGACTATAGTCGAAGTTGAGAGAGCTATTTATAAGTGACAAGTTTCCTTTTTCAAACTTCAAAGACTACGCGCTTGAAACTCGATCGACATTGTCGTCTGCGTCAACAAATCATTTGTCTCCAGAATCGTGGTTTTTAAAAACTTTACTACCCTGCAGATACCAAATGGGAAGGATCTTATGTAGCAAGTTTCCTTGATGTTCAGTTTATTCATTATTTTTTATCTTATTTTTTTTCTATTATCTCTCAATAACGACCGCCGCTGGTGATCATTTTCCATGAATTATCAAAAGCAAAAAAGTTTCTTAAAAAGTAATTAAAAAGTATTTTCAATAATCAGATTATTAACTAGCGTGAAAGACGTTTGATTAAAATCTGAGCTATTTGGGGATGATACTTTCAATTTGATTTCTCGTCGAAATTTATCTTCATTACATTAAGTTATTTTTAACGAAATTAAAGAAATTTCTAGGAACATTGATAGCTGTTTCACTTGGAAAGTTTGCATTACAATAGAATAATTTATTATTTATAAAGCATTGCGCTATTTAAACATGCAAGGAGATGAAAGTTTAATTGATCTGCAAAAATCAATAATGCATATTTATCTCGCCAATGAAATGATTGTACTGATCTGATGCTGATGGATTGCCGTATGTTTTCTGCAGCAAATGCGCGAAACGGAGGCTCGCCGAGCGGATCTCGAGCGTCAGCACGCCGAGGCGCAGCATCACCTGCGCGAGAAGCTTGCGGGCCGCTATCAAGGCCCTGAATCCGTGGAGGCCTTACAGTCCAAAATACGCGAGCTCGAGAAGAAGACCGAGTTGCAGACAGTTCGGCAGGAGGAGCTTGGCCTCGAGCTGACCAGTCTGAAAAGGGCGAGGAGTCGAGCGCCGTCTGCGCTCGGACAGCATGCTCCGACATCCAGCTTGGCCACCGCCACTTGGCCACCTGCCGGATCCGACATCGATCGCATTATGGCAAAACTCGAGCAGGACAGGTATCGCTTGTACGAACATTTTTCCGTGTTATTTTAATTTTTTCACATTTTCAAGGTGCAACCTTACATCTTATGTCGGCCCGACTCTCCAGTCCCAGGAGATTCGATCACTGTAACGTACTTTACGTCCGTTTTGTTGAATGGTGGAACATATCAAAGTTCTCATTAGAATCAGCCAAAATTTTACCAATTATTATTCTGAAAGATGTTTATTCAATAGGCTTCATCTAGATTCGATAACTCTACACCAGCAAATTTAGATAGTTAGTAGAAACTAGATAAACTCGTAGATTTCACTTTGATAGTGCCGTATATTGTCATTCTAACAAAATATTTCATTAGTAGTACGCCTCTATTTAACGCGAAGTTAGACATACACATGCTAATATACATTTGTGTGAATACTTCATCGTTTGAATAAATAAATGGTTTTCAATGGCATTTAGATTTTATATTAAAATGAGATTGTAATATCAAAGTCATTGAAAATACACATTAGCAAAACTTGGACTTTTGTTTTCATTAATTATTCAATTTATCAAAGCCTTTACATAAATCTCCTTTCAATACTTCTACATAACTTACTTGTACTCGCATTTGTTACGCTGCAATTGTTTTTTTTCATTGGAAAATGTAATTTACGAGTGCCATTGAAAATTAACGTGCTTTACGACACTTAACACGCTCACGGACATAAATCTATAGTATTACGTAAGCAAAAGCTTCTCAAATGGATTATAGACCTTACTATCTAAGCGACAGTAATATTATTGCATAAAACAATATCAATATAAACATAGTGCAAGTATGCTAATGACGCTATCGGGGTTTTGTTATTATAATTTTATATTATAATGCAAAATTTTGAATACATTATCAGACTATTAATAATGTTTCATCGATATTTCGATGAATGGAAGAAGAACCGAGATAAATATAGATTTTTTTTTTAAACGAAATCGTCTGACCAAATATAGACCTCGTCTACTTGTTCAGCCGCTTTTGGAATAACGAGCCTACGTAACTTTTTTTAGTAGTTTAAAAAGTATAATATATTTTTCATTAGTTTTAAAATCATGTAATATTGAAAAAACTAGTTTGCAATAAGACACTTACAAAATTGTTCGTACGAGCAAAATAATAAAGAGCTGCAGCCACGCAAAGTAGAATATTTATCACGCACATACGTCCGCTCATGTAACGACGGGAAGAGAGGATCTTCTGCGTTATTAAATACCAACATACAAAGAGTGTCATTAGCGTAGCTAGAGCTCATTATATAAATAGACATTAGTTTTTGTTGAGGGCCAAGCCAAAAAGAAAATAAAAAAGCACTGGCGCAGCCGCGTGCAATCTTAGCAGGGTATTCGGTCGACAATGGTCGATCGAGTCAACTACTGGTGTGCTCTCGTCGCTGAAAAGCTGACACTGATGAATATTTCAGCAGCAGCGGCAGGATGCTGCACGACCTTGATCACACGCGGCTTAGTGGCGGTGGCGGCGGGGTGACGACGCAGCAGCCTTCCATGTCCCAGAATATGCTACGCTCGAGCGCGGAAAATCTGTCGAATCTCGGCCAACATCAGCATCCGCCACATCCGCACGCCCTTAGCCTCGGCATGCCGGCCCAGGTCACTATCGCACGTGTAAGGATTTCAGATATATATGGTTTTATTACATTTTTCCCTCTTTCCGACTCTTCGCTCTATTTTCTCATTTCCCAACTCGGATATATGTACCTTCCGAACGCGCCCAAGTCCACTGCGATCCCATTGATATATTGAGCGACCAGTGATCAACGCCGTTCATACACGTTCACTGTCGTTATTTATCGTTGCGTCGATTTATAACCGCGCGTGCGGCTCCTGCTGCTGCATTCCCACGATGCCGCGTATTACGATTGTTATTTTAGCAACTGCCTTTTCTATTTTCATTTGTCTCGGTAGGAATTTTTAGTGATCAACGATTTATTTTAAGCGTTCGATTGATTGATTTTATTATTTGACCAATTTCAGTATTTTTTTGAACGTTGATATTACAAAGTAATTTCTGTTTGTAGAGTTATAATTTTGATTGCAGCGTTCAAATTGGTGATCGCAATTGATTCTTTACAGTGGAAAATAACTTTGTTATTTTTATTCCATAAAGACAAAGGTTTGACAAATCAACGTAAAAATGAGCCAAGATAGGAAAACAAGTGAGAAAGTACATAGCCATTCATTAAAAATTTAATCGGAGCACGTGCTGTCGCGTCCGCGGTTAGATTGAGAATACTTTTTCAGACCTCGCGTAAGTGAGAAACGTACGCGAATGCATGTGATGCTTAGTGTGCATGTCATTAGAAGCTTTATAAATAATTGTTTTTTTATGCTTAGCGTGCATGTCATTAGAAAGTTCATAAATAACTTTTTGTTTGTACTTGGATAGACCATGAAAACAATTGAAGGATTGTGCGCCGTCCACGTACATTAATTATAGTATTTGATAAATGTAATTATATGAATAATATATATTTTAGATATTAGTATAATTAGAAACAATTTTTTTTAAGGAATTCTTGAGCGTTATTATGATATTCGAGCATAAATTGTCTATCTGTGCTCATAAATTTTCTGTATTTTTATTCAGATTTGAAAATCTTTCTTTATAAAAATTGTTTGAAATTTCATTTCATCATTTTAGTAACGTTAATTTCAATCGATAAAGTTGATATAGCTTAGAATGATAATTCTTTAATAAATTATTTGCGCAGATTGAAACAAATCAAAAATTTCAAATTATGACGCTTTCATTTTTTAAATTTATTCATTACTCTCGGGAATATTATAAAGATTTTAATTTATTAAATGAAAATATGTGAACAGAATAAGATTTTATCCGCATGTTATGGAGAGTAATCATAAAAAGTATAAACTTATACTATCCTTTGGAAAAGTAATGCGTGGCCATGTTCAAATTAGAAATTTAAAATAATGGCTTGGGAGTAATTATGCTACAGACCAAAAACAGTGCCAACATTCACTAAGTTTAAATTTTTTTTCGTACAATTGTACGAATATGCATGCAACTTTTAATCGTATTAATTGAATATGAAGGATGACGGCAGACGTACAAATCCCACACGAAACTACTCATGGGATTTCTACAGAGTTTCCTCACGGGGACCAGTGAGATATCCCAAATGCACTCTCATATGGGATTTTCTGCCTGTAAAGCCTCTGAGAGATCTTCTCAAGTGTTCATCGTAAATAACATCAAATAAACCATTCTAGCTTTTTAATTAATTATCAAGCGTATAGCAACTTGCATCAATTTAATAGCAATAATAATAATAATAATAATAATAATAATAATAATAATAAAAATAAAATAAGCTCTTAAAATATGCTACAAACTGTGAAAGCTCAGACGTTTGCGAGTAGTATAACAGATCAGTGGTGTTCCAACGGAAATCTGAATTTTATTAAAATTTAATTTACACTTGATTCTTACTGTTCGAGTAGTCTGTTTCGAAAGTATGATATGTACCAAAGTTAAGGTGAAATTCGTCATCAAAATCCTGTCCGCTAAAGCTGATCAATTCAACTCAAAGTCTGCATTCGCTGATTATAAAGTGGCTGTTTTCTAATATTATTATATATTTAAAAAGCTTAAAAATTCTAGAAGTTATAAAACACGTTATACAATAAGACTGAGATATTTCGTAAAAGCCGTTTTAGGTATAATCGGATAAATCGATAAATGCACTCGTGGAAAAGTAATAATTGATATATTATTATTAGCCCATGCCAAGTCGCGTCCTACTATATGTCTTTGTTAAGTATTTCAGTCAGAATATATTAAAGAAACTCTAATATAGGTTAAATTAAATCGACTAAATTCATAATCGGTTAGCATAACTATGTAATTCTGCCTTTAAATAAAGAATATCAGTCCACACAACGTTTTAGAAAAAAATTGAATGTATTATTTAAAAGTGTCCGAAACATATGTTCTCCAAGTTGATTTACCGATTTTTCATATAAATTTGAACTGTAAACGTGAATATCTCGAAGTCATGTAAAACCCATTTGACGGATTTTTCCGGGGCGCTATTGAAATTTATGACATAAAATACCGTGAACGGAATGAATAAATGCAGTTTATCTTGCTCGATAGTAAAATTTCAACGAGGTTGATTTCGGTCGATAGTAAATTGTACGTACCCCTTCAATCGAAAATGAAAAATGTCAATAAATAAGTAATAGTTCATAACGAGTAATGGTAGATTTGTAATGCAGCCATACACGGGTTCCCCGATGCCACTGACGCCGCTGATGCCCGGTTGCACAGCATTAACACCGAATGGGCCACCCTACCACTACAGCGAGCCGATACCACCGGCGCCCACGAGTTCGTTGTCAGCCAGCCAATCGCAGCCTGCCTTTCATCACCAGCAGCAGCAGCAGAAGCTGCATACGTACAATGCGGCTGTAGCGGCAGCGGCAGCGGCAGCGTTGGCGGCGCAGCACGTGGACGTGACGGCGCAGAAGCAGCCGCAGACGCACAGCAGCCACTTCCCCACGGCCAACCAGTACCAAGAGAGCTACCCGCACACGCAAACCTACCAGCAGCCACCACCTCCAGCACCGACGCTACCTGTTTCTTCGAGCGGTTACATGCCTGGGGGGGTCGTCAGCCAGAGTGCGGTCACGCACTACACACCCGCCAGTGCGCTCACGTCCACCGGCTATCAGCTCAATGGCACGCAATCACAGGTTTGTCGTCTGCTATAATTCTTGAGTCCGTGTTCGCTCTCGCTGATTTCCTTTGCACCACCGGTCATCTTACTGCTTCATATGTTTAGCAGTCAGCGACGAAAAATGGTTTTAGCTAACTTGGATCGTTAATCTAGTGCTCGAGTTTGTCGCTAGATGGATTCTACAATGACTCTTTTCCGTGTGCAAAATCAATGCTTAAATTTTATAAATTTCGTCGAATAGTAATAATTGAATTATTTGTATTATTTTCTAAATTGATGTCTTAATGAGAACATGTAATCAAGGAACCATCTACTATGGCCTTTTCAGATCTTTACAGTTCGGATGGAGTAATCACAATTTTTTTGTTTATTTTGACAACCGGAATACATCTTTCAAGCCTATTGTCTTTAAATTGTCAGTTCTATTATTATTAACATTTTTTTTTAAATTAATAGGAAAAATTTCACGGAAATTTCAATTTTACTATTGACGGTTGAAAATACATAATGAAAGTCATGCAGTTGGTCCATCCAAATTGAAAAGTCTGGGGGATCATACCTGGTTCCTTGGTTAACAGTTTTTTCAAACGTCTAATTAGCGCTACCCTCGTATATTCAGAGTCCACGCACGTAATTTTTTTATATTATAATTCTTTACAATATGGCCTTCTTGAAAATAATTTACTAATTAAAATAAGACGAGAACCATATAATAGGATGAACTTGGTTTATTTTTTGCTAAAAATGTGAAACTATACGGAGTTTTGAAAACAAGAATTTCGTTTAATGTGTCAATTATACAATTTTAATTTTTGCAATATTTTATTTATGGACTTCATTTTCATGATGAAATCATTGATAGTATTATTAAATACTTTCAGATTCATGAAAGTTATTGCTATCATATAGTTATTGGCACAATATAAAGAAATGTCAAATACGGTACATACTCCCACTAATCTAATTAGTTATAGGTTTTTTTTATGTAGTGTTTCAGTTTTAAAAATTCTGCAAGTGATACAATTCTAAGTAAAAATATCTAATGCATTATTTCCGCTGTATTTGGATTCATGAATTTGAAATCAGATTAAGTCAGTTATCATCAAAAAATTACGTGCACTTTATTTGGTATTTTTTGAGAATCGCGTGCCGAATTAAAAAATCTTCTCCGTGAAACTAGTCATGCACGTGCTAATAGATATACTGCAACGATAACAAAAAATATTGGTAATAAAATTTTTATAGCAAATTTTTTAATTTCTTTTCTGTCGCATCCCCCTCTGGAAAGCATTTACGAGGAATTCTATACATATAAAAATATTAAAAATTGAAATAATAATATTATAGTATATTATAGGGTTTTGATATCGATATCATGTACAAAGTTTATAACATTTTTACAATGAGAGATACGATTGAGGAGAATGTTTAATTTAGTCGTTAATTAATACTTCTTACTTTATAACAGAATGTGTTGCATGCTTGGAAAAGATAAAAAGTATCTAGTAATAACGTCAATGCTTTCATCATAAAAATGAAGTTCATAGATAAAATATTTAAAAAAGCGCATAGTCTAGGAGCATGCGCTATCGATAGCTGTATCGAGCAGCCATTTAGTTGAAAACTTCATCCGAAGCGCGGTATATAACTTGGCAATACAATGGAGTAGTATGCCAACAAGACACGCACGAAATCTAATGAATATACTGTATAGCGTTGCGGCGATGTGTGCTTGTGCTTGCAGAGCACGACGTTTCCGATGTCGTTAACGTCGCACCCGTCGAGCGTTAGCGGTACGTACAGCACAGTGCAGCCGCCAATCTCTTCGTACGCCGGCCAGTTGGGCCAGCATAGCACAGGCCTTGGCACCACTACGAGTGTTCTCGGCCAGACGAGCCTCACGCAACAACCGCTCTCGAGCAGTTTGCCACCGTTCTCGAGCTCGTCCTACCACTCGACGCTCGCCGGCCTCAGCAGCGTCTCACAGTCAGTGCTTCCCTTCACCACGGCGACCAGCACCTTCTCCACGGCGGCCACATCCTACAGCAACGTTGGGACCAATGCCTTTGGCACCTCCGGCGTTACAACAGGTACAACCGGCACTGTGCTCGCATCTTATTCGTACTGCGCAAGTGCTGAAGCTCGATGCAATGAAAATCCTCGTTGTGGACCCTTGCTTTTTGGCAACTGATCTCCAATGCGGCGTTATAGCTGCCGTTGTCGCGCGCAAAACCAAGGACTGGCGCTGTTATACATTGCGTCTCGAAAAGACGCTTTTATTGACGCCATGCATATTTACGTAACGATCTTGAAGAGAAATACCTAACGCAGAGCGTCTCTGAATTGTCTACAGGCTCGAGCAGCTTGCTGTCAGCGATGAACGACCCGCTGCAGGTGATACAGGCGCAGCTATCGGCGCAGTCGCAAGCAAATCAAATACAGCAGCAGGCGATAATCCAGCAAATACAGCAGAGCTTGCGCACGACATCGCCGACGTCGACGGGCACGTCGAGTCACCACTTTGGTCTCGGCAGCAGTACGCGCCAGATGCCCAAGCTGCCCGCGAGTATTCTGACGAACCCACTGGATCGATTGGCCGCTGACCCCAGCCTCGAGCCGGGCCAAGTAGACATGCTCGACATCCCCGGCAAAGGACGCTGCTACGTATACATCGCGCGCTTCACCTACGAGCCCTTTCAACACTCGCCCAACGAGAATCCCGAGGCCGAGTTGCCGGTGCAGGGTGGCGACTACCTGCTCGTCTGGGGCCAGCCCGACGAGGACGGCTTTCTCGACGCGGAGACCCTCGACGGCAGGCGAGGCCTCGTGCCGGCGAATTTCGTGCAGAAGCTCGTTGGCGACGATCTGCTCGAGTTTCATCAAGCCGTTCTGGGACTCAGGGACGTCGATGACGCCGTGTCAACCAACATTCCTCAGGTAGCAATTATATATCCGCTGTTACTCAGGCATTTTGACGTTTGTCACGGTACAATAATGAAGTCTGGGCGAGCGAGCGTCGGGAGCGAGAGGAGAGGAGAATCGGAATTGAGCTCTCCGTTATGGAGTCTCCGGAGCTGTTTTTCGTAACTAGACATGGCATTGTCTGAAGGGCAGTATTCGATGAGCTGCATGCTTCCTTCCAATCTCGGATGACTATTATCTGACGATTCTCAAGCTGATAATTAATTAAGATAGCATTACAAGTTGCTTCGAATATCACATTGTAGTAACACTCACAGCATGTAATATTTGCATAATAGTCCGTGACAACCGTGCGCTTATCACATTAGGAGAACGTTGTATGAGAACGAAATAGCATTGGTTATAATTCCGCTTGACATAGATCCGAGTGAAAGTAAACGTAAACATTGCTTGCGCCGCCAAATCATCGAAGAGTATCAAGTTTTCATTGATCCATTCTCGAATCGATTCACCGCACGTACACGAGACAAGTGATGTTCTGTAGTCGTTTGTTTTACGTTTATTTGTTTTCTCTTGTTTCGCTAATCAAATCCTGCTTTTTTTCTTTCCCAACTTTTGTTTCTTTTAGATGATACGCACTTCCTCTGTAGTCGATGGTTCCAAAAAAAGCCAAAATTCTAAAAGCGGTAATTCTGGCACGAGTACCGCCAGTGCCACGTCAGTACGTGACAACGCTAGCGTAAGTAGATAATTATTGACTTGCCTTTTTTCAGACTGTGATGATGAACGTGTGCTTTTCTTACGCGGCAGCCCAAGATATACAATTGTTAATCCTGGATATACTGCTCTTCAATTTCTCTGTTTGTCTGTCTGTCTATCTGTCTGTCTGTCTCTCTCTCTCTCTTTCTCTCTCTCTCTCTCTCTCTCTCTCTCTCTCTCTCTCTCTACGTGGTAATTCCGTTTTATACTTTTTCATTGATTATTTGAACTACCATCCCTTGCATATTCTCATACACGCATTGTTCTCGTGCAAAATTGTTGCTAGGATGGCATTGCTTAGGCGCTCCGCGCGGAATTCGAATGTAGTTCAAGTAATTCATTGTCGTTGTCTCTTTTCCTCTGTTTCTCGACTAACCTTTTCAGACTCTAGTGTATTCGCTCGCTAACTTGTTTGCTTAGTCAATTACATTACGATTCTTGATGTACATACAACTATAATTCGACAATTGATCGTCGTTGCGCTGTCTCCATACTAACGTGTTCTTCCGGGACACCAGTGTTACTTGCAGGACATCGATTTAGAGCTGGCAGCTTTGGAAGAGGGAAATCGTAATCGCGCGGCTGAACTGTCTGCACTTGCGGAGCTTGACCAAATCGCCGACGAAGACGAACAAGAGCCGCCAGGTATGAATTTCAGTTCCTTCTTTATGATTGTGGTAAAAGCATCCAGTCTATGTGTTTATACGTGTTGACAAACAAAACATCGGCAAACTTTCTCCAAGAAAATTCGTCGAATTGCACTATTGAATGATTGTTATGTAGCTTTACATACTAATTAGAATAATTAAGCACAAACAATCCCAACTTACACAGTTTCGATTCGTTAGGAATCTGCTTTTAGTTGAGAAGCTTCGATAGGCAAAGGGTTTTCAAAGTCAATCTAGAAAAAGACAATTCGAGTTCTCGATAACGTTATGTAAATATTTCTCTAGAGAGACAGTGTTTATCATAAAATTTATTTAACCTTTTGGCCGAAGAACGATCATATGAATAATAATGTCCATGAATTAGCAAAAGGGTTGAATAAAGTAGTATTTTGAATGTTCGCATGCCTGCATGCTCGATTTTATTTTCCGTTGAGCAGTCGATAGTAAGCTCGCGAGCGTGCCTGAGAGAACGAACGTGCGTGGAAGCAAAAAGACGAAAAAGAAGCTGATAAAAGTTGCTGGATCGAAGCCAAAATAGAGAGATAGAGAGAGAGAAAAAAGCGTAAGTATAAGACAGAAGCGAGAGGAGGTCGGTTCGGCTGTGACGTCGTCGGAAATGGTTTTGTTCGCGTCTACGTGTTCGAATGCTGATCGTGTTGATGGGCTCTGGCTTTGATAGTGATCTTTAGGCGTCTCTAGAGCGATATCCTAGCTACAGCATAGGCTTGTCCTTGTTTCTCTTGTTTCCTTCTGAAGAAGACTACCTGTTTTCGGACTTAGTACCGGCGCCACAGCACCTCACCCTCGAGCGGCAGCTGAACAAAAGCGTGCTGATCGGTTGGACGCCGCCGGACAATCCACACCAGATCGAGTCCTACCACGTTTACGTCGATGGCGTACTCAAGGTCACCACCAAGGCTACCGAGAGGACGCGCGCGCTCGTCGAGGGCGTAGACTCTACTAGGGTACGTTTGTCGACATTTTTATCCACTTATTCTCCGAAACTTTCGCTGCGTACGACTTTATTGACGATTGCGCGAAGCAAACAAAAAGACTTTGTACAGCAAAGCTTGTTCCAATACGCGAGGCTATTTCTAATGTTTATCGCTTTTCTTCTTGGCTATTTTATATCAGTTATCCTTCAATAGTTTGCAAGATGCTAACGAAATACACGATGATTTATTTGAATGTAATATAACAAAACGATTATCAATTGGGCACGCTTAAGGTAAATTATAACTTACAGTAGAAAATGAATGTTTGCAGCCTCATCGGATAAGCGTGCGATCGGTGACACACACGCGGCGGACGTCACGCGATGCTGCGTGCACGATGGTTATCGGCAAGGACATGGCGATCGGTCCGACGGCGGTGAAAGCTTCGAACGTAACAGCGACATCGGCGGTGATATCGTGGCTACCGAGTAACAGCAACCATCAGCACGTGGTGTGCGTGAACAACGTGGAAGTACGCACGGTCAAGCCAGGCGTTTATCGACATACGATAACAGGACTGGCGCCGTCGACTATCTACCGAGTGACCGTCAAGGCCAAAAATCTACGCGCCACGCACTTCGAGGACCAAAATCTGCAGCTGTCGATCAACCAGGCCTGTCACGTCCACTTCAAGACGCTGCCCAAGGGACTTCCCGATCCTCCGGTCGATATCCAGGTTTGCGCCTAGTCTCCTTTGCTTCACTGCCTTTTCGTTTTTTGCGAACCCGCGCGTATCCACTCTTGTAAGCTCTCTTTTTCCCGGCTGTTTGTACTTTATCGCCCCCCCCCCCTTCCCCTTTCTTTCACTCTATAGCAGACTTGTTGGATTCAACTTAGATTTACTATCCTCTGCTGATTGTAAGACACTTGTCTGCTAGACGAATCAAATGAATCAAATGTATCGATGCCAAAACGTCTGGAAAAAGAAAGTTTTCAAAGATGAACGAGGCGAGGACGTTACACGCGTACAAGCAGCGCGCTCTGCTAGAATTTTTTCCATGTCAGGCTCAGTGACACGATGTGCACAATTGTTTGGCTTATGTTCTTTTTATACCTGGTTGATGTTAAACTTCATAGTACTTAGACGTAAGTTGGTGATGTAGGTGGCTGTTAGGACAGCCTAACATCTGCAATGAATTACATCATGCAAGGATTCAAATTAGTCTTGCATTGTCGTGGCGGTCAAGTAAAAGGGCTTATTATCAGAGCTTCTGTATGACCAACATTCTAATCATTACTATATAAAATAACTTAATATTAGTACTATTCATTAAATATACATTAATATACTTTTTAATTAATTACTTTATCGTAGGCTGAGTTTTTATGTTGACAATACTTTTAATAATTTTTCGATTATTGTAATATTTTAATCACAACATAATTTTTTTATCTCTAAAAATTACTGCATAGCACTTTTAATATTTATTTCGAAATGATTAGTAATATTATGCAAAGTAAATGATATTTTTGACAATTTACGAACGGATGACGGTTTCTGTAAATATTCGCCAATAGACTCACCGCAAAGCATATGGTATTGATTGTACTTATATTTAAAAAATTTTTATTTTGATCACTTTATAATCATTCTGAAATTTGTTGTGGTTTATGAAAACTGTTGATACCGAATTAAATGTTTGTGCGCCAGTTGGCAAACGGTCAATTTAGGCTTGAGTTTCAAGACAGAAGAACGCGATCTCGACCCCCATAACGGAAAAAATGTTCAATTAAGCAGTTGGCGAGTTACAGGCAAGTTGCCAATGTCAGATAACGGTTTGGCCATTTCATTCAAGTTTGAAAAAATTTGGGAAGGTTAATAACTTTGTTTAAGTATACGTTTCATTTTTAAATCACAAATCTAGTGACTTTTGATTCTCCTAAAAATGGATAATATGTAGAAACCGAAAGCGTACTGCACAACTTCGTGCTTTTGAACATCGCTGTAAAATAAGTGCTAATTCGAATTCTACCATATGTAGTTCAGTGTATAAGTCTGATCCATCTATATCACTTACTGTCGTACCTACCTACGTTTAATAAAAGGACACTATTTTTTATTAGACTTTTAATAAAAAATTTTTATTATCAACACTTATAGAAATTGAAATTAATCATTTAACAATACTAATAAGTGAATTACTTTGTGATATTAAGTCAAACTACACTGATAAATAAAAATCTAAATTGTTCTGTTTTAAAACAGATGTTTTAAAAATACAATTTGAACAAATAAAATCATTCATATAGCGATTTTATATAGTAAATAAATTCGATTTATGTACGTGACGATTTCAGATGAGATGTGTATAAGTAAAGTAATGGTTCAAGCAGCATTTAAAATATATAACATAAAACCCATTGGAAACCACATGAATTTAGTAGCTTCGAATTGTTTTTCTCTACAAAGGATTGGGTAAAGACATTGCATGTATACTTTTTTCAATATCTTCTATTCCTTTTTCTTTAAATATCAATTACAATGATAGAGATTTGCCAAACGTGATGTTTAGGTTGGTTTAAAAAAAGATTATGATTCATAAAAAATTAAGATCAAGTTATAATCTTGATTGTAAACGGTTTTTGTGCAGGTCTCTACTAGAACTGAATGCATAATAATCAAGCTTAAACAATATTCCAAAACTGAATTAGTCGCTCTTTCACTGAATTTATTTAATATAATCTTATTAAAAAATTAGAGATCAATTGATAGAAAAAAATAACTTGAAAATCAAGCAATTCTTTTCACTTCAAACTACTTTAAAAATGTTATGTAAAACTTCTTTAATATTTATTGTTAGTTTGATGTGAAATTATGACAGTTTTACTTATATTTATTGTCACACATTTTACATAGCTTGGATATGGCTTAATAATATCAATGCAGCAATACAATAAAATCTTGCACCGTTTTTAAAATTTTTGCTCGACACCAATTTTTTTTTTTACGATCACATACACAAAGCACTCTGAAGTATACTTTGTGTGAATTATCGAGTGCCAAACTATCCACTATCAGTAATAGCTGTCGAAAAGTTAAAGATGCGAGAGTAAGGAAACAAATAGTTTGGCAGTATCGTACTTGTTGCAGCGAGTAATGAGTTATGAATATGGAGCTTGGCACTGGTTGGGTACAAATAAAGGAAACTAGGATTTAGTAACAAGTGTGCGTGTGTATGCGCGCGCGCGTGTGTGTGTGCGTGTGTGCGCGCGCAAGAGCTGAAAGGGTGTATGTGCGAGTAGGCGAAAGTATGGGTACGTGTGTAGTTTAAGATAGGAAGAATAAACGAAAGCCGAGGCCCAGCGTAAGGCGCGCGGGGCTCACTCATTTGAGCGGGTGTCTGTGACTCAGGTGGAGGCTGGACCGCAGGACGGCACTTTGCTAGTGACCTGGCAGCCTGTTGCCCTAAACGGTTCGGCAGTCACCGGTTACGCGGTTTACGCCGATGGCAAGAAAGTCACCGACGTCGACAGTCCCACGGGCGATCATGCGCTTGTCGACATACACAAGCTCATGGGTCTCAATCCGAAGCACATCACCGTCAGGACCAAGAGTCGAGAGAGTCAGTCCGGCGATAGCTGCGCCACAGCCATTCCCTGCAGTGTTCTCAGAGGTCAGTACCGAATCCTCGTAACCTTCTCTACAGTTATCCATCAAAACAAAGCACTGCCAATTAAGAGCTGGCGCGTGCCAATTATTATTTCCACGCTTTTCATCTACGATTTAGAATCGACCAGGTCGTCCTCGCATTGTACGGCCACTTGAACATAGAACGGCAGTGTTCTCATAAATTCAAGCTCGTACAAGCCCATCTAGTTTATCGGCTTGAATCGCGCAACTGATAAGCTCGCGAATAGCTGAATGGCGATCGAATGAGGCTCAATCAAGTATCTGTAGCACAGGCCATTGCTATAATGCAATGATTCGATTAGGTAGAAGAAATAAAACTTTACCTTCACTGAGCTTGTGAGAATGAGTGAGTAATCTCGTGCATTGATCTATTACAACTTGACGCGCGAAGGCAGCTATATTCAAGCGAAGACGAGTCTGAGACAGACAGATCGAGTATGCGCGTGTTGCTCTCATTTCCGCTGCTCGTATATATACTTTATCAACGTTTCCACCCTCCCCCGCCCTTTTCTTTCGAGGAATGTAAGGGTTATCGAGTAAACCGAGAAATTTTCGTGATATATCTCGTGTAACTAAAGAAACTGTTTTTTTTTCTTTTGTTAGACTTATTACTCTGATAGAAATTTATTGAATTTATTTATTAATGTTTCGGCTTATCAAGCTATCTGGATAGAAAAGTACATTAAGTGGATATTTCCGAAACGCTCGTTCATGCTGACAACAGGATGACTAACCTGAAAGTTTAGACCCCGACGGAGCTCACTAGGCCAGAAGCTTTTTCTCTACTGAAAATAAATGCCATTTCTGATTCACCTTATCAAATCAATCCAAGTGCCGACAAAAAAATTACATTTTTGATTTTGTTATTTTACAGCTTTTTTTCAACTACCGCAAGATGTTTCAAGCGATTGTTTCGGTATTAAAAATAATAAAATCTCAACCCAGTAAAAGTAGTTCGAAAAATATGTAGTACTTGAATACCCCATGTATTTGAGCCGTTTAAAACTACTCAGAAACTTCCTACTCTGATGCAATGAGTATAAATATATGTGTAAATGTAAATATCTCAACATAGCCAAAACATCATAAACTCGCACAAGTATAACCAGTAGAGTCTATTGCACAGCCAAATAAACTTTGGATTCTCCAATAAAGGCTTGTATGCAAAGTGCCTACTTAAAAACGATTGAATTTAACAATAGGTGGTCCAATGGCAATACAGAATCAGCAAATGCATCAGCAACAAGATATGTCGATGCAAATACACCAGCAGATGCAAGACCCATCGATGATGGATCCGAATCAGCAAAGAATGATGGGACCGAATCAGAGGTATCCACAGGCCAATTCACAACTGCCGCCACACATGAGGCGGCAAAACACGCGCGTCGACGCTCACGGCCAGGTCATCATTGAGACTGACGAGAATCTTTCCGACAAAGAAATCTATCCTGGCCAGAGTATGGGTGAGTCGCTTATTTTGCAAATTTCAATTACATCCATGATTAATTACCTCGTTATTCGTTAGATTAGCTGTATTTACAGAATTACTCATTGCTTCATGCTTATTCATTTTATATGTACATTTAATTTTCAAGTGATTCATTTGGTTATTCTTGAGAAGATTATTTAATAGTATCTAATATTTAGGCATAGATTTACAGTTATTAATACTTACTAGTAAGAATTTAGTATTTTATGTATCGTTTAAAAATTAAAATATTGTAATATAGTATTGCCATTTTAGTTTAGTTATTGTCTGAGATTTGTAGTAAGTTTGAAACGAGAGTTTCCTACACGAATAATCGCTTTTAGAATAATTCTAATTTTAAAGAGAGGGAGGATTTCAGAGTACTATTTGAAAGTATCAGAGACTAGCAGAGAGTAAGTGGTTATGATCAGATTTGGTCAGACATGCTCACGTTATTAACTTTTTGAGAGTATCAAGATCTAGAGTACTGTTTCGTGAAATCATTCTGTAATGAGAAGCAGTCATTAACAAAAGAAACGAATAAAGCGATGAGGCAAGCCCGTATGGAGCTTGTAAGGTAAAAGCGTTGGTATGAATGGTATTGGACTGGTGCAGGCGTGCCGGAAATAACAAAAGACTCTACGAGCGAGGCGAACTTCAGCGAGGAGGAGCAAGAGCCAACACCTAGGCCGCGTGACAATCAAGGCCCAATGGGTGTTAATGCGGGGCCTCACCGTGGCAGTCCAAATCATCATCCTCACCCCCAGCAGCAGCAACAACAGCAACAATCGTCAGCAGTCCGGCAACAACAGCAACATCATCCACAACAGTCACAACAACAACAGCATCATCAACATATGCAAATGCAGATGCAACAACTGCAGCAGCATCGACAACAGCAACAGCACCAACACCCACACCAGCAGCAGCAGCGTTACGGGCCAGCATCCGATCGGATGGGTGGTCCGGGACCAAGGCAGGGCCCCCCACCGGGACACCCGAGGCCTCAACAAGGTGCTGGGCCTAGGCCTCAACCGCCACCGGATCAGTACTACGAACAGCCACCACCAGGTAGTCTCAAGTGCAAGACCATACAAGTGTGATGATGATCATCATCGATTCCCAGCGCACGAACGCTCTCGTCGTCTCACTTAAATCTCTGTGTCTATCTCTATCCTGCTGTTTACGTGTGTGCTTGTTTGGCGTGTCTATGTGGGTTTGTACGTAACGAATCTATATACCATGTTTATTATTCAAATCGTAGTTTTTTATTTTTTGGAGGGGGAATTATTTTGAATACAGCAATTTTTAAAATTTTTAACTTGTTAACAAATTCAATGAAAAAAAAAAAAAAAAGTTTCTCAAAAATGTTCAAAGTCATGACTGTGGTTTTAATAATTCAAATGAAAAATAAGCATGGTAGATACTAAATCAATTATTGTCAAGTCCAACGCTATCTCAATATCATTAACTGACATCGTCCGACATGTACTACTCTACCTTTTTTTTACCGCAAAGACAACTCAGATGTATTCTGGTCTCCTTTATACACTCGCTGCACATCTATACTAAAACTAATTATTGAATGCATTCTATATTCTATTTTTTTATGCGCATTGAACATCAGAAAATTTCAATCATTTCTTTTTCGCCATTGCCAAGCTAATTGCTTGTATCAATTATGTATAATGAAAATTACAAAATGCTTTCCAAATTTTGCTCATACAATATACATGAAGTTTAAACACATTCAAAAAAGTAAAGACTCTAACAACAATAACAGAGAATGATTATTATAAAAATAAAAACAAAAACGAAAATGCTTTAAAAAAAATTTATTTTTATATGTAACTTTTTTGAAACTGCATTGATGTCCCTGTTACTATTTAGATATTTTTAATCATTTAAATTTTTCTATAGATGTATTTTTTTTATTGAATGTATATTCTCTATATTTAATTTTTCTCAAATTCACTTCTTTAATATCTTGCTTAAATTTCTATACATAAGCTTTAATCAGATGTTTATTAATGTTACATCTATACTTTGCCATATTTTCAACAGTCTCTACTTATATGTACTACTTTATCGTCGTTGTTAATATTAATAATAAATTACTTAATATGATCGAATGTTTAAATACAATACTCTATGTATCGTACTAACGGATGTATGATTTTGTGTTGAATTACACTATGTTAATGAAATTAACTGATAAAAGAAAATATTACTCAATCCAAGTAAAGCACTAATTACTACTTGCAATCAAAATAACGCATTTCGATCTTTCATTTTCGTCACTCCAATAGAAAAGACATCTTATTCATTATTCATTGCACAATTCAAATTGTGTAAAATGTGTAAATATGCAAGTACATTTCTTTTAGGAATTATAGCTAGCACTCTTACTATAGTGAGTGCACGCACAAAACCTCCCTTATACAATTTAACTTTATGCTCACGAAATACGTGTTATTTTGTTTTTGAATAGCAATTTTGAGTAAATTAATCATGACTTACAAACATGAAGGAATAAGATTAGTCGACAGATAACTATATTAACAATAACTGTAGATTTTTTTAATAAAAAAGAAACTGTTTTATTGAAGAATTGAGTATAGATTAAAGAAATAATACCGACAAAGTACCTGTACATACTGCAACGTTATACAATAAATTATATTCACGTATCTCATATTAATGTTAAAATATTCATACAAAATACAAACTATAATTAACGAAATGCATGAAATACTTATGTCATAAATAACAATGGGTATTTTTTCGCTAGTTGGAAATATAATTACATATCAGGAGAGGGCAAGTGACGATAATTATACAAGTTGACATTGTCAATGTTAGAGAAGAGTGATGTTTTTGAGAGTGATATCAAACATGTAATATATTTCCTAGTAGATTTTTTTGACTAGTCCAAGAAAATCATTGGTTTGCATAATAAAATTGGAGATGGTGAACTGTTAACGTAACCTTGAATGATCTTCGTGCAAAGGTAATCAAAGAGGACGAGGACCTATGTACAGAGGCGGTCCTGTGCAACAAGCACAAGCTGGTCCACACCGTTCACCTGGTATCCAGCAAGCAAACAAGCGGACCCGGTGGTTCGTGGCTCTTTTCGATTACAATCCGACAACCATGTCGCCGAATCCCGATGCCTGCGAAGAGGAGTTGCCATTCTCAGAAAATGACATAATCAAGGTTGGAATTATTCCATTTCGCATTAGATTACAAATTGTTATCTTTGTCTCAAAAATAATTGATCAATCTTTTGCAAACTATTAATCCTATATAAGATGTATCAGACAGTAATTCTATATTTTTTATTCTTGACCTATGTAGCAGGTTCAGGTAAATCTTTATTTTATTTTTGGCTTTATGACTGTAAATACTTGTTGCAGTAACTGTTGACGATCATCATTTAAAAAATATTGTAGCGCTACATACTGACTTGCGAAGTAGGTTTGCAATGCAAAAAGTGAAATAATATAATGTATCAAGTGATTACGTTACTCATAAGCATAATTACGAAAAATTAGCAACTCAAGAGAAAAAAAATATGTTCGTCCGAAAAAACTAAAATTCACGCTCATAACAGTCACAGTAAAAGAGTAAAAGAAAAAAGTTTAAAGTAATCTCAATCGATCATCATCTATATAAGACTCGAAAGATTCATTAACAATCCCCCTCGTCAAGTCTTAAAGTACCATTGACAATTAATTGTAGGGTAATTGTAGCGAGAGGCCAAGCTCGTTATACGCTAATAAGAAGAGTTGGCACTCCCGAGAATCGGACTTGAAGTATCTGGCTCTAATGAGGCTGTTCTTGCAGGTTTACGGTGACAAAGATGCAGATGGTTTCTTCTGGGGTGAGTGTCGTGGTCGACGTGGCTACGTGCCTCATAACATGGTCGAGGAAATAAAAGATCCACATCAAATTCAACAATTGAATGCCGGGCAACCGGGTAGTTCTGGAGGGCCTGGCCCTGTGAATCGACGCGGTCCAGTACCGAGTGACCGTTGGGGCGACATCTACGCCAGTATGCCAGTGAAGAAAATGATTGCTCTTTACGACTACGATCCCCAGGTGTTGTCGCCGAATGTAGACGCCGAGGTGAGAGCAGGAGGAGGTTTCACGTCTACGCGCTTAATTAGGCCGGCTTGCATTGGATCGCCGCTGAATTTGCCACGCACGCGTTATAGATGCGGGATGAAAGAAGAAGAAGAAGAATAATGGATTGACGATAACGAGGCCGTTTTCGGGTTCAAGAGCATTGACTGCTAACGATCGCCACACTACTTTTTTCTATTAACTTGCGATGGCTCATTATTACTTTCTCCATTTATATTCCCCTGGGTTGTTGGCTCAACTCATAGAAATTAATTTTGGGATCGGTTCGATATCACATTGGGCTCATAGAAAACCGATTTTCTCACTAATCATAAATTTTGACAAGAGTATAGTGGTGTTAATGAATGTCCAATGTTTCAGCAAATGGAATTGAGTTTTCAAACTGGAAACGAGATTTATGTTTATGGCAACATGGACGACGACGGGTTTTACTTGGGCGAGTTGGACGGCGTCCGAGGTCTGGTGCCGAGTAACTTTTTGACGGAAGCACCCGACCAAGGTCAAATGCCGCCAGGTAGAGGCAGACCCCTGGGCCAGGGCCAAGGTCCTGGTGCTAGGGGTCCGCCTCCACCTCCACGAGAGCCGCCTGGTGGACCGCGAGGCCGTAGTAAAGGTAAAGCTCTCCGATCCCCCTCCTCACCCACAAATAACCTTTATTTTTCTCTCTCTTTACATATATATGTACATCTCTATCTTCTCCCACTCCCTTTTGTCTTTCGTCTAACAATCTGGCCGCAACTCGTTGTCACGTTCGACGCGCGGTTTATTATTGGGTCGTGGCGTTGCTCGTACTTTCCATTCGCCATGACTTGCTTTATAGCTGTGCTTTTGTGAAGCTTCCTCAAACTTTTTCTGGTCAAATGAAATCGAGTTACTCATTTTATTTTTCTTCTGTGTAGTAACGTGCGACTGATTTGAGTTTTTTTCTCGATACATTCGATAACATTCGTCAAGTAGTCTATTCCTATAAATAGTCGGACAGAATATTTATTACTTTTAACGTCGCTTAACGAATGGAAAGTATTCGATGGCGAATACCACGAGACACGAGATTTTGTGCGCCAGAGGACAGGCAGCGACGGATCGCAGAAGAATTATGCACTTATTTGAAAAAAAGGAAATGAAAACAACAGAAAAAAAATAAATGAGTCGTGATCCGTGAACGCATTTCCCTCTCATCACAACACAATGCAATCATCAGACCCCGAATAAAAAAAATATATAGCAACAGCGTTTTATGAAACATTATGTCATTTTTTCTCGCACGAAATTGTAATATATATCACAATGTTGATTGATGAAAAATAGAAAAGAAGTAACAGAAAGAACACGTACGTAGGCAATCAGACATAAAAAAGGTAATGTTCATTGTTGGCCATCGACTGGTGACCGAAGAGCGGCGAGTCCCCGAGAAATCAGCAGTTTATCGTTAGATAAATATAATGTATTTTGAAATAGCCCACGATTTTTGAAATGAATAGCTATTGAACTAACACTGATGATTTTTTTTTCTCAAGAGTTTGATCACGTGTGTTGAGAACACGCGCGTTAATAAATATAAAACACTTGCTGGCATTCATTTATTTTTATATATTACTATATATACATATATATATATAAATTAAGTATATAACCACACGACTATATGCAATAAACACCAAGCTGCTTTCAGTGTATTCTATTAAGTATATTATATATATTTATATATTTGTTCTATCTCTCTCTATCTATATTTCTACGAGCACTATTGGCTCAATTACTTCTTTATATATCTGTCTTTTTCTACATAGTTTTTCTATATATTACCAATTGAGTACGTATATATAAATACAGATATATATATGTACATATAACACATGTTTATATATATTTAGCGATTGGTTTTTTTGATACATAACTGAAAATCATTTACTGCTGTGCTTCTCAATACTCACGACAGTAATGATAATGTGTATACTATATATACTATATACTTACTATATACTCTACTTATACCGACATGATTTGTCGTCTCTGTGTGCCTGAACTGGTCGATGGTCGTCGTGTCACATGATTGTCGTTCGTGTCGTGTTGTCATGCTGGCCATTTACGATATTATATTCGATGTTTATTTATGTCTCTACCGTAGTCTTGACAAAATTAAACGCCTGACAGTGAGGTTACTTTTCCAAATTGATCTTGATTGTTAGCTTTTGATAGATATGCCTCCATTCCAGTTTGACAAAAGTCTTCTAGAACGCACCAATCGTATATGACTCTCTAATTAATATCGTTTCCGAAATACTTCAACTGCTTGAGATTAAATAACCACAAGCTGATTGTTAACTATTGTTGATAATACTGAAATAATGATACTGTGTGCTTTTGAGTGATGACATTGTAAATGATATAAACACAGGAAATTAAGTAATGAATTTATAAATTATTTAAATTTCAAATGTTCATCGTGTAAATTGTAGCACGTTTATTGTAATATTTTCACACGCTAACGTGAAGCTACATTCATATACCACGAGACTTATTGTAACAGTTAAAATTGCAAACACAACTAACGAATAGAAATTCGAATGAGAGAGAGACGTACGCTTGGGGTGATGAAAATTAAAAACAGACTGTTTCGAAAGAAGTCACGAGGCAAACAGAAAATCACAAGGAAAAGATAAATCGGGCAATAGAGAAATGCGCCAGGGCAATGACAACACGGTTCTGTTCTCTTCTCTGTTGCTAGATGCCTGCATTGTGCCTGTGTCTGTCCCTGTCTGTCACTTAGACTCTAGACAACAACAACCACTAAAGAACAAGCAACAAGTACCACATCAAGTACAACAATCTCAACAAAACAAACCACCGCGTGTAGCGTACCAACAAGCGAATCACCACAGCTACACGGGCATGGGTCCCAATCAGCATCCGGGTATGGGTATGGGACCTAACAAGGGCCCACACATGGGCCCACATCCGCCCGGTCAAATGCCGCCGCACATGCAGCAGCAGGTGAGTGCACATGACTTCCTCCAGTCTCCTCACATCGATCTGTCTTCCTCTATCTCAACTTCTTCATGATCTACTTCTTCTTCTTCTATCGCTCTGATTTTCCTGTAATTTTCTGTATCTCTGAGCGCGCTGAGTCGAGTGAATGCGGACTTTTATCTGTGTGGTTTGAAATTATCTTTCTTTATCCTTTTTTTCACTTATAATGCTGTGTTGATGTAACACCCTCTGTATGAACAAAAAAGAGAGTTTCGCACTTGAGATTATGAGGCTCAAAAAGTGGGAGATTTTCGCCAACTTCTTTCGAGAATATAGGTGGTACATGACTTTTTTTCAAAAACATTACACGCTTGTTTCTTGATGTGATATTATCTATGTGATGTTGCTTAGGGCTGCACGTTTATCCTCCTATACTTTCCAAATTCAAACACAATTGATTATTTTGCAAATTGCACTTCAATTTTGTTACGCGTTGCTGGATACAAAAACTTTCTTTTTGTTTATTTGCACCTCATGCTCCATAAAGTTTCTTTGAAAACAACTAGAATATCTACATGGTCGAAATACTGCTACGTGATATATTATTTTGAAAATCGATTCAACGAAAAGCAATAACGTGTGCTACTTTGGAAATCGCGTCAATAGCGGAAAATTCCGAGCTATTTATGATGAAAAATACATTACCCTTCGATAGGAAATACTTGGTTTCAAATACGTATCGTTTTACTCACGCGATAGACTGCATGATTTCAATACCTAATAAGACACCAGTACGACTATTACAAATTAACGTTTTTATATATAGTTTCAGGCATTTATTCCAAACAATTATAATAGCTTTCTTATTGCTAATTAGCTCAACAGAATTGTACGGAATAACCGTTTCCGTCAGTCAAAACTGTATTACCTTTAATATCAAAAATAGTAAACAAATACTACATGATTTTTCTAACATTAATAATAATACCAAAACAACTACAAGCTTAAACCTATGCATTTATAACTTATGCTAAATATATTTTATGGCATTAAACATTTTCGAAAACATATTCGCTTGCGCTTCTGGCAACGCACACAAATTTTACCTTTTCTCATTACGTACAGAGATATACTTGAATGAAATGTTCTAGCAAAAGAAAAATTCAAATAAAAGTTATCGATATTGAATATACGATAGAGGTCAATCGACCAATTTATTATGGTAATTTTTGCTTCAAATGCTGCCAATTTTCATAATTAAACTCAGCATAGCAAGGTAAATATTTTCTTACATAGAGGCTAATTCATGTTTCTTGCTAAAATTTTATGCAGAATAAAACTCACTCGTAGTTTTAAGTCTAATAATCAATGACCCACACAGAAAACATGGTATAATTAATATAATTACATATTTTCAGGAATGAAAATAAAAAATCACTTTATAATCCATTATTCCCACATTTAGACAGCTATAATTTAGGGATGAATAGATATTAGATTCCCACTGAATACTTTTTTGAAACGTTTGAAATTAATGTCAATATGAGATAATGAATTATTATCTATAATAATATTCTATATTAATAAAATGCAGTAAAGTTTACAAATGTTTCAAAAAACTCGTTTTCAATACAAATTTAAACAGTTGAATTTCATTAGGCGATTTAACTAATATGAAAAGTGGTTCGTCTAGACTAGAACTACAAAATCATTTATCGTGATAATTTCCTTAAGTAATAATTGAGCGTTATGTTTTTTTATAAATAAAGTAAATAATACATTTAAAATCAAAATGAAAGTTCTAGTGCAGGCGTGGAGTGAGTAGAGCGTAGGTAACGTATACATTGACTATTTTCAGGGGAGGGGGAGAGGCATGCTCAACCAGGTCGGTGGTAGTAATATGATGCCGGGTGGTCCCCGAGGTATGCCAGGCCAAATGCAGCAGCATCCGCAACAAGGTCAGCAGGGTGGCCCTATGGGTGGCCCAATGAGTGGTCAGATGGGTGGTCAGATGGGTGGTCAGATGGGTGGTCAGATGGACGGGCAGATGGGTGGCCAAATGGGAGGCCCAATGGGCGGCCCGATGAGTGGCCAAATGGGAGGCCCAATGGGTGGTCAAATGGGAAGCCAAGTGGGGGGTCCGATGGGCGGATCAGGTGGCTACCAGCAACAACAGGGCCCAGGCGCTTACCAGCAGCAGGGCCAGCAGCAGCAACACCAGCAACAGCAGCAAGGCCCTGGCGGCTATCAGCAGCAGCATCCCGGGGGACCAGGCGGCTTCCAACAGCAGCAACAGCGACCAATGGGTCAGCAGGGCCCGTACGGTCCGCAAGGCCCCCAGGGCGCGCAGCAACAGCAGTACGGGCCCCAGCAGCAGCAACAGCAGCAAGGCCTCGGGGGCATGATGTCGGGCCCCGGGGGCATGATGGCGGGCCCTCAGGCGAATAAACCTATGCGCGGCATGCCCAACGTTATACCCACGGCCCAGCCGGGTATGCCAGGCATGGGTCAGCAGCAGCATCCCCAGCAGCAGCAGCAGCAACAGCAGCAGCAACAACAGCAGCAGCCCGGCGCGGCAGGGCCCAACCTCATGCAGAAGTTCACGGAGATGGCGGGCCAGGCGAGCACAGGTGGCGACATCCTGTCCAAGGGTAAGGAGCTCATCTTCATGAAGTTTGGCCTGGGCAAGTGAGTGATACGAGCCGTGGTCGTGCCCAGCCACGACCGGCCAGCTCGCACTTACCGCTCGAGTTCAGTCGTCGTCATGGTCCTGCTCAGCTTAGGCAGCAGCAGTTGGACGATCAACGCCAACGTTAAAGTCAAAGCTTTGCCAATCAGTATTATTCGTGCAAACGCCGTACACATTGCACAGTACTTGTCGAAGACATATCGCTCTTTATTTCACGTTGCCTCCTCGGCTCGGGTAACCTATGGATGCTCCGTACGAAGCCCGTCTATCCCTCCCCGGCAGCCGCTTCTCGCAACGAACTCTAGCATACATATACATCAACCTATACATATTTAAACTCAGGACAAACACGTAGGAAATGCTCAAAGTTGAACCAAGTAATTGCGACGAGCGTTATCATATATATATATATATATATATATATATATATATATATATATATATATATACAGACACACGATATAGTATTAATTATACCAAATGATATATATTATAATGCTCTAGACCAATAAAAGTGTGTCGGCGGCCCGCGAAGCCGGGTGGCTCGAGGTAACTCTCTTTCAATACCCGATACGTATTAGCAACCAAATAATAAAATACTGATATGTTGCTGCTAACTGCCGATGTGATGCTGGGTTATCAATAGTGTGCGCGTATATGTATGCGCATACAAACGAGTGTTGAGAATTTTTTGCGTTTATCCGTCTGGTATGATCGATAATAAAATAATCGCACGAGTCACATCGTTCGAGGCGAGTCGTGTCGTTGTTGTTTTTAATTGCCGACTGAATCCGATACTTAGTCGCGTATACGCTCAAGTGCTCGAGGTCCAAAAACTAAAAAAAAAACTTATAAAAGCGTATCTTCGGATGCTTGTCCCGGATATAACGCGAGAACGAGTCTAGGCTAGACAACACAAAATGCGCGGAAAGAGAAGTTCGAGAGTTTTCTTTTTCTTCCCCCCCCCCCTCTCCTGAATTATACGCGTATGTAACAGCACACTCACACGTACTTTGTCTATATGATGCCCTTGTTTTATATGTACGAAGGATGCGGCGGAATATCGAGCGCCATTCCTGGGATACGACTATATATGTGTATATCGTCGACGCGACTCATTATTTTATATATTATTCACGGACTGATATATATTATATATAAATAAATATAAATATATATACCGATCGACTAAGCAACGCATAGAAACGAATACATGTACACGCGCTTAACGTATCACATTAAAATATATGATAAAAGAGCGATAACCAGAAAGCCATAAATATGATCAAGCGTAGTTATAAAGTAGAGCGAACAGACATAATCGCAGCGAGGACAAAATGCCCAGCTCGGGCGCGGTTTGACTTAGTGAAATCCGATTAGCCAGCGATAGTCGAGGGGTGCGTATTGGTGAAGAAAAAAGGTCAAAGAAAACGTAGGTGAAAGACAAACAATGATGGACGGGAGGCGGGCGTGCCTTGAGATGCCTCAAACCCTGACACAAACAATAATCATATCTAAAGTTTAAACAATAATCGCATTGCGGATCATTTGACGAGGATAAATTATAAATGAACGAGAACAAAAGATGAAACCTATTGATCGCGTATGTGCGCGCAAGCATGGTGCGTGACAAGAGCGAGAGAGACTGCGAGTATATTATTTAAAAAAAAACGTTAAATTCAAACGATCTGTTATAGTCGGGTGAAACTTATCGAGTGATCAAATAGTGAGAGGAAAGCATTAACAAAATGAAACTAACAAACAAGTAATCTAACTCTAATAAGATATATCGTACGTATACATAATAATAATGAGTGTGTCCTTCGAGTTACATGATGACTGACGATGCGATTATTACACGCGAATAATGAGAAGATATCATTGATTATAAATATAAATTAGACTTAAAAAAACAAGCACGTTCGCAAAGTGGAGAATCAAACGATGGTAATATATCAGTGCGATTATAAAAAAGATTATTAATAATTATTAGATGTATTGAGAAAGAGAGGGAACGACGAGGCTGTCGACGTCGCTTCTCGCTTATCACATTATTGTTATCTATACATTGTATTTACTCGAGTGGGATGAGCGAGAGTGAGAGTGTAAAAACATATTCATTTATAAGCGTCAACCAATGCCTTTTTCAATCTTCTGCTAGCGCAAATTTTTCTATCTACTTTTAATCTCGTAAATAACAAAAAAAAAAAAGAATAAAATGTCATGTTCCCCCGAGTAAACATCGTTCCACACAATGTTGATGATGACATATATAGCTATATTATAATAACGTTAGTCTGCGACTAATTCCGAAAAAAATTCGTTCTGAACTGAAATATATAATTTCGTTGATGGTCAAATGGATAAATACTGTACATTCAATTGTTATGCTGCGCAAGTGGCCCTTATAAGCAAGCTTTCATCATCTATAGATGAATATATTATATCATTCCGTTGATTCAAAATGAATTTTTTCAACTTAGAGAAATCTTTATATCCAAGTCTATCTGCAGAAAAGAATAATAATAAAGGAAAAAATAAGAAAAAAGTAGTAAAGGTCATATATATCGAGAGAGACTTACACTTTTAAATTAACTGTTGATTTTGTTTTCAGAGTTGCGAAAGTCTGACTGATTAGAATTGTTGACGAAAAAATGCTCTGATTGATACTGTCGCGACTAAATTATGTATACAAGTACCGACGAAGAAATTGTTGATAGCTTTAATTAAATAAACAGTTTGGTTATACATATATATATATATGGTGTACATTTTTGAAAGCGTAAGTCTCAATATCGATTCATTGTAGCTCTATCGATAATTATTGTCTGACAGGAATTTCCAATTTTACGAGTTATTATGTTGGTGAGTGCGCGTAAAATGTTTAAGATGAATTTTCAAATATCTGAACAATAATCAAGTTAAAGCTAAAGAAAAAAGTCCTTTTGGAATCATCAATATTGACTACATCAATTGTATATCACCGTTGTATATCTATATCGATTTGTTTCGTTCTCTCCATTGGTTGTATGTACAAAGCGAATTTACTATTTGCATTCTATCATTCGCATATTAAGATTTTATGCAACGTTATCAAGATGTGTTGTAATTAGGCAAGCCGAGGTTATTGATCAATTTGATCCCGTTGAATCTAAAATTAACCGAATGAACATGTGAAAAACAAAGCAAAGAGGTGCAAAACCAGTACGTGTGTGCATCGTTTACACGCATGTATACGTGTAATTAATGAAGAATTATATGATAATGACTTATAAATATTATACATATAACTATAATTATATATATAAATACAGACATATACATAATATACATATATATATTTAACTATTGCAAATCGTTGTTACATCGCTACTTGTATCGTATTTTGTACAAAGTATCCTCTATATCTTTAGTTCTCTTTTGCCGGTGTTATCTGCAATGAATAAAAAAAAAGTAAACGAAGTAAACGCGAATATATAGTAACAAGAAAAAAATGAGACAGAATATATATACAGTGATCATGATCTTTTATGCCGGTGATTCATTGGTTAACAACTAACAGGCTTCGATGTTCATCTCGCTGAAAGTTTCTTAACAAAAAAATACTTACGAGAACCTATAAATAATTAAATTGACCTCGGCAGTTTTTTTACTGTCTGTCGTATGGATCATATAAGTTGTAATTAATTTGTTGTTGTATCGACTTTGAAAGATTATATGTAAGAACGTGAGGACGAAGCTCAAGCAGCCAACGTATACATTATACATGAGCGGGAAAAATGAAGCCTCGTCAATTTAAAGAAGTAAAAAAATATATAAAAAAGACGTTCGATCTTTGCCCGACGCTATATACATATATATACAAAGTTTAATGAAAATGCAAACGTTAGCCACTTTCAGAGGGAACGCGAGATTTTCCAAGTTGCCGTTATTACGGCGCGCAATTGTCGGCATCGGTTACGGACAAATAAAAAAACAAGAAAATCATCAACTGCTGTTATTATTACTTTTTTATACAATACCGTTATTATGCTTTTTCTCCATTTATTTTTTTCTCTAGATTTTTATTTGCGCATTCCAGCATATTTTTATTATAATTGACCGGCTGAAGTGCTGACTGTGATAATAAATTTTTCTTTTATTCACTTTTTCTTTAATTTAGCATAAATGAACAATAATGTTTACGTGTGTCATATTGTATATTTTGTATTCTTACCAGGACAATGAGGAAAAGTTAATAAAGACCAATTTTTAAGTTTATCTTATGTTCTATCTCAAGTAATAGACATATTTTACAATTGCGTTATTAGTTCTAACTTATTGAATACAATTATAATGGTAAATGCGCACACATACATACCGATTGCATTTTAAACAAAAATTTTTTTAATACATTCTCGTTTATATCCAGGTTGTACGAATTACTTTCTATTATCAAACGTCAAATATTTCAGACGCGTCAGTATATCCCCCCCCCCCTCCCGTGATCGAGCCAAAATTAATTTTGATTATGCAAGGGTCATTAAGATTGCAAATTGTAACTGATGTAAATAAAGTAATGTCGAATATGTGAATATGAAACGTCGAAAAATATAATAAGAGAAACAGTATATATATACATACATCAAGTCTGTCAAATTTTTTGAATTTGAATTCCAACATTCACTTGTTAATTAGGGGAAAGAGTCGGGTTGTGGACATTCGTTTGTTTTTAGTTCATAATTTTTCACCAAGTGTATATTTTTTTCATATATAAGTATCTATGGAAAGCTAGAGACCTTAGCTAACTACCAACAAAGGGACAAAATCGATTTAGTTAAGTAGAATAATTTTTTTTGTTAATTATGTGAAGTGGTCATTTTTGGCCAAAATCTATTTTGATTCGGTTGTGGGCACCCTTGCAAAATCTGCTGAAAATGGGAAAATATGATAAATATAATAGGAAAATAATAAAAGAAAAATAACCAAGAATATAGAAAAAATGAAAGTTTATTTATTTTAGAACCACTATTTTAGAATAACTATTTTACAATTTAGTAAAACTATTTAACATTTTAAAATAAACTATTTCATATCAAACATTTTAGAAATTTTTGGACAGCTTATCTACAGAACAACGTTTAGTGGCATCAAGCGGCACATGAAATCAATATCGAACGATTTTTTTAAATTATTTCTGGATGACATATCTAAAAAAATCGAAAAATATACGAGAACACCATTAATATTTTAATGTAAAAGAAATACATGGAAACATGAAAAATTATCAACATACGTATATTTCATTAGGTATTGATTACTATAAGTAGTTAGGTTCAATTAACGATGACATTCAATCATTTTTCAAAAAACAAAACGAGTACCTACAACCTCACTAATTTTGGTGCCCACGACCGAATTTGCCAGGCATCTTGAGAAGTGGTGAAAAAAATTGTTGATATTAACATATTGGTTGCAATCGATATTGCATCACAAAGTTAGAATAAATTCCTACCGAATAAATATGCATTACACTCACCTTCATTGATTCACTTCGATTTGTAATACTGTCGAAAAAGTTTAAATAAATTTTTGGAATTTTTTTCAAACACCGAAAAATTAATATGCTCACAGCACAAAACATACGCGTTTATTTACTTCCATATTTGGTATAAAATAACGTGCTTCCATAATACACAAATAACATTTGTCAGAAAAACCTCATCTGCTTTTTGTCAACAAAAAAGTAAGGGTGTCCACAATCGAATCATGTACTTAACCGAACTTCTTATCGTATAATTTCCATTTCTTGTTTAGCAAACTAACTATAATGGATCTTTTTAAAAACTGAAAAAGCTGACTTAAAGAATTGTAAAATTTTTATTATAAAAATTACACAGCTCAGACAAATAATTGTTTTTAAATTTATATCATTCAATATTATTTTTTCAATCACTTTCATCCTCTTCATCCTCAAAATCAGGTAATTCTTCTAGGATTTGATCGACTTTATCTAAACGTTGTGGATTCAATTCTAAACGTTGTATAACATATTCTGGCATACAAAATGTTGGATCAATTTCTTTCAATGATTCATTAGCACTTAACATAGAAATAGCAGCAAGTCCAAATAATGTGTGAAATGGATCTACCATATCACCTGGTCGATCACTGAAACCTCCTGTTTCTGTATCTTGACAGCATAAAATGTATTTGACCTGGGAATAACATTACTATTTTTTATTAAATCGATAAAAAATAATTTATCCATAAAATATATTTTTACTAATTTATCTTTATCGATCCAATGTAGACGACCCAACATAGACAAAGATGAAAGAACCCACCACGAGTAACATACATCAGGTAGTTTCTCTGGCCTACCATTCAAACCTCCAGAAGGCAACTGACGTTCAGCAAGCCACCAGCCTAATTGATCTGCATTTACAAGGTGCAGATGTCCTGAAAGTTCCAAAAATTAATTAGTATAAAGGAAATTATATTTAGAGCTTTTATTGAAAGATACCAACCTGTAATAGATAATGAACCAAGGCAACAGTAAATTAAACCAGCATGACTCTCAGAATCAGGTCTTGAACCAAAACCACCATCGAAATTCATGCACTTAGTTATATGTTCAACAGCTTTATCAATATTAATTTCATTAAGACGACCCTGATATTGAATTTTTCTACAAATTATCTACGTAAAATTTTAATGAAAGTATAAATATATACTCAACTCACCAATAGAGCTAAAGATGCAATGCTACAAAATGTAAATCTTGCATCTATTTCACCCCATTTGTCTCCTGTGAAACTTCCATCTGATTCTTGTCTTTCTTTTATATATTTTAACACTTTTTCTACATCAATAACATTAATTGAGTCATAAATACATAAAATTTGGATAGCACTTAGAGTATGAAGTATGTGAGGGTCATGATAAAGGCTTGCACTAATGCCACCACAAGGATGCTGACACTGTTTTATAAAATCCAAAACTTCATCTTTATGTGTATTATCTAATTGACCCATTAAATCAAGAGCAGTCAAACCCCAATACATTCCAGACATACGAAGATGTTCAGTCATACAAATAGTCTGTAAATCAAACAATGTTACTTTTGTAGTGAATCATGCACGGTAGTTTTAATAATAACACAATTGTTAACTCACATATTCATCTTTGTTTTCTCGATATTCAAGCAGGTATTTGGCATGTTTGTCCAATAATAGCTCTGGAGTTTCTTCAGCCAACTCAATATCATTCAATGGAATAGCCTGATATATAAATTTAACAGTTACTCATTTTGATTTGGTTGCATATCACAAAAAAATTAATTTTTTTTAATAAAATAATCTTAACTAATTTATTTTTTATCATTTAATAGTATGATTTACCATTATTAATTTTATTAATAATTTTCCTCAATCACTTTTTAAGAGTTTATTAGCAATGACTTATTTATAACTATTATAGCAGAAAAATCACCAAACACTTTCTTGAAATATATAATAAATATGAATTATATGATTTCAATTGTAAAAATTACATACATTTTAATAAATAATATTTCAATGAATATATATCTAACTAAATAAATTGATACTATATTATAGAGATACCCAGCTACTAATGCGCTATTTTATGTACATTTCATACTACAAACAGATAAACAGCTGAGCTGCTGTAGTAAATACTAAATAGTACATACATACATATATCTATCATTCACAGCTGATGACACGATTTAATTCTAGCGGGAAATTTAAATGTTAGTATTGTAAAAAAAATATTATTCATAAACTAAAAGTTAAATTAATTATATTTATTATTATACAAATAGAAACATCATGACTGAAAAGATAACATTTTGATTTACATTATTATTTATGATAAATCATCTAAGACGCGATCAACGATAAATTCTTATAACGAAATTTATAGATGTAGTCGTGCATTTGAGACATTCAGATTGAGGAAAAATTTTATTTATACGTAGAAGATGTTCAATAAACACGAAATATGAAGTAACTTTAGTTTAAAATAATGGTGGCCGACACTAGTGCAAAGCCGGGCCGCAAAGAAAAATGTGTCCGATTACTATAGCGAAATATAAACTTTTTTAAAACTTTTATTGTTTTTCTTTACGCTAGGCAGAGTAAAAAATGAAATTGTAATTTAAAGATGAAATGCATTTATCACAAGTTTCCACTTTCTTGTTATTTTTAATTAATTAAATCTATATACATTTTTTATGTAAACTGGAAATCGGTTTTGAGTGTCCGACCATTAATGCCTTTATCCTATATCTTATTCAGATAAACGCTCATACGAAAGCATCTACATCTTTTGAAATAATTCAAAAATCTTTAATAATTTTATTTTGTTTACAAAAAAAGGCTTTAAAAGTTTGTAAACTTTTTTTGTAAACTTTACAATGAATTTTTTTAATTTGAATTGAAAATTATCTTAAAATACTACAATTAAAACACTGTAAGAGAACAGTAGCCACAGATTTATGATAATACATTTAAAAAATTGTTAATTTTAAGTGAATTTAAAAAATAGTTTTCTAAAAGGAATTTGAAATTTATAATTATAAAATTGAATTAATGAATGAAAGATTTTTTCATGTAATAGCTCATGCCGATTCCACAGACCATTTAGATTAGAATTATGTAGATATAAATTATATACATGTAGTGTTAATAGAAAATAAGAATATCTTATGAAATTATTGCAACATAAAAATATTTTTAAAAGATCAACTTTCCATCCTGTCTATTTTAAATATTATTTTGAACCATTTGACTATATAAACTGTTTAGGTCTCTTAATATGCATTTCTTAAAGCATTTACGATGGTGTTCTATTAATACAAGATTAGGTAATCTTTATGAGATGTCGCGGTATCTTTGTCGGTTCCAAACGTTTCACCTTTATCTTGTTTTTTAAAACGTTGTTTGTTGCACAGCTTAATGATTTAAGGTTTATCATTTGCACGTATGCGTTTTTTGTTTCGCAAAGTTTGATATAGAATTAAATTAAATACTTATTATTTATTCATAAAATTTTACATTGATTTTGAGTAGAGAAAATAATTGATTACAAAAATTATTAGATTTATATTTATTAAACATTTGATGTTTTGAATCCATCTAAAGTATTACATATTTGTTTAACTGCATAAGACGATACATTAAACCTTGATTATAGATTAATTAAAGTAATATTTTAATGTATATTCTAAATAAATTATGACGTTTTAGATTTGAAAAAATCAATGTGATACGAGATAACAGTAAAGTTTTACAACTTTTAATCTCCTAAAAGACAGTTTTTTGATGTTACATCCGGGATAAAACCATAGAAGTATAGTAAAAATCTGATGGTAACTCGAATTCTAAAATTTATAGGGGTGTAATTATATTATTATCGTACATTATTCCTTTCTAATATTATTTTCATTTTAATGTGCTGAAAAAAAATTAATTGGAATCGCAAAAGAGAAAACATTTTTCAACGTAAAATGTCAACAAGTTTTGCCCATTTCGGAGATTTCGGTAAAGTCATAATGTTTAGTTACAAAATGTAAAAGATATGGATATCAATTACGGATTTACTTGAATTAATATTTATAAACTTTCCAATCGTACGTATTTATAAAAATAGTACAAAAAACAAAATTTATTTCCATAGATTTGTTAGTTATCCGACAGACTACTAAGGAATGAGTACTAATCAAACACTAGAACGAATCCCAAAATAATTCGCAAAAAATTCTTAATTTGTTGTTCGTTTCATATAGTCGATATATGCAAGCGTAAAGCGAAGGTCAGGAAGGTCGCGAGCGGTGGGCTAATCTCGCTTAGCCGCCGAAATTCGTTGAGTATAAAAGCTCGGCACGTCTGCGACCACTGCATCACACAGTAACCTTCTCGTGATAGAAGGGACACGCTTTTATTTCTCTTGCAAAAGAGAAGAGCTGAACGTGTTTTCAGCGAAGATGTTGCGTAACTGCATCGTGTTCGCTTTGGCGTTGGCGGCTGTGTCCGCCAACATCATGCCTCGCACCACCTCGGACGGCAGAACAGCTGATATGGACTACTTGCTTAAACAAAAAAAGATCTTTGATGTGCTCATGTACGTCGATCAGAATGTCCTCACCGACCACGAATGCTTCGAAATTGGACGTAATTACGACGTCTACGTCAACATAGATTACTACAATGACAAGGTATCCTTCTTTTCTATTTTCAACATTTTATTTCCATTTTATTTTATGAATTTTCATTAATTTTATTTGAACATTTATCAGGAAGTTGTTACGCAGTTCTTGAACATCTACAAACTCGGTATGCTAAAACGCGATGCTATCTTCACAATGTACAAACCTGAACACCGCGACGAAGTAATGCTATTATACCGTCTGTTATACGTCGCCAAGGACTTCAACACCTTCTATAAGACCGCCTGCTGGGCTCGTCTCAACATAAACCCTATGATGTTTACCATTGCCTTCAGCACTGCTGTACTCTACCGTGAGGATACCAAATATATACGCGTCCCAGCCATTTACGAGATCTATCCCAACTTGTTCTTCGATTCAAAGGTTCGAATCGTTTCTCACATCATAGTTTACTTCTAGATAAATGTTTTCTTGTGATGATAGACCAATATTGATATTTTACAATTATACACAGGTTATTCGTGAAGCTCAAAACGTAAAGATGACTCGTGGCTACGGGTACAACATTCACGGTCTTGGTATGCTGAAACGCCACGACATGGACAGTGTAGAAACCTACTACGTGCAATCGAACTTTACCGACATTTGCTTGAACCCGATGTACGAATATGAATACAGACTGAACTACTTCATGGAAGACGTTGACCTGAACGCCTATTACTACTACATCCGTATGATGTATCCGTTCTGGATGGACACCAAGGACTACAACCTACCCAAGAATATCCGTGGTGATTTGTACTATTTCATTCACAAACAGATCATGTCCAGATACTATCTCGAGAGACTGTCCCAAGGTTTGGGTTCGATCGAAGATTTCACTTTCGATCGCATGGACTTGCCTGGATTCTACTCCGATCTTAGTTTCACCAACGGTGTCTCTGTCCCAAAACGTGACTGGTGGAACATTGTACCTTTCTACAAGCTCCACTACGTCGACGTGAGTAAACATTCGATTTTTCTGAAAAATTGCATTTTGATGATTATGCTAATGAAATTATTTCTATCGGCAGCATATCAAGAAAATCGAACTCAGAATTATGGAAGCCATTGATCTCGGATATGTGTGGGACAGCCAAGGCAAACAGATCAGCCTTTACACACCCGACGGTCTTAATGTTTTGGGTAACATCATTGAAGGTAACTGTGACTCCATCAACTTGAAATACTACGGTGCCTACGATGTTCTCGGACGTGATATTCTGGGGCAGAACTTCGATTGTAAGTGCAAAGACTACTACGTACCAAGCACCCTTCAGCTCTTATCCACCAGTTTGAGAGACCCTGCTTTCTACAGACTCTACGACAGAATCATGTACTTCTTCCAGAGGTAAGTCAAGCTCAAGTGTGGAATTACTTAATTTAATAACTTATGGATATAATAACGTTTTCAATCTGTTGTATTAGATATAAGGCCATGTTGAACCGTTACACCAAGAATGAGGTTGAATTCCAAGGAGTCAGAATCGAGAATGTTGAAATTGACAAACTAGTGACTTACTTCGACAAGAAGGAATACTTAATCAACAACGCCGTGGCCGTCGACAACTACAAGGAAGGCAAATCGTTTAACATCAAGGCTGGACAACGTATCCTCAATTACAAGCCATTCACTTACAAATTCTCCGTCAACAGCGACAAAGACGTCAAGGCTGTGGTACGCATCTTCTTGGGACCTGCCGTTGAAGGCGAGAAATACGATGACTACTCTTACCTTCAATATTACTACAGATACTTCTTCATGCTCGATGAGTTCGAATATTCTCGTAAGTTGTCTAATTAGATCTTTGATTATTTTTAATTTAAGATGCTTATTTTTATACTTAAAACTTGTAGTGAAACCGGGAATGAACAGCTTCGAGCGGTCCAGCATGGATGCTCAATTCTTCAAACAAGAGTACTTGACTGGTGACGTATACTACAAGAAAGTACTCAAGGCTATCGAAGCCCAGGAAACATTCATTTACAACAAGCGTGTTACCGGTTTCCCCAACCATTTGATGCTACCAATGGGTACCGTTGATGGTATGAGGTACAAACTCTTCGTCTACATTGGTCCATACGAGGATGTCAAGACTTACGAAGTACCTTACTTGGGCAATGTCAAATACTGGGGAAAATCTTTCGGTTTCCCACTCGACAGACCCGTTACTCCAATGTTCTTGAAATTGGACAATTGTTACTTCAAGGATGTCATCATCTACCATTTGAAGGACTACGACATGACCATGATCAGTAAAGTATTTTAAGCTTACATCGAGTTTGGCTTTTGGAGATCATTGGACTGCTTGGCAGTAGTGAATTCACGGCTGCCTTCCGAGAAACCAAGACTAGACTATCGATCAGTCGATTAAACTATTTTTCTAATTTTGTAATTTGTTACCTCGTTATTGGGAGTTCCTCTCTGAGGAATTCGCTTTAATGACAAATGAATTAAGAATAAAGCCATATTTCAATTTGAAAATTCGTGACTTTGAATTGATTGTTCTCACGCACAGTATGACTATGAAGCTATTTTCAAACTACGTATATCGACATGATCTTTAATTATTCAGTCTTAATATTTTAATAAACATACTAATTATTTAATAAATATACTGTAATAAGTATATCTAATTTGATTTTAGAAATAATAAACAAAAGTTTCCTATTAATATTAATAAGATTTTTAAACTTAAAATAAATTCAATAAGTGATTTATATCACGATTGATAATATAAAAAAAATTAATTGTAAATTGATCAAGAAGGGAGTATTAACAGAAATCGAAGTTGGGAGCGACAGTAAATTTTATATTTGATAAGAGTGTTATTACAAGTATGATATTTGTGCTGAGGTTAGCATTAATCACTTGATATGATAAGAATTTACCGAATAATTCAAACGTTATATAATTGAAACATGTAAAAAATTTTTCAATTACGTAATGGCCGTATTTACGTATCTTCTTCCCAGACGGTTTCCGTAAGTATAGCTATATTGTCAAGACCTCTCATGGGAGCATACTCGAGATTCCACATAGTATTAGTGAATACCACTGTGAAACATAGAAAATTATTTTTAATTAATTTCAGACAGGAACTTGGTTGTTAGGTATACAATGTCATTACGTGACTTACACATCTCTCCTTGATGCAGATCGGCAACGAGCTCGGGACAAGAACTATTGCAAGGATTGATCGGCGTAAGCCTGAGTTGCGTTGCACCCTTGAGCTGAGCAAGAGCTATGAGGCCAGAATCGAGCTCAACCCTCTTATAGTTGGGACTGTTGTAGTCCGAGGACATGAGGACCCAGTTGAAGTGGGCTGGTGAGACGGTACTTGACAGGAAGTACGGTCGTTGATAGTACTTGCGTAACGCTTTGACTGCGTTGATGTCGCAGTTCTGCCAGTGCACAAACCACTTGGCAACCCCTGGTGAATGAACCCGTCGTAAGAAAGCTGCTAAATCGGATGAGTGGGTGCGTAGATTGGAGGTCAAAGCGCACGGCACTGTTTCCATCAAGCGTTCGTTTTCCAAGTATAGCTATACAAAAGATCATTTTTCTGATTACAGGCATCGATTTCAAAACTTACGAATTTAATTTTAATTGACAGTTATGTTTTATTTATTTACTTTGAGAATTAATGCTTTTCTAGGAGTATGTAGTAATATGGTTATGTTTCTAATTAAAATCTTTTAATAGAGTGTATCTTAAAATATGTTAATGAATGTTTTACTGCATTATGTAAAGTATATTTTATATTTTATAACAGTTACAAAAATTTCGTGTATGTTGACGTTAGTAATCGTACGTACATGAGTAATATTGTCGAACCAGAAGAAATCAGTATTCATGGCTGTCCAAGTGTTCATGGCATCAGTAATGATAGCAGGTGCATCTCGGTTAAGATAATTGTCCACTAACTGACGGTAACGAACGTCCGATAATCGATCAATGGTTTCCAACGCCTCGCATGCCTGAAATCCATTGGAATGAAGTAATTTTCGGTTCGTTAATTATCAACTCAATTAGCTCCATATGTGCATCGAATAGACTCTATTTAGTTTTAACAACAACATATATTTATGAAATGTATTTTTTTTAAATAAGGCCATACTCAGTAAAGTAACTGTATGTTGATTTAAAATATTTTATTAAAATATCTAATAATATTAAATTTTTTTGCATTAGATGGAAAAGATTGGTATCTGTTTTTATATATCTTACCACGCAATCTTGTTCAGTGACCGCATAATCGTTGTAAAATGGATTGTTCATCATGCAGCTCTCATAGTAGAGGGGTTGCCAGTTCCATATGGGTAGCACCTTGATCATGACCAAGCGTCCAATAGCAGTAAAATGCTTGCCAACAAAGTCGAGCTGAGCGGTCAAGCAGATAAGGGTGCCGATAGCGACAAGAACGAGGGTCGCCTGGAAAACGAGCTGTAACCAGGAACGGCGCATAGCTGCAACCAATGGCTGGCAGATTATATCCATCTCTTCCTCGGTAAATCCCGCCTGCTGGCAGTATCTGCGCACCAACAGATATTCACTCATGAGCGAACACACTTATTGGCAATTTATGTGCGACCCCAACACTTTCTTGGATAAATTCAAGCTTCGGAAGTTGTTCATATTTTACAATTTTTAATGCTACACATGAGGACCATTAAATACAGCCCTGAATTTTTCATAGACTGGAGAGTTTCATACGTACTTTATGTATTGTATTCGACCATTTTAGAAGATTATCTGCTTGCTTTATTTACTTAAAAGTTAAAATAAAATTATGTTAAAAAATAATTCAGGACATTAGAATAAAATTAGAGAATATCAGAAATCCCGATTCTATGCAAATACAAAAAATTTAATAAACTAAGATAAAAGTCAACTAAATTAACAAGATATCACAAAATTAAATTTTATCGAATACAATACCCCTTTCAAAGACATGATATTACGTAAATTTTCCTCTGAATTGGGATAAAAGTTGACTAAAAATATGACTTATGAATTAAAAGAAGAGCTTTTATGTTGTAGGATACATGTTTTTTGAGCTTGTTTGGGATATTTAATATATTCAAATTATTATTCATATTAAAAAATATATGAAAAGAAAAGTCATATTGTTTCATTACAATTAAAAATTAAGAACAACATGAAATCTCCGGATTAAATGGATATACTAAATTCAATAATAAACACCAAAAAGCTATGTAAAAATGAACAGCTGATAAACTGACTTGTAAAATGCGTTGAGTTCATCATCGATGAGCCTGAGCTTTTCAGCATGGGTCATTTCATGCGGTTCCTTGGTGGTGAGCTTCCTCTGGGGTTTGACACTCTTGTTAGTCGACATCGTGGCTGACAAGTGTAACGTCCGATCGAGGAAGAGTAACTGATCAGTTGCACCGCTAGTTTATCAAGCGATGCCTGTCGCATGCGTCGAGCCACCTTCAAGCCTGCTATTGATTTTTCAATAGGACACCCTCGCTAAGCTTGCGCCGACTCAGATACACATATACCCATCTCGTTTACATCCAACGGCTTTTCTCTACTTTTTCAATTTATCATGAAAGATTTTACTGATTAGTTCACTGTAATTATATGGTATAATATGCTTTTTAATACTGTATTTTCTATACATTTTTTCGAGTACACTTTTTATATTTAAAAATATGAATTGATGAATTCAAGATAAAACAAATTAGCACAATACAACATAAATACGTCTTAAATCACCTCAGCAGAACAGTATTTGCCGTCAGATGGTAATATTCGAAATCATGCAAATAGAAAGTATAGCAACGAAAAACAAGAAAGTGTTAAATTATTTTTATTATTTAAATCTTTTATAGTATAATTAAAAATATCTGAATTATCTTCACAACTAATAATAATTAATTCTTTTTCAATATCTATCTTTATGCCAAGTAAACATTGACTATTGATACCTAGTTTTTACTAATTTGGATACAACGAGAAAGTTCAAATATGTTTTTATACTTTCGATCACAATTTTGACTGAGATTTATTTCTTAATCTCAGTGGATTTCTCTCCGGTAAAGCTTGTAGCTTGTAAATTAATTATTGACAGAGTTGCATAGTTCTGAAAAGTAGACTGAATTTTTAAAAAGAAACTTTCAGATAAACAAGTGATCTTACCCTCAGTATCTTGAATTTACATAAATATTTTTGTACATCGCAAATATTTATTACTCTAGGTTCATCAGCATTGTCTTTCGATAAAAGAAAATTCTCAACATCCCTGTTATTTCGGTTGGGCTGTTAATATCAATATAAGAATTCGATTTTAGCATTGTAACCATTGTTAGTTTTCCTGATTTAATTCAGTCTATTGTTCTGATTCATTAATTAGAGACGTATTTTCAGGATAAATGTTATTATTTTATTCTACATTTACGTTATGACTTGTTATGTCAGATATTTGATTATTATCTCTAATGGAAGTTGAACTACGTGTACAAAAGCACATGTTTGTGCTCTTAATGAAAAACTAATTAGGTGAAGATGAAATTATTGATAGAACTTTGTGTACAAATTAGAGCGTGTGGTCGATGGCTCTAAGCTAACTGCCTGTTTGTGCAAGTCTACGTGATTCTAAAAATTTGTAGGAAAAAGAAAACTAAACTAGTTTTGATAGGAAAAATCCATATGATAGTTAAGTTGTAAAACTAGAGCACCGCCCAGCGCGCCGACCGGAAACAACATGTGTTACCCATAACGTCCATTCGATATCTAGAGCTATGAAAGACCAAGGTTCGGAAGGTAGTAAAATTTATCTAATATGACCAAACACTTGAGTAGTGTCGCAGTGCAGTGCTCGTTTGGTCTTTATAGTATAATTTTATTTGCTGTTCGAGTTCATGGATTTCACTACAGACTGGCTTAAGTATAGAACTTAGTCTAATAGCGAAACGCTTACAGACTGAGTAATCTTGTGTAAAATATTCTTAAATGCAATATACACGATGAAATGTAACAAATGATTAATACATATGGACTTAATAATTATGTTCACAACTCTATCTCGTACACTACGAAATTTTGAATTCTGATTGCTTTTCTGAGAATTATTAAAATAGTTATGATGTTGAGGATGATGAATTATTTCGGAGATTATATGAAAGATTGTTATCAAAATTAGTTCTTTGAGTGTTGTTGGAGTTATTACTAGATCATGCCAATTATGATTGTTAACGTGACCCTGAAATTTATTCAAATTTTCCCGTTTATTTTTTCGAATATTTGTGAATGATTCTGTATCTGACTAAAACATAACGTACGATTTAGATCTCTGAAATTATTTATAGGTTCTACTTGATCTAACTCATCGAGAACGGACATGAAATCAACCATATTGGAGATTCTACAAAAACTCCAAACTCTTTGTAGATTAATATCGAAAAGATTTTTCAAGATTTTCATAAAAGTTGACGAGCTCAGGTATATATCTAAAGCTCACGGAAAAATTATCTCCAGCTGTGTACTGACCATCGTACAATTCGCATCTAACCTTTTTCTAAGCAGCATCATTCCAATAGCTATTAAGGTGAGTATTTTGAATCGAAGGAATATCAGTAATATTGTCCTTTATTTGTGATGATTTCTTTATGATAATTTTTAGGTTTCCCTCTTGTTGGTCAATAGCTTGAATATATTAACTGTATTAAGGAATTAAAATGGTTTATTAATAGATTTTGCCGAGAAATTTTAGAGTTTCAATTTGAGATGAGTATGAGTATCTAGTATTATTGTGGCACCGCTATGATTAGCTAATATGTTGAGGTCCCTACGAACATCATGAATACTCTGTCGAATTTCATTTTGATCAGTGGTCGAATAACTTAGATTTATTTGTGTTCTCAAGTTCATGGTACGATAAGCTTGATCAATACAGTGCATTTTTAAGCGATCGATGTATTGAAGATTTGCCAAATCTTGAATCTTGGTAATTATCTAATCTTTTAACATAGAGTTCTTATTCCATTCTTAATTGATTTTGTAATATTTTGCAGACTTCATAGTTAGCATTGATCCTCTATTCAGCTGTTATATCACTTATATCTTTCTTAATTCCTGAATTCACCTAGTTCGACCTATTGAGACTTGAGAAAAGCAAATCAAAATTGAAAAGAATGCCCACATTTACCGAGGACTGGCATGCTTTGAGTGACGTCGATCCGATTTTAATTCGCAAAAACTTTCATAGTGGATTTCATCATAAAAATTTAGAATTGCTTAATTTCTTCTTTATAAGTCTCATATCTAAAAACATTCGAAACAAATGAATACGTATACTGTCTTTATATGAATTTATATGTTGACACTATAACGTACATGTACGACCAAATGTATATACCGATGTGTATACCGACCAAGGCATTTAGCGTGATAATCTCTTTTCGATACTCCGTGCGCAAGGTGCGTCTTTTCCGCACGTTCGGCAGAAAACGTGCGTTGAAAATCACACTTTCCCTTCACTTGTATCGTAATGTACTATTGATCCGTTGATTTAAATTTTGAATCTAAATTTTTTGGGTGGATTGTCATCCGACTGGCGATTGAACTGCAATTAACAATTTTTCAATAATAATTTTGAATGAAAAAGATCCCGAGTGTGTATAATAGATCACTCATCTAGTAAATTAGTAATAGTTTTAAAATAGTGCCTTATGATACTCCACACATCGCATGCTCTTCGTCACTGAAGTATATATTAATGTTTATCATTTGTAATCGATTAGTTAAATCACTTTTCAATAATTGATGTAGCAGCCCTAGGATTCTCTAACGTTCTAATTTCTTTAATATTATGTTTAAGATCTATATGAAATGCTTTTAATAAGTCGAGTTAATTATAATTTTCTGATTATTATCTATTTCATTTACTATTAAATTTGTGACCTGACACGGTTTTTGTAAAAATTTGTATATCTGCAATGAATTATTTTTTCAAAAGTGTTTGCAATATTTGATATTAACGATATAGATTTATAATTAATTGGTAATGTTCCAACTTTGTGCATTGGTATTATTTTGTCTATTTTGCTTCCTTGGACAGGAAGCTCTGTGCTCGCTATTTTTTTAACATTTTTCGATCTTTTGCTTGTAATTATTTTACTATAACTATAACAAATAATTGTATTTTAATTATTACTTTCTGCTTTATCAAAGACTTTTTGTTCTACCAATAATGTCGCTTGTTTAATTATAGTGTTCAATCTATTTCTATATGTTAATATCTGAAAATATGAAAAAAAACATATAAATAAAACCAGCAACTATTTCACGAATTTAAAAAAAGTAATGTTTTATCTGTTAGAGATAAAAATTATTTAATATTTCGGTAGCATATACCATATAGTTATAATTTATGTTAGACATGCAAAGCAATTTTACCATATGGAGAAGTCATGTGGAATTTGATACACGAACGTGAAAAATTTAGTTGGGAAGTTGTTTTCTGCTTAAAATACCAGAGCGAAATTTGGATTTTTTCAGTAGGAACTTTTATTGTTCAAAATTATGCGTCTTCTGTAAAATGAAAGGTCCTTCAGTAACATTGACATATTACTCTACTAGAACATTACAAACTTTACGTAATTGCTTGATGTTCGCGATACACTTTCTGCATTAAAAGAAACTATAAACGTAAAGTTATCAAAGGTTTTTTTAATAAAGTGATATGATGTAGATGCTATTGTATGAACATTTCCGAATAAAGTAGAATAGAGGCACTAGTGGTCAGTCACTTAAGACCGAATACTAGAATTAAGATATTTCTATTCTAATCTAAATAAAATACCAATAAATAGAAAGGTTCACGTCTATCAATGACTTTTCTTTTATTACTGAAAATTTTTATTCTGCCGTACTTAATTCAAAGAGAAATGCAAATGTTCGCAAACATGACTTCTAAATGACTTATTGGTCAGACGGTCGGTCGAGTATTGAAAAGTTATTAAATTTGACGACAACTAGTGTCGGACACATGTAAAAGGAAACATTAATTATTTTTGAATCGTAAGTGAGGATCAAAATTGAATATATAATGTATTTCTATAAATAAACGATTGAATTTCTTCGTTTAAACATGTTATTACGATTTTTCATCAATTTAAAATTGTGTAGAGATTAAGCGCCGTATAAGAAAATTGTGTTTTCAAAAATAGCTTGATAATCCTCTGAGCAAACATTTCCTAAATAAATTTAGATTTTCTTTTCATTTAAAATACATTAGAAAGCTTCAATACTAAGAGTTATAAAATGCTGGTATCTTAAGAATTCGTGATGTTAGTTTAGATTTATTAAAGATAAAAATAAAAAGTGACCAACTATTAGCGACTGTCCGACTGTTAGCGCCTTTACCCTATGCAGTATGCATAATATTACTGCGTAATCTTTGAGCTATGTTATGTATCAGTATTGATAAGAATATGGCTTCCTATTGTTATTGTTTGTCCAAAGTCCATTTGAAATTGTGAGCATCGGTATGTAAGTGGTCGGAAGTAAGTCTTCATTTTTTAATAATTAAATTATGAATTTAAAAAATGCTGATGACTTTTGTACATGCATTAAAAACTTAATAACAATCATTTTTTTCATTTTAACAATTTTATATTTTACCATTTTTTGAATATATGTTATCTTTCATCTAATTTGTCAAAAATCTTTAGTTTGCGTCTGCGCAGTAGCGTCAGGTGCGAAGCGCTAAAAAACTGCTTCTTCATGTTCGGTTCCATAATCACAACATGACTATACACTGCATCAAGTGTAAGTGTGATTAATGTGTGGAGGACAACGAAGACTGATCAGATCAGAACTTCGAAGTGTCGGGGAGCAGCAAGTAGACAGTGGGCATTCAGCTTGAATGTTTTAAGTGGTTTTTCTCTCATTTTAACTATTAAGACGGAAAATATACAATATGTTAGGTAAGAATTTCTATTATCGATGAAAATAGTTTGAAATTACAGTAACAAGTGTTGTCTTATACAAAATTTTATTCAATAAATATTTCACTTACTAAGATGAAACTCTAAAAATATAATAATTATGAAATAATACTTGTCGCAAACACATTATCGTTTTGTGTATAAATTGCTGCCATCATTGTTCACCATAAATAAAATAAAGTTTGATTGCCACTAATTTTGATAAATAGCAGCAATAAAATCAATATTATCATTGATTTCAGCAGCCTGTAGATCGTTCATCCAAATATGCGGACGCCGCAATATTGCTTCTCTTTCAGCATTATCAGAAACGCATCAGATGTTACAAAAAACATGCAGGTACCCTCATTTTATTTATGTTATTTTATTTATATTTTTCTTTCCTGTAAAATATGTTACTCATTTACTTTATTTTTATGAATTCTCATTTGAAAACAAAAAATTCTTTTTCATTTTAATTATTAGATAAAAATGTATTGATATTAAATTAAAAGGATTTCAATGAAATTGCAATTAACTATACTTTAGATGGAAAAGTAGTTTATGAGTTATTGAACAATTATTGACTTAAATTAGAGACTTTGCCGAAGGAGAGTTGAAGCCAATAGCTGCCAAGATAGATCGAGAGCATCTTTTCCCCAAAGAACAAATCAAGAAAATGGGTGAACTAGGATTACTTGCTGTGACAGTACCTGAATCATTGGGTGGAACAGGACTGGATTACCTTGCCTATGCAATTGCAATGGAAGAAATTTCCAGAGGCTGTGCTAGCACTGGTGTCATAATGAGCGTAAATAATTCTTTGTATTTAGGCCCCATTGATAAATTTGGCAATGAGAAACAAAAAGAAAAATACATACGCCCATTCACAAGTGGAGACAAAATTGGTTGTTTTGCTCTCAGTGAACCAGGTAATGGATCTGATGCTGGTGCTGCATCAACAATGGCTAAGAATGATGGAGACAAATACATATTGAATGGTACAAAATGTTGGATTACAAATGGATATGAAGCTAATGGTATTGTAGTATTTGCAACCACTGATAAATCAAAAAAGCACAAGGGAATAAGTGCATTTATAGTTGATAAGCCAACAAGTGGTTTGTCTTTGGGTAAGAAAGAGGATAAATTAGGCATAAGAGGTAGCAGCACTTGCTCTTTAATATTTGAAGATTGTCCTGTACCAAGTGAAAATCTTCTAGGAGAACCAGGAATGGGTTTTAAAATAGCTATGATGATGTTAGGTAAATTGTTTTGTTTGTTCCTCTACAATTTCTACATTAAAAAACTTATAGAGAATATTAAATTTTTTGGTCACTTTAGATGCAGGTAGAATTGGCATTGCTTCTCAAGCTCTAGGTATTGCACAAGCATCACTTGATTGTGCCATGGAATATGCTAATAAAAGAACTGCTTTTGGTAATGCAATTATAAAATTACAAGCTATTCAAATTAAATTGGCAGAAATGGCCATGAGGCTAGAAAGCTCTAGATTATTGACTTGGAGAGCAGCATATTTGAAAGATCAAGGAAAACCATATACTAAGGTATAAGAAATTTGTATAGGTTATACAATTTATCTATCAATGAATAATTAATTAATTATAAAGTCAATTTTAAAAATTATTGAATTACCAATTTTAGGAAGCTGCAATGGCAAAACTTTCAGCTTCCGAAGCTGCAACATTTTGCGCACATCAATGCATTCAAATTCTAGGAGGAATGGGATATGTGTCAGATATGCCTGCTGAGCGTCATTACAGAGATGCTAGAATTACTGAAATTTATGAAGGAACATCTGAGATTCAAAGACTGGTTATTGCTGTCAATCTCATTAAAGAATACAGCATGTAAATAATTGGAATAGTTATTTTTATAATTTATTCGATCAAAGCTGTTGCAATATTTTCTAATATTTTGCCAAAACAAAGCCTGGCAGTAGAATTTAGATTAAATGATGAATTCAGAGGATGCACATATTTTGGTGCAAAGTGATAAAAAATATTTTTTACATTGTTTTAATGGATTTTATATGTAACTAAAAGGAATTTTTTCTATACAAAGGAATCAATAAATTTTATACATTATTATTTTATGGCTTTATTTTTTTCACCGAGTGTCTGACATATGTATAGTTTACTTTCGCGTATATACATATACATATTTTTTTCAAACGCATATATGTACATACGTTCATTCAGAATTGCATAAACATGCACACACCTATATATGTATATATATACATACATATATACATATATTTGCGTGTGTGGAAATGTCTTCACTATCAGCCCTTTGGCAGCACTACAGAGTTTTCGGCCCTGCATAATACGAGGAACAACTAATTTTATTAACTAGATCAAATAGCATTCATTAGGATGTTAGATAGATGACTTTCTCTTTTAAAATACATACAATGAAATTCAATTAAAACGTGCATGCAAGCATATGTATACATCCAGGAACCATTGTTATTTTAGATGGAACACTTTTGAAAATTTGACATTTAATAATATAGAAGCTTTGTATTGATCAAAAAGTAGCTACTGCAAATTCTTTGCTACACTTCGGAGCCAGAACATATTCTATACATCTATTTGTGCAGATGACATTAAACTATATCGAGTTGATTTAAGTTATTAATGTATCAGTTATTTTTCCTCAGAAAAAAATCTAAAGAATTTATTGAGATGCATTATTAGCTGTAAGTATTACCATGCATTATAATTAATATTATACAATAAGTATGAACGATTTTTTCCTGAGGTTTACGGGCAGTATATAACGCATAATTATTAAAGGAAAAAATAATATAAAGTAATGGTGTCAGAGCACATAAATAAAGGTAAAAATTGCATTATACATAGCTTACTATCAACACTCTCTTCTTTAAATAAATTGTCTAACAAAATATCTTCATGCAAAAAGAAATCAGAATTTCATTGTATGCCTGTTTTATTTACAATTAACACATCCTAAGTCATTAACGCCCAAAATTTCGTTGAAATTAAGATAGCCTACAGTCATGTCTACATATATGCCTAGAATATACCAATTATTTTATATTTATTCACTTTATTACAAAGAGCAATTAATTACTGTATTTCCACGAAAAGTAGAAGTTCAGTGTTGCTCAAATACTGAGGCTCGAAATTCTTCTTTACTAAAAGGTTAACGCTTCATTGAAAGAAAAAGTTGTCCTCTGGACAAAACCACTGCAACATCCACAAAAAGGAGTGGAAAAGCGTAATATGAGTGAATCACTTATTATATGCATTAATTACTTGATTGACCCAAGACTCTGCTTCAAATATTATTAACTACCTTGTCGCCCATAAAAGATATTTTTTTTCATTAAAAAAAAATAATGAGCAAAAGACCTGGCGCAAGATTCTTTAATAAATTAAGTGCTTTCAAAGATCTGTTCATATTGTTATTTTCTGTTCCTTGCGTATTACCATGAGTTTGTAACTTTGTTGCATATCACACACGAGCACTTTCAGAATTCACAATAGCAGCTTCTTTATATTTATAATATTAGACCGCAATGAGCTCTTAATACAGCCATTCATCCATGATCACTTATGCGTTTGCAGCAAGCACGTTTATTTGCTTGTTAAGAATTGTTATTAGCTATTATCATTGACTATCTTTCTTCCTTCCTCTATCGATTAATTATTCTCAATTATAATTAAAACAACTGAACTGCATTTTTTTTACTCTTACCCTCTTTCTATCATTACATTTTTGTTTCTTTTATGCTATGTTTCATCATCAAAAGAACATACAATTTGTCTCAAATGTCTATTTCAGTATCTTGACTTTGTTTTTTAATCAATAATAGTGACAATAATACAATAACATTACTCTTTGACTGTAGATACATTCATCTAAAATTTTTGTAATGTAAATAAATTAAAATTGCAAGTAATTAGATTAGACACTGAATCTAGACAGATAAACTCTGGAAATTGCCCCGATCCGGCAGGACCGTTTATGGCTTTGAGTGTATGCATGGTGTATTTAAGTGTAAGTCTGGCGTTTGTATAACGTTGAAGGAAAATTCATTTATCCTTTTTACACTGAACTCTTTAAAGCCTCAATCATCGGCCCGCATTCCTCGTACTTCACCTTTGTGTCTTTGCTGAAATAGAAAAATTAGTTTAATATATTTTTTTCATTGCGTGAGTATATTAAGATAGGAAATACGGCCGATTTATTTACCCTATCTAACTCCTCTTTTGTAGTATCTTCGATTGCTCGAATGTCTTCCATAGTCAGGCCATGCCAGCGGTCCATCCAGCAAAAAACTTGCCGATGAAAGTTCGTGAAAAGACGCCTCTCAGCTTTTTGAATAAAACTCTCTACGCGCGTTTGCAGGCCGAACCATTTGAACTCACAGGTAACAAGTTTATAGCAAGTCATCACAGGGTTTACATTTTGCTTCCAGTCTTTGCCGACCAGCGGACCTCGACCAGTTTTTTCAGACTTGAACTTTGTTGGATCTTCATCTTCTTTATAATCTGCATTTGAAATTGAATCATTTGCTATATCTATGTGCACAACTTCCCTGATTTTTAATTTGTCTGCAGGTAATTCATGTACCTAAAATTACAAATTTTACGACTTTCAATCAATTACTATATTGTGAATCCCTTCAAATCAATTATTGATAGGAAATGTACAAAATAGGTTATGGTTGTGTTTACTTACATTTTCCTGGTCTCCAATATCAGCAATATGATAGGACTCTATGATTATAAAAAAATTTTCTTTCATGTAACCAGGATTCTGCCAATAATAAAATATTAATAAGAATAAAAAGTAATGTTATTTATTATATTATGAAATATTATCAAGAATATAATATCTACACTTATAACAGTTTTGCAGTAAGGATAGGCATTCCATGCTTCCTCATGAATTTCCAGAGAATTCTTTGGTAGCATCATACGAATAAAAGCAGGCACTTTGCTTGCTAAATGGTAAATCTTATATGTATACTGGCCAGAAGAGTACCTTCCACCAAGTAGTGGATAATCTACGAAAGGTTCATTTTTTAAAACTTCTATTCCTTCACCTCCACCAGTATTATTTTTACTGGCTTCTGCTACAGAGTACAATTGAGCTACTTGATACTGAAAATATAAAATTGAATATAATTAATATACTATTTATAAATATAGATATAATCAAAGAAGCAACCTGTCTGTCAATAATACTATATCAATTTCATTTGAAGTTTATGATTATTATAATTGCAATATTATAATTTTTCTAAACTGTCTTTCATGGTTCATATAGACTTTGATGTACAAATATCAATTGCATATTCTAATTAGAACAAAATAAATATAAGAATAATTAATGTATTCTTAAAAAGACTAAAACATTAATATCAATTACAAAGTTCAATTAAAGAAAAATAAATATGAAAATATCAGGCATGTACGTAAGATATAAATGCATATATCATGGTAAAAGTGCTAATTATGTCAAAGTACTAAATAGTAGTTAAACAAATTGCAGCAAGCTGCAAATGCAATATCATGTAGCAAAGCCACCATCTATTTATCCAAGCAAGTCAGACTTCGAAGAAGAGTTCTTGTTCAATACAAGCAACTTACCTCTTCGACAGTGAGGGGCAGGGTAACACGGCTGAAACAAACAAACACAAATAATAGCATCGAGATAAGTTGATCAGAACAACTAAGTTGTTCAGTTAGTAGCAGTAGCAGTCGTACGCGCGCACGTCCAAGGTCTCGGCTCGATGCGTGTACGCGTGGCCTTGAGAGAGCCATGCTGCTGCTGCATCTGCTCCAAAATCCAAAGCCGCGGTCACGGGACATTTTGTCTGTCCATTAGCGCTGCCGAGATCAATCTACGGAAATTCAAAGAGCTGCGATCCGACGTCATTTAAAAATCGATATCGTGTTAACACAGGCGACGAAGAGTCAGTGAAAGACAGAGAAAAACAGGGAGAGCGATTGGCTTGTACCGCGAATTTGGAAAAACGAATGGTCCTCGCTCGTTGCCACAGATCTCGTGAGAGACAGCATCGAACCAGCGTATGTTGTAAGTTGCAAGAGCAACGAAAGAGCGTGCGCGCTGGTAAGCAGACTGGCAGGCAGTCGGGCGGGCGTGCGGTTACAGGTTAGCCTTTGAATTTTGAAGTAACGATCGGGCTACGCTCGGCGCGCTCGCGCGTGCGAACCTTGGACGAAGGACACGAGAGAAAGAACTGCAGCTGCAGTTAAATGCAAGGGCTACTCACAATTCCTTGATAAGCATTTTTTAGACTGCGCCGGTGCACATGGGCCAAGACAGATAGACGGAACAAGAAGACCGAAAGAGCCTGAGGATACGATTACGAGCAGCACAGCACCAATCAACGCTGTACACCACCTCTGTCACTATAACTCTGTCTCTGTGTTGTCGATGGCGGAACACCACCGTTTGTTACTTCGATTTCGTGTGAGGGCTTCCTGATTATATTATATATTAAGTTTAATCTTTTTCCGCAAGAAAAAGATAACTAATTCACGGCTATTCTCGCGTGCAGCGTGCCGCACACTGACTGCTAGCGCTGCTGCTGGTCTTGACTCCGACGTCTACTTGGACTACTGTACTACTGTGCGCGATTGTCGCGACCGTAGCGCTCCGTCTCGCTCTCCGCCTACTGGCGTGGTACGATGTGTACCTACACGCGACTGATGCACACTTCCTAACACCGCGGGTGTGCACTACGTACTTGCACGTGTGTCTGTGCAGATCTCTTAATACATTTTGCTGTTGTGTCGGTCGCTTTCTCTATCTATTCTTCTTCGTCCGTCATTGTCTCTCTTTTTCTCCATTGCAAGATAGAGATGCAGCGTTGCCGTAAATGTGTGTGTAGTTCCTTTTTTAGCCCTACAATTTAAATTTTTAAAAACTTTCATTGGGTAATCGAGCGACGACTCGGTCGGCACTCTTTCATTCGAAACTTTTCTCTTTCTCTCTCGCCTTGCGTTTATTTTTCATTTAACATCTTGTGCTATTGATTATATTTTTCGCTCAAACATATGTGCATACTAAATGAACCAAATCTCGAAGAAAAAGCTGTTCGCGTAAGTTTTTCTTTCTCTTCTTTTTTCAGACGTCAGAGAGAATTTTTACACGACCCTCATCAATCTTCACGAGTGCATTTTTCCCTACCCTTTTATTCAAAACCTCCACCAGCTTACCCTCTTCTCCCTTACTCACTGGTTTCGATGTCCCACCCTCGCTCGCCCTTGATTAGTTAGTGTGGCGCGCGACAGCTCGCGCAAGTGAAAAGCGTCTTTCATATGAATCGTGCGAGCGTTTACGCCCTTATTCGTACGTTCAGTATATGTACAGCACCTCCCCTGCTGTCGTGACGACGACGACGACGTCGTAGCCGTGGGTTGAGGGGGGTTGACGTCACACACGCTCGTGGAGACTTATACAGTCTCCATATGGACGCTAGAATAGTCAGCAAGAGCTCCGTCTCTCAGGGGCGCCACTTGTTCGGCCTGCCAAGACTTCATGGGCGAATATTTGGCTTTTTGTATAGGTGATAGCGCTGACACCCATACGCACACGTACCCGCGCTTGCGCACTACACCCGCACCTGCACGACACGAGTCAAATAATTCGAGCACGAGGATTCTACATCATGAGAAAGCGAGATGGCGCTTGTCTCGTGGATAACTACAACGTGTTTGCATCGCTGCATGCGGGAAGCTAGAGAGAAAGAGACGAATATATATGTATATATAGGCTGCAGAATTTTTTCACCCTTTTCTACTGCGGAACACTTCGCGTGCGAACTTTCAAATTAACTCATTAACGAGCTCTTTGCGGATTTTATCGCGCATCGTGTATTGTAGAACTTATTCTTTCTTGTTTTACGACAAGACTAGATATAACGAGGGCGAGATTGTCGTTTTCTTTTTCATCTCTCAAATTCATGACGACGCGTATATGCCGTCGTATTATCGCCGAGAAAGGAGGTAGCCGCAGTATAATGTACGCTACGTACTGTTTGTTTCGCAGCACAGGGAGATCAAACAATTGGCAAGCTCGGCGCTGTGTTAAGCTTTGCTTTATTGATGAGCCAGTCCCGAGTGTGCATGTATGTGATTGGTTACATCATCGCGATCGCAGGAGAGAGCCTCTGGCCTTGAGGATTACCTGAATTTTGCATTGAGGTTTCAGCTATCTGGAGCGTGCCGCAAAGGGATTATCGATCTTTTTGCACCTACGGATTATCAGATTTTATTGACTTGCAGTCGTAACAGCGTCAACGCGCGCCAGCCAGCAGCGGCCGCGCGAAAGCGCGAGCTTCTGGCAATCGACTTTTCTGCTGACCAAGAAATTCATCACCTCGTATTGATTTTCGTTATTTCTTAATCTTGAAGGCATCTCACAACAGAATTATATATAGTCGCTGTGCGATAAGAGAGCTTTCGATTTTTGTTATTATTGGAATCAAACTTGATAATCGAGCAGTGTGCTTCCGGGATTAAAGATTGACCACTTTTCTTTGTTGACGTACATGACAAACTGTATTTCACTTTACCTATCTAATAATCGTGTCGACGAACAACGGAGAAATAAAGCGTTTATCACTATATATGGAAACGTTCAACGACTATTTTCGCAGTCGTTTAATTTCATAGCAAAACCTTTGTCGTTTATAAAAAGAGGAATACTTTTTTCAAAAAATTATGACTCATTGCAATAACATGGTAGATGTAACAATTCCAAGTGTAAAAAGAGTCTATAATATCAAGACAAAAAATTGAATTTCATACTCGCTACGAACGACATTTCGTAACAATTTGTTTTCAACAAAAGTAAACTTTTTTTAAAATTTTCCAACCGGGACATGATTTATGATCTTCAATTAGGTATCATTTTTTTTTGGTGTGCTTTCAATTCTCGCACTCATTTATCGCTTATAAAGTACTTAGCTTTATCAGTAAAAATATGTCGTCACAGGGGTATAGAAACAATTGTAACACACAGTTAGCGGTGCGACTTTAAAATATGACTAGCATCGAAAAATAAAGCTATATTTAGAAGTTTGAAACAGCCTTTAATATAGATTCGTGACACCGAAAGTTTACAAAATTTTGATCCGGTATTTATGATCAACACGTAGCACGTCAACAAAATAACACTTTTGCAAAGGACAGCCTATTGCTCTATTGCTAATTAAGTGGTCATGCGTGACAACATGTTCAAGTGGCCATAAATTTAGGTGAGCGGTTTAGGATGATTGTAATTCTGCAAACGCAACAAACAGCCGTTAAAATCTGTTACAGTTATGTGTGTGTGTGCATGTGTGTGTGTGTAACAAAATATAACAACAGGCTTGTAGCTGCTCATTTTACATTTGATATTCATGATGCATCAACAGTGCTATATAACAAATCTGTTATACTCAATCGCGAGCTCAATCGTGCCTGAAAAATGAACCTAGCAATCGAAGTAGATATATTCAACTGAATTGGTTTTAATTTTTTGAATAATTATACGCGAAGCTAGCTAAGGATTGCGGAAAAGTTTTGTGAAGTAAAAACGGCTGTCATTGAAACAACCCTTTGCAAAAGCTATTGTTCCTTTTCTTTTGATATTTAAATTGTAGGCTATTAATGCTGACAAAAATAACTATGAAACGTCACTTTTGCAAACCTTTAATTATAAATGTGCAAGTTAAGGCGGAATCTTGAATGATATCGAGAATATTACGCAAAGTATTAAAAAGATTTGTCCGAAAACAAAGACTATTAATTATTGTGTTATTGTATCTAAGTATATCTTATAAATTTTATAAATTATAGTTATAGGATACAAATGATCATGGACTTGAAGAATAATGCCTATATCAATCAATTATAATAAACTGTATATAATGTTATACGAAACTACAAAAACCATTAAAAAAAAAGATGATAATTGGGAATTGTCGTTTATGCGAAATTTGCATGGATAAGAGATTATTTTTGCATCTTCTTCAATAAAATTATGAGTCACCTCACGACACTTACCTCTCGATAGTAAACTGACGGAACTCTAGTATATGTAGGTGTACCGACTGTGATAAATCTATATATATATTCAACTTGCCGATAAAGTTGATACCTACATGTATAACGCTATAACATTGTTATCGTTGTACCATTTTTGTATGATAATTGTTTGCAAAATATTCTCAATTTCAAAACTATGACTTTTTTTATGGAATTATATTCGTTTTCCAAAGTCTACACAAGCTTCACATGTTTATAAGTTTTGAAAATTTATTACTTTATTACATGAATACAACTTGAAGTAAAGTAAGTTATTTTTATAACAAACTTTAAAAGATACTTTAAAAGAGACTAAGAAATAACTGTACAATAGATAAACTTTCTCAATGTCATGTTAATTTTGTAATTTTGAAACAAGTCACTAAAATGATAAAGTAAAATTGTTCATCTTATCTTACCAACTATATATGATACGACTGTTCACAAAGTACAATTGATAGGTATCCATTGAATTTCGTTGACAGAACCGTGTCCACGTAATTGCGCGTGAAAAGCCCTTTGTTAATGCAGTCTCAGATAGTCAATATTAATGGAGTTCCACTAAGTAATGCAGAATTCGCACGAAATCCTTTCTTTCTTCGACGGTTCTTTTTCTCAAACAGAATTTTCAATTTCCATAGTAATAAGGTTCGGGAGACCTTGTTAGCAAATCTTTACAAACCATTCTTTTTCCACAGTTTCACAACCCTCCTCGTACACCGCACTTCTGCACGGGAACACGTTCTGGCAGTGCATGCACGTCTATACCTCAAGTCAATTGCATAAAAAAAGCCTATAGCGCATAAAACAATCGTATATTGGCTTATTCCGAGTGGCTTTGTCCTACTGAATTTACTGCGTTTTCGAGGCTGGATGCGTTACGTACTGGTATGGAATTGGCGGATACATCGCAATTAATACGCTTATACGTGGAACGCACAAAAGACCGACCAATTGTACGAAAGGATATACACAAAGCGAAGACTAAACGCGCGCCGTCTTCGACTACATAGGAAACTCATCGTATGTGCACACATGTGCAACCCAATGGTCGTTGTTACAATCAAGACGTTAGGCAAGTCAATTTCGCGTGTAATTGCAGCTGATTCTATTATTTTCCTGGTTAGTAATTTAAATATCGAGTTTTCTACGCTGTGCGCACTGCGCGATGCCTGCCTACACGCTTTTCTCCAAATTCCGTCTGACATACTTTTTTTCTCCGAATTTTCTATTCTTGTAATTGTATTGCTTGTATTGCTTATATATCCCACTTTATATGCGTAAAGCGTGATATTCAAAAACTGAGTTTTCGCGCTTAAAAGTGCAGTCACATGGTATGTGAAAGTCTTTATTGATATCTTTTTTTTATAGAGAAAACTAACATTTCTTTTGTTGCTGAGCGTGTTAAGAGATATTACAAAAATAAATAAATACAAAAAAAGACATGTGTGTTTTTCAACTATTTGGAGTGTAATAGTCTTTAAAAAATAGATGTTCATTTCGAAGATTCAAACATCAATCATTATTTAAATATAGTTACGAGAAACAATGCAATGCAGAAATGTAATGATATATCGAGGATCCGTATATCCGATTGCCTTCCTCAAATATATTGAATGTGGTCGACCGATTGCATTGCCCAATACAAAATAATGTAATAATAGCATAATAATGGATGAGAAACAAAAATAATTAACTCGACTCTTAATTCTAGCAGTCACCCCTTTATTGGGTTTGTAAATTTCCCCACAGAGAAAATATTAAGCATTTACTGGTGTTCAGTCTTGCGTACAGTAAAAGTGTACGATAGGACACTGGTTCGCCATAATAAGTAGTCATGATCTTTATTTAATTGTTTCGAAACTGTACTTGAGATTCGAGTGCTCTGCGAGATATATCTATTTGCAAGTCGTGAGTTAATACACTGCAATGGCATGTTCGGTATGCATCTTCCTCACAAACATATCCGAATAAAGCGGAGCGAAAGGAGCGAAAGCGTTGTGTCGGAGGTGCATAGGAATAAGGCAAGC